AAGCTGAGCTTCCGGTTTATGGTGTGTGCATGCGTGCTAGATAGCTGATCTTTGCACGCATCCGTGCCAGAAACCGGGAGACCAGGTGACCAGCACGCATACATATGCAAGAAACTGGAAGCTCAGCTTTCCAGCGCGCACATGCGCACCGGGGATCTGCCATTCCAGTTTCTGGCACTCCCCTGCACATGTGCACGCCAGGGGTGAAATTCAGCAGGTTCTGACAGGTTCTGGCGAACCGGTAGCGGAAATTTTGAGTAGTTTGGAGAACCAGCAAATACCACCTCTGGCTGGCCCCAGAGTGGGGTGGGAATGGAGATTTTGCAGTATCCTTTCCCTACCATGCCCACCAAGCCACACCACACCCACCAAGCCACGCCTACAAAGCCACACCACGCCCACCGAGCCACGCCCACAGAACCGGTGAATTTCACCACTGGCGCACGCACTCTCGTTTCAGCACTCAGTGCCAAAAAGGTTCGCCAGCACTGGTATAGGTTCTCCTCAGTGGTGGGATTCAAATAATTTAACAAGCGGTTCTCTGCCCTAATGACCGGCTGGATGGTCATGTGACTGGGTGGGCATGGCCAGCTTGATTGGCCTCAGCTTTAGGAAATTTCTCCTGAGTCTAACTCACAATAAAATAGCACTGTTCCAATATTCAGAATATAACAGAATGGAATGGAATAGAATAGAATAGAATAGAATAGAATAGAATAGAATAGAATAGAATAGAATAGAATAGAATAGAATAACAGAGTTGGAAGGGACCCTGGAGGTCTTCTAGTCCAACCCCCTGCCCAGGCAGGAAACCCTACGCCACTTCAGACAAATGGTTATCCAGCATCTTCTTAAAAACTTCCAGTGTTGGAGCATTCACAACTTCTGGAGGCAAGTTGTTCCACTGATTAATTGTTCTGCCAGGAAATTTGAGGGCCTCCTACAAAAATGAGGGGGTCAATCTATTTTCCAAAGCACCAAAAGGCACAACAAGAAACAATGGATGGAAATTAACCAAAGAGAGAAGCGACCTAGGACTAAGGAGCAATTTCCTAAGGGTGAGATCAATCAACCAATGGAATAGGTTGCCTTCAGAAGTTGTGGGTGCTCCACCACACACAGGCAACACAGTTACAAGATAATTTGAAATCTTCTAATCGTCTAATACTGTAAGCTAACTCTTAAATGCTGAAAATGCAGTATCAAAATACATAAACATAGAAACAGCATTGCAACCCTATTCCAAATTAATAAAGTCAATTCTGCTAATTAGAAAGCGTATTTAAAAAGACATGAGAACACTGACAAGAAACTCCTGCTCTGTATTAACATTTTTAAAACTCCTTCCCTGGCCTAATCCTGTCAAGAACAAGGAGACATTCAACCTAGAAATGAGGTGGAACTTTCTGACAGTGAGAACAATCAACCCATGGAACAGAAGTTGCCTTCAGAAGTTGTGGGAGCTCCATTGCTGGAGGCTTTCAAGAAGAGACTGGACTGCCATTTGTCAGAAATGGTGTAGGGTCTCCTGCTTTGGTGGGGGGTTGGACTAGATGACCTGCAAGGTCCCTTCCAACTTTGATAATCTGTATCATCTGTAAATTTCTATTGTTTCTGTGCTGACTGCATTCCTGCGGGTTTTTTTTATTTTATTTTTTTAATTTGATTTATATGCCGCCCTTCTCCGAAGACTCAGGGCGGCTTACAATGTGCTCAGCAATAGCCTTCATCCTTTTGTATATTTATACAAAGTCAGCTTATTGCCCCCACAACTGGGTCCTCATTTCACCTACCTTAGAAAGGATGGAAGGCTGAGTCAACCTTGAGCCTTGGCGAGATTCGAACCCTGCAGTAATTGCAGGCAGCTGGTCTTAAGCAGCTTAATAACAGGGTGCCTTAAACCCTAGTACTACCAAGGCTTTGTTATTACGACTAAGTATTTGCCTGTTAAATGGTTCTTGGCTGTCTGCCCAGAGCTATTAACTGAAGAGGGAGAGAAGAAAAAAAAACCCCTCTTTCAGTTTATTTCCCACCCTGAGTTTTAAAGAGACTAGAATTTTTCTGCGGAGGAATTGGCCATGTGATTATTTCTTCTTTTTCTTTTCCCTTCCTTTGATTAATTACAAATGAGCAGAAGCATCTAAGGTATGTGTGAGCTACTGGAATCATTAGGCAGGCAGGCAGCCTTGAGTATTCAGCCGGTTCGCAGAACTCCACAAGACTTAACAAATGGTTCTCCCGAATTGGTGCGAACTGGCTGAATCCCACCACTGGTTCTCCTGCTTGAGCAGGGGGCTGGACTAGAAGACCTCCAAGGTCCCTTCCCGCTCTATTCTATTCTAGCATGCTGGCCACACGACAATGGAAATGTCTTCAGACAACACTGTTCCCCTGGACAAGAAACGGAGATGAGCAGCAGCCCCTAGAGTCAGACATGACTGGACACAGGAAACTTTTCTCTCTTTATCTGTATGAGGATTAGAGATATGAATGTAGCTGATAATGTTCTTGGCTGAAAGCCCAAATGACATGCAGCAAATATTAGGTAGTAAGAAAAAACACTCTAAAAATGAATGTTTCAAAGAGCATCTTAGTTGTGTTTCACAGGGAAAATGGAGTAAGAATTATATATCATAGGGAATATCAAAGGAAAAAAAATATTGAAGATCGATTAATTGATGCACTTCAGTGAAATGCTTATTAAAGATAAGGAAGTTAAGATATCCAAATACTGGTAGAAAGTTGGTAGGTAATATGTTGTCATCAAAAGAAGCAAAAAAAAAAAAAAAGGCCATATATTAGACCATGTTTCCGCCAGCTTAGATGCATGCATCTGTCAGAAGAAATATAAGAGTCTGCTGAATGCAGTGGGACAGCATGGTTAAGAAGTGTGCATGATGATAAAAGAAGAATAAAGAAGTAATGAATGTATATGATGTGAATACAGAGATGTATCACCTATATGGAAGAAGTACATTTCAGCGGCTTGGCTAAAGGCAGAAAATAAAGTGGTATCAAATTGCACAACAAGTATACAAAGGAAAAAGAATGGGTTGAGGGGGAAGAACAGGGAAACTGAGAAAGTCATGCTTGGATGGAGTTGATGAGATCTTCAGAAAGAGAAGTGAGAGCTTTAAAGAACAAAGGAAATGTAGAGAGCAGTGGATGGACATGAGAGAAATGAGTGTGCGGAATAGAACTGCGTGGAGAGGTACGGCAAACGCTATCTGTGTTGAGCGTTTGTTTACTCCATGTTGATAACTGTGATTCCAGGTAGTTTACAATAAAATAAATAAAAAGTACACTATAGTAAACCATGCAGTAGTTGGGCATCATCCAAACTATGAACACAGGCAGGAGATGGGCTCTGCTACACACGCAAACACACATGCACAACAGTGGTGGGTTTCAAAAAGTTTTACTTACCGGTTCTGTGGGTGTGGCTTGGTGGGCGTGGCAGGGGAAGGATACTGTAAAATCTCCATTCCCTCCCCACTCCAGGGAAAGGATACTGTAAAATCTCCATTCCCTCCCCAATCCAGTGGAAGGTTTCTGCAAAATCCCCATTTCCTCCCGATCAGCTGGGACTCAGGAGGCAAAGAATAGATGTGAGTGAGACCATCAGAATTTTTACTACTGGTTCTCCGAACTACTCAAAATTTCCACTACCGGTTCTCCAGAACTGGTCAGAACCTGCTGAAATCCACCTCTGATACACAAACACATAGAGGGCCCCAAACTCAACATAAAACCAAGTTTTCAAAGTCTTTTTTTTTTATTTTTTTGGATTTGATTTATATGCCGCCCTTCTCTGGAGACTCAAGGCGGCTTACAATGCGTTAAGCAATAGCCTTCATACTTTTGTATATTTATACAAAGTCAGCTTATTGCCCCCACAATCTGGCTCCTCATTTTACCTACCTTAGAAAGGATGGAAGGCTGAGTCAACCTTGAGCCTGGTGAGAATTGAACTTGCAGTAATTGCAGGCAGCTGATGTTAATAACAGTGCTTTAGTCTGCTGCGCTACCAGAGCTCCTGGTAGGCCTTATGGAAGGCCAGCAGGGATGGGGCCAATGTAATCTCTTAGTTATGTCCTTTTCTTCTCACCATCTCATTACTTATCCTAAAAAGGAGTTGTTTCTTTGCATGTAAAATAATTGTGAAACTTTTCTGTCTTGGGCAAAACTGCAGGCCCAAAAGTACAGCTTTGAGCGCTCTTCACCAAAATATACCCACATTCTTGTAAATTATTTTTTTTTTAAATGTGCAGTTCAGATTTGCAAACTGATCTTAAGAAATTTGCAAAACCAAGGTGGAACAAAAAAAAAAGACAGCACATTTTCCCAGTCATAATTTATGACTTCCTTTGGGCTCCTTCTGAGAGCCCTTAACTCAGTGTTTCTCAACCTTGGTAGCTTGAAGATGGGTGGACTTCAACTCATCCACCCATCTTCAAGCTACTAAGATTGAGAAACACTGCCTTAGCTGGAGAAAAGAGATTTCTGACTTGCTCAAACCAGCAGGATCAGCAGAGATAGAAGGGGCACAAAGGAAAGTAACCACAAGGGCCATTAAGCAGGCAAATCGTTGCAGCCTGATTCCAGCACACTTCCAAAATTGGTTGAGCGTCTTTGCTTGGATACATTCAATTCCACTCATGCTGACTATGGTATGACAGACGTGAGTCACCTCTGAAGTTAAGCATTGAACCGGTTCTGGAACTTTTACTGACAAAATGCCCAATTGGGCACCAATCCATTTCAGCCCCCCGTCTTCTAAGTCACCAGGTGGAAAAGGCTTGGAAGAGCTGCGACTGTGTACACAACAGCTGCTTGGAAGCACTTTCAGACTTGTGTCAACTGTATTTACTGTCTGGATTCCCAGATGCAGCAGCCTTGCCATGGTGAACTAGTCTCAGCTGGAGGCAAGGTTGTTCATTTTCTGCTCGGCTCCCAATTTCCATTTCTTGTTATTTATTTTATTTTATTTTTCCTTTTAGGGGGACCCTGGGATTAATGGCATTAAAGGAGAAAAGGTAATTGGCAATTTCTCTGGATAATCTTTTTCTTATCTCTCCTTGGGCCTATTTTCTCTTTAATTTTAGGTCTTTTCCCCCCCCTGTTGCTGATTTCCTGGCTTCAGATCCTATGATGCTCTCTCTGCCTTCTTCTCCTCTTGGTAAATTTCCTCTCTTTTGCTGATTTTACTCACAAATCTGCTAAACACACTAAGCATGTGTAAAACAAATGATCATGATAGCTCTGAAACTGAGATTGATCTCTTTTCCCATTTACGGTATAGCAGTGGTGAAATCCAAATTTTTTTACTACCGGTTCTGTGGGCGTGGCTTGCTGAGCGTGGCTTGCTGAGTGTGGTGTGGCTTGGTGGGCGTGGCAGGGGAAGGATACTGCAAAATCTCCATTCCCACCCCACTCTGGAGCCAGCCAAGAGTGGTGTTTGCTGGTTCTCCGAACTGCTCAAAATTTCCGCTACCAGTTCTCCAGAACCTGTCAGAACTTGTTGGATTTCACCCCTGCTGTATAGTATACACTATATAGTGCCTTGGTAAGACGACACTTGGAATACTGCATCCAGTTTTGGTCACCATGATACAAAAAAGACACAGAGATTCTGAAAAGAGTGCAAAGAATAGCAACAAAGATGATTAGGGAGATGGAGGCTGAAACATATGATGAATGGTTGCGGGAATTGGGTATGTCTAGTCTAACAAAGAGAAGAACTAGGGGTGACATGATAGCCGTCTTCCAATATTTGAGACGCTGTTACAAAAGATAGGGAGACAACCTATTCTCCAAAGCTAAGGTGACCAGATTTTAACATTGGTAAAGCGGGACACCATTGACCGGGGGTGGGGGGGGGTTGGGTTTCTTTATTATTATTATTATTATTATTATTATTATTATTATTATTATTATTTTATATATTTTATATATTACTTATATTAAATAATATAAAACTCATATTCTGGCTAAATAGCCACATGGCCACCGAAAACCGTATATTTCCTTCCCGTTCTCCCACTGTTCCCTAGCTTGTCGTGCATTCTTTCCAAAAATTGGGACTTTTTTAAAACTCCGCGGGACGCGGGACAAATTGTTAAAAATCGGGACTGTCCTGCCGAAAGCGGGACGTCTGGTCACGTTGTCCAAAGCACTTGTGACAGGACAAGAAGTCATGGATGGAGACTTATCAAAGAGAGTTCCAACCTAGAACTATGGAGAAATGTCCTGACAATGGGAACAATTAATCAGTGGAACGTCTTGCCTTCAGAAGTTGTGGATGGTTTATCACTGGAGATTTTTAAGAACATTCATCTGTCTGGTATAGGGCAGTGATGGCTAACCATTTTGCCGTCACATGCCAAAGTGGGGGGAGTATGGGGGGCTCGCGTGCGCACATGCCCACACCCATAATTCAATGCCCCCCATGCCTGCCCCCCACGCCTGTGCACACGACCCCCCCAAGCTCCCCACGCTTTTGGCACATGACAGCAAAAAGATTACCGGTGGGCCTGGTAGACCTGTTTTCCGCCCTCCCCAGGCAGAGGCTTTCTTGGAGCCTGGGGAAGGCGAAAACAGCCTACCCCTCCGCCGGAGGCCCTCCGGAGGCCGGAAATGAGTCATTTCCCGACTTCAAGTGGGACCAGAAGGCCCATTTTTCACTCTCCCCACTCTCCAGAAGCTTTCTTGGAGCCTAGGGAGGGCAAAAACGGCCTTCCCCATCCTCCCTTTTCCCAACTTCCGGTGGGCACGGAAGGCCTGAAAATCAGCTGGCCCACATGCACATATGCGCGCTGGAGCTGAGCTAGGGCAACACTCGTGTGCCCACAGATATGGCTCCACGTGCCACCTGTGGCATGCATGCCATAGGTTCGCCATCATGGCTATAGGGTCTCCTGCTTAGGCAGGAGGAAGACCTCCAAAGTCCTTTCAAACTCAGTTATTTTGTATTCTTTATTTGTTAGATTGAGTCTGTTTACTAGACACTAACTCGGTCTGCTTCTGACCTCCTTTGACACCATTTCTGGCAGAAGCTTTACTGACTTAACAGCCAGCAGAATTGAACTGGTCCTATCTAAACCTTGGCTTTTTGCTCTCTCTCTCTCTTCAGGGTGAATCATGTTTGTCATGCATCGCCCTCATGTCTCAATTGCAAAATAGGTCTGAAGGAAGCAATTCATTTGGACTTCCTGGGCTTCCCGTATGTATAAACCCCTGATTTTTTTTTTAATGACTTTATGCATCTAGCTGGTAGAGGGATGAAGAGCAATAAGAAGAGGGAAGGAGAGTTTCTGTCCTCATGGATATAATGTAATGCTCTGAACATTTTCTGTGAATAGGAAAGCTCATGATGTCCATATCATCTTTGGGCCTACTTTTTATTTATTGCCTCAGCTTTCTTCTGCAAAGTTGGCTGATGATATTTAAGGGCACAAAATGCTGTACATGAATATCCAGATTTGGCTGATGGGGTATGGGGTGGGTGGAAGCGGTTTGTTCAAGAAGGTTTAAGTGTTTTAAACTATTTAAATGGGCCATCCAATGAATTAAGTGATAGCCTCTAGGATCCAATCTGGGTTGGTCATCAGGACCAGAGGATTAGTCTTCCGAGCTTTTGAACTCATGCTGGAGCCCATCCTCGGGGAACATCTATCTCACCCGAAGGTGTCATTCTGACTAAACCTCTAGTCCCAGTGACCCACCCAGATTGGATCCTGCAACATTATTCTGGGACCTGTATATTTGCCTTCATTGGTGACAGCATTGTATGAGCCGTGGTGGCTCAGTGGTTAGAATGCAGTATTACAGGCCAATTCTGCCAACTGCCAGCAGTTCGATCCGGCTCAGGGTTGACTCAGCCTCCCATCCTTCCTGAGGTCGGTATAATCAGGACCCAGATTGTTTGGGGCAATAGGCTGATTCTGTAAACCGCTTAGCGACTGCTGTAAAGCACTATGAAGTGGTATATACCCTGTTTTCCCAAAAATAAGACATCCCTTGATTATAAGCCCAATTGGCTTTTTGAGTGCATGCACTAAAATAAGCCTCCCCCAAAAAATAAGCCCTCCCGGAAAATATATAAAAGCAGAACTAGAAATCAGGTAAGACTGCAAGAGGAGCCCCATTTGTTCCACGCGCCCCAAAATAATAAGACCTCCCTGAAAATAAGCTTATTTCGGGGTTCAAAAAAATATAAGACAGGGTCTTATTTTCGGGAAAACACGGTAAGTCAGAGTGCTACTGCTATTGCTATCTAGTTGACATTAGCTGATCTTGAAAAGCTAAGTCAGATCAATCCTGGTTAATCAGGTGGATAGCTTAGACTTGCCAGGATTGTAGGCTAGAATGGAAAATGGAAAAAGTCACAAATACAGTGGCAAACCATTTCATTTAAGTCCCATATTCATAGTTTCCTCACTGAAGTTGGCCACTGTTCTTCCCACCCCACCCCACAGGGCACACCTGGCCCTCCTGGAATGGCTGGATTCAAAGGAGAAAAGGTAAAATATTCAGCATGTATAATTCAGTTTCAAGTGCTTGTTCATTCGGAGTTTAATAAAACTGTGAATGGAACCGTTGATGTGTGTATCTCCGTGTTTTCCATAAAATGTGTACACTGTTCTGTTTTTTCCTTCATTATCATCCCCATTTTTACTCGCTTGGATTATTTACTGAGTTATTTAAAGAACACATAAATCTACAGTCTTAGATTTAGGCTCATAAACTTGAATTATTATCTCCGTTTACAAGGCAGGGATTCCAGTGGCATGTTCACCATGCATGAACATATAAGCTTCCTGTCTTGGAGGAGGCTACATATTTGCAGGTTTAACCTTACGATCTTCCATAGAAATCTGCAAAGTTTTCTGGGAACTTATGATCATCGTTTAGGCTGCTTAATGTCAACTTCATGACAGTTTTTTCAGATTCTTTATGTGAACACCAAAATCAATTCAGGGTACCAACTTTGAGCTGCCAATAGCACTTAATACCATATTATTGTTTGCTTGGAATGAAGAAACGTTACCACCCTGAGCTAGTGGTTTATGCTTTGACTTATTCCTCCCCCTTTTTCCAGGTTAATCTTTTGATCAATAGGCTCCTTTTATCTCAAAAGTTTCATTAAGGACCATTTGCTTCTTTCAGTAACCCACCTGTGTTTGTCTATTCCCTAGGGAGATGCTGGACCTTTTGGACCTATGGGCAAACCTGTGAGTAGGACCACACAAGCAAGTTTTGTAATGATGCTGGGTTCTCTCCAGAATCACCTTCTGTGGTCTGAATCAGGGGTGAGATGCTCCCAATCGGACCGGATCTCCTGATCCGGTAGCAATCTTGGCCGGTGGTTCGGCGATCCGGTAGCGATGGCGAAGCAAAGCTCTGCCCACCCACCTGAGTGTCATTACTTCCTGGTTTTAACCAGGAAGTAATGTGTTTTTACCTTCTGCACATGCGCAGAAGGTCTGTGTGTGTATGTGATGCGCGCGCACGCTTCCGAACCGGTAAGGAAGGTAAGTAGATTTCACCCCTGGTCTGAATAGCGGGAAGATGTTGTGAAAGTAAATGAAAGCCATATCAATTGTGAGAAACGACACTAAATAAAATGCCACCATCTCTGAGTTCTCAAACACAGTCTTTCAGACCACCTTCCAGACACTGGCCAGTTTGGTCTGGTTGTGAAGGCACCATGCTAGAAGCCAGGAGATGGTGAGTTCTAGTTCTAGACACACCTTAGGCATGAAAGCTGGGTGAATTTGGGCCAATCACCAAAAACTGTGAGTCCTGGTTCTACTTTAGGCATGATAGTTAAAAGATTGACTTTGGATCAATCACCAGGAGACAGGGAGTTCTAGTCTTGGCTTAGGTATGAAAGGCAGCTGATCTGGATGACCTTGGGCCAATCCCCCTCTCTCAGGCCAACCCACCTCAAAATTTGTTGTTTTGGGGAAAATAGGAGGAGGAATAGATATGTTTGCCACCTTGAGTTATTTATAAAATAATAAAGGTGGAATAAAAATATCTAACAACAACAAAACTTAGTAACCAAGTAAAGGGGAATTCTTTTTATGTGGGTGTAGAAGGCGAGATAGTTGCAGCAAAGAATAGTCATTCTAAAATCTTATGAATGAATTGCATATATTTTGGTTCTCCGTGGGATTATTTTCCTCCTCAGAAATTCTGTTCCAGATGTTACAACACAGACACTCACACACAGGAGCTCGGAAGAGCTGTTCAATACATTCTAACACTGGACAATTAACTTTAACGATTGGTTTCATTATCTGTCTAAACTACGATGCCAACAAAGATTAAAAGAACCCTCTGGCTTTTTCCCCCCTTTTCCAATCCCTTCTTAATTGCATCTTAACTTGTTCTCTCTTTTCAGGGAATCCAGGGAAATAAAGGGGACACTGGAGGTCCAGGAGTCAAAGGCGAGAAGGTGAGCAACTTGATAACAAGAGATGAAACGAGCATGACTTACCTGTTCCTGTAAGAGAGCGATGCATTTTGACAAGTCTTTTCTCTTATCCCACCATCTTTTCTCAGGGAGAATCGTGCATGTCCTGCTCTTCTCTGGAAGGTGGACCGGTTACAGTGAGTGTTCCTGGACCCCAGGGTGAAAAGGGTGAACCGGGTCTCCCTGGGTTCGGACTTCCCGGGAAACAAGTGAGTGAACCGCTCATTGTATCTCATTTGGGGAGAGAGGAAAGGGGAGCTGTTCTCCTCATAGGACTTGCTGGAACATGGTCCCTAGATGTGGAAGGAAAGCGCCGTTTCCTGGTAGAGTGAAATTCATTCATTTAGTTTGCAGCTGAGGTCCACAAATGGTGCAGCAGAGATGCAGACAGTGATATTTATTATCTATTTGTCTATCTCACCAATCAATGAAAGAGGATTGCATTTAAATTGAAGGGAGTCTACTTTTGATTTTAGTTCAATAGGATGAATACATAAACTTGCTCAAAATAAGAATTGGCTTACAAAAATGCTTTTCAAAAGGCAACTGGACTTTCTTGGTTTTTTTCCTTGAAAACATTTCACTTCTCATCCAAGAAGCTTCTTCAATTCAACTTTTCATGGAAAAAAACAAAAACAAGACAGTCCAGTTGCCTTTTGAAAAGCACCTTTAGGACAACCATGACCTGGATGATTGAGAATCCCCATAGACAGTTGGCTTACAAAATCTCTTTCTGGATTTCAACCCCTTTGTCTCCTTTGGCCACCGTGACAGCCTGGAGTTCTGTCTGAGCTCAGTTTGTGGATCCCTTTGCTCCTTTACCCCAACATCACAAGAAAGCAAGCCCCAATTCCTTCCCCTTTCATTGGAGGGTCTTGGAGTACTTGTGGTTCCCACTGCATGCCTTTTGCATCAGCCACTGTCTGGTGACTGTCCCTGTACATTGTCAGCCAGGTGTATCCATTGGTAGATTGTTAAAAAAAGAAGAAGAAGTAGGAACACTATTGTACCATTCAGGTGGACTAGAAGCGGAAACTGGCAGAACTGTTGCCAATTTCACTAGGAAGGAAGGGAGGGAGGGAGGGAGAGAAGGAAGGAGGTTCAACATTCCCCCATTTATAAAAGAAAAAAGAACATATTTAATTCTTCTACCAATGAATTTCTTAAAAAAAAAAGATTCACCAGTGAAGGTCTCTTTTGAAAATGGTACAAAGTCAAGTCAAGACAAAAGAGCTTGGAAAGCAGTGATCAGTGATGGGGACAGGAGGATTCTGCCACAGTAGCCTACACAAAGGAATTTGCTTACAAAGAATTCCAGCAGAGCAGGCAAACACCACTTCAGCTGCCAACCTTACCAAGAAATCAACTCTGCAAGAAGGCTAAAACTACTTTAATTGAGAGGGGCAAAAAAAAAATAACTAAATTTTGCAAGTCTCCTTGGGTTGTCCTTCATGCTCTTTCTTATAGGTCAGTGAATTAGAGAGCATTCTGTCTGAGCCAGATTTAAAGATTTATCTGAACTCAGAAAATGTTTACCTCTTGCCAGTGAAGCTTGCATATCTCCATCAAGGCCATTTTCCTTACTTTCTATGAGCTGGCCCAACTTGGAGAATGCTAGGTTTGCAGCGCTGCTGGAAAAGATGAGTGGGTCATTTTGTTAGACTGAGGGGGAGGGGGAGGATAATATCTCTGTGTTTCTGCTTGTGCAAACTGCTTGTGCAAATGATCCCAAAGAATATCAAAACATGGTGGGAAATCCCATTGGTGTAATTGACCAGTGTTATCACCCAGGTTTGGCCACCATTGGTTGACTATTAATGAAAAGAGTTTTTCCAGATCAGTCAGAAATGTGGAGCACATGAAACAGTATGTTTTACTGATAGAATATTTGTAGCTCAGGACTGAACTATGGAGTCCTTGATGCTCTATGACCGTGATGGCGAACCTATGGCATGCGTGCCACAAGTGGCACATGGAGCCATATTGGTAGGCACGCGAGCGTTGCCCTAGCTCAGGTCCAGCACACATGCGCACACTGGCCAGCTGATTTTCAGGCCTTCTGGGCCCACCAGAAGTTGGGAAACAGACTGTTTCATGCTTCCGGAGGGCCTCCGGGGGGGGGAGGCTGTTTTTGCCCTCCCCAGGCTCCTAGAAAGACTCTGGAGCCTGGGAAGGGCGAAAAACGAGCCTACCGGGCCCATTGGGCCTTCATGTGCCAAAAGCAGGGGGAGTTCATGGGGATGGGGTGCATTGAACTATGGGTGTGGGCATGCGCACGCATGGCTCCCTGCACTCCCCCCCCCCGCTTTCGGCACGCAATGGCAAAAAGGTTAGCCATCATTGCTCTATGAGCTTGGTAGATTTTTTTTGCAGAAATTTCATTACTCAACTAGGTAATATCAGTGCTAGAAGGGAGTGCTGATGCGGTTATCCAGTTGGATAATGAAACATCTGAAGAAAACCACTAAGTTTAGAGAGCATCAAAGACTCCACAGTACACCTTGCTGTGATTTGACAGCTGATGCCATTGTTCCATGCAGAACATGACTGCAGAAGATACTGCAAAGAGCTTCCTTATTAGATTGCCTGACAAACCACTGTAAAAGGAATTTCCGGCTGCCATAAGGTAGTTGCAATCAATCAGTCTGGGTGGGAAACTATTCAGTTCGTATTTGTTTTCTCTTCTTTAGGGAATAGCTGGAGAATCTGGACTAAAAGGGCAGAAGGTAAGGAAAAGCTTTGGTTTCTCAGCCCAAAAGTAAACAGGATGAGCTTCTGATTGTGGCCAGCAATATCATTTGTTTTCCAAAACACTGCTGTGTTGCAAAGCAAATGCATTCGTTTGCATTATTAAGGCTGGATCATAGCAAAAATGCATAAATGATATATTGACATGATCTAATTGTGGAAGAAATCTGCAATAATTTTGTAATGCAATCAAGTTATAAAAGCTAAAGAGAAAACGCTGGAAATATTCGCAGATACATTTCCTTTGTTTGCCTGCTTTATTATTCCGTTATTCAATCCATTTCTTAACAATCACCCAGATCTACAATATGATGTGAGTAGAAAATTGCTCCTTCAGTGGAATCTGTCTTATTATTCTGATTAAACCCTTTCTAAATAAGTTCTAGCAGAAAATGAGTCCATTCGTGCATTCCTTATTCACGGAAAACAGATTATTTCCTGATCATTATAGGAATAATATTGTTCCACATGTATTGCATCTTTTAAAACTGAGCACTTGGAACGCTGCAGGGTAAGTGGAGATGGAGATGGGTCTGCCTTTATCTTATCACCAGCAGGGACCAATTCCCACCAGGTGTACCATGGCTACAACAGGAAGTTTGAAGGAGATGCACAGTTGGAGGGTTCACCTAGTTACACCAAACCACAGTTTTATTCATTCTGGTCTATTGAATATAGTACAATGGGCTGTGTGATGATGCGGGGCGTGGCACGAAAGCAACACAGCCAGAGAACAGGTCTAACTCCCCTTTATTGCTCCAACTTTGCCCCCAAACGTCCCCACCTTTACTATAAGTCCTGGAGCAAAGCTCTCACATGCACCTTCAGCAGCCTCTGGCTGCAAGTAGTCCAGTAAGCAAGGTTAGCCAAACAGTAACCAGAGCCAGAAGTTCAGCGAAGCAGGCAAACCGGGCAAGCCCACAGCAATCTCCAGGTGTCGACAGGTGCACACAAGGCTCTACACATTCAATGCTTGTTCTTGACAGATGCCCCTTCCACCAGCACCTCCTTACATCTCAGTCCCCAGGTGTGCCTGGTGAAGAGAGGTGGGGCACTCTCCTCCCTCGTAGCCAGCTCAGTCTAGATTGGTCTCACCTTCTCTCTTCTCTCCATGCTCTAGGATCAAGAGGGGGTGGTCCTTGCTCTTCGCCTGAGCTCTGTCTCTCCGGCTCCTCCCTGTCTGTAAGCCTTTCTCATCCTGAAAAACCTTGCCCAGACTGACTCTTCCCTTCTCCATTCCTCCAAGGCCAACGGAGCCACCCTCTTGATCTCTGTTGGCTCTTGTTCCAGCTCATCTTCCCCCACAAATTCAGACTCCAAGGGAGGCATGACAGGTTGGTTCACACATCACACAAGGCCTAGAAACAGCAATTCACACACCCTTTCTGACTAGGTGGCTCAGTGACTAAGACACTGAGCTTGTTGATCAGAAAGGTTGGCAGTTCGACGGTTCGAATCCCTAGTACAGGTCTCCTGCGTGAGGAGGGGGTTGGACTAGATGACCTCCAAGGTCCCTTCCAACTCTCTTACTGTTACTTTTCTTATTCAAAAATCAGCAATCCTCGTGACACATTCACTTTATAGTGACCCTAATTGCGGGGGGCAGGGAATAAAGGACAAACCAGAAAAGGAGGCAAATCTGAAAGAGATTTATAAGGAGTATATACATATACGCATACCCTGTTTCCCTGAAAATAAGACATCCCCTGATAATATGCCCAATCGGGCTTTTGAGTGCATATACTAAAATAAGCCCTCCCCGAAAATATTTAAACACAGAGCTGGAAATCAGGTATGACGGCAAGAGGAGCCCCATCTTGCTCCATGCGCCCCAAAATAATAAGACCTCCCTGAAAATAAGGCCAAGCGCTTACTTCGGGGTTCAAAAAAATATAAGACAGGGTCTTATTTTTGGGGAAACACAGTACATACATACATACATTTATTTGCCTTAGAAAAGAAAATTAAAGGGCCAAACCGAGAAAATATATAATTAAATGAAATAAATCTCAAGGACAGCTTTCTGAAATAAAGAACGGCCCTTTATAATAAAGGATGAATGGTCACTCTAATTTACCTATAAATTATCTATACACCATTCATTTATTGACTGTTCAAAGTTACTGTGGTGCTGAAAAAGTGACTTACAACCAGTCCTCATAATTACAACCAGTGTTTCTCAACCTTGGTAGCTTGAAGATGGGTGGACTTCAACTCCCAGAAGCCAGCGCTGCTGGCTGGGGGCTTCTGGGAGTTGAAGTCCACCCATCTTCAAGCTTCCAAGGTTGAGAAACACTGGTTACGACCATCACTGTGATTACATGATGAAAATTCAGGCAGTTGGCATGTACTTATGACAGTTGCAGGGTCCTGGTGTCACATGAGCATCATTTGTGACCTTCCCAGCTAACTGGGAGTGGAACATGGATTAGCTTAAGGACCATATAATTCAATTAATGACCACCACAGTGATTCACTTAACAAGTGTGTGGCATAAAAAATGGCAAAATCAGATGTGACTCATTTATCGGCCATTTTCCTTAACAACCTACATTCCGGCCCCAATTGTGGTTGTAAATTGAGGACCACCTGTATGGGTGCAAATGCATATATGTTACAGGTAGTCCTCCACTTACAACGGCTCATTTAGTGACCGTTCAAAGTTACCACAGCACTGAAAAAAGTGACTTATGACCATTTTTCACACTTACGACCACTGCAGCATTCCCATGGTGACACGATTTATATTCGGATGCTTGGCAACTGATTCATGCTGATGTGGTCCTCTTTTGCGACCGTCTAATGAACTGAATCAATGGGGAAGCCATATTCACTTAACAGTGTTATTAAATTAACAACTGCAGTGACTCACTTAACGAATGTGGCAAAAAAGAAGTTATAAAATGGGGCAAGACTCACTTAACACATTTCTCACTTAGCAACATAAATGTTGGGCTCCATTGTGGTTGTAAATCGAGGACTAGCTGTAGTTGGGTGCAAATGCATGTAGGCCCATTAGGACAGAGCAAAATGAGGGTGGGGGAAGGGTTTCTTGTGTCATTCAAGAACATAGATGAAATAATTTCGGCAAAAGAAGCTTGTTCTTCAGAAGTGAGGAATAATTTAATTCTGGAAATTCCTTTTTACGCAATTCTGAAAGGCACACAGGCCCCCGAGGCTCAAGAACTAGAACCTCAGTTGCCTAGCAACCCTTACAAAGCGGACCATCTTGGCCTGTGCACACCTTTCCTCTCACAGCCACCGTCACCTGAAAGCCTCTGAGTTGCCTGGCAACCTTGCACTGGGATCCCGAATATCCGTAGCCACTTCCTGGAATTAGCATTAGGAATTAGAAATGTTTTGTAGAATTTAGGAGAAATGATATATACCAGTGATGGCTAACCTTTTTGCCATCGAATGCCAAAAGCGGGGGGAGCGCATGGGGGGGTCACACACGCACATGCTCACACCCATAATTTTATGCACCCCGCTCATGCGCGGGCAACCCCCTTACTCCCCCCACTTTTGGCACGTGATGGCACAGTAGGCCCGGTAGACCTGTTTTTCACTCTCCCCAGGCTCCAGAGCCTTTCTAGGAGCCTGGGGAGAGCGAAAACGGTCTTCCTTCCCACCCCCGGAGGCCCTCCAGAGGCCAGAAATGGCCCGTTTGCCGACTGGTGGGCCCAGAAGGCCTGAAAATCAGCGCGCCAGAGCTGAGCTTGTGTGCCCACCGATATGGCTCTGCGTGGCATGGTGCCATAAGTTCGCCATCACGGATATATACAATTGTGGTGAGAGAATGTGGCATTGTGTTAACTGACACCCAGCAGACACCCTGTAACTTTGCTGCTGTGGAGATTAAACAACAAAACAAAAAGAAGCACACCAGGCACCCACAATTATTATTATTATATCTTTATCTAGTGTTGGCCTTTGGACACATCACATTCTTCCCAAGAACCTGGGATGTCATAGCAGCGTAGTACAGGTAGTCCTCAGCTTACAACAATTCATTTAGTGGCCATCCAAAGTTACAACTGCACTGAAAAAAAAGGACATGATTATTTTTCATACTTACGACTCACATTTATGACGGTTGCAGTGTCCTGGGGTCAAGTGATACCCTTTTGCGACCTTCTGACAAGCAAAGTGAATGGGGGAAACCAGATTCACTGAAATTAGTGTCACTAATTTAACAACTGCAGTGATTCACTTAACAACTGTGGCAAGAAAAGTTGTAAAATGGGACAAAACTGGCTTAACAAATTTCTCACTTAGCAGCATCAATTTTGGGCTCAATTGTGGTCGTAAATTGAGGACTACCTGTATATGTATGCATCCAAGCAGTGTGGATCCTTTTGTTACTGACAGATGGAAAATTTGTCAATTCACAGATTTTCTAAGCATTCCAAGATTTATTTATTATTTATTTTATTTATTAAATTTATATACCGCCCTATTCCTGAGGGACTCAGGGCGGTGAACAGTGAACGATAAAAATACATATAATACAAACGTTAATAAAAAACCAATTAAAATATACTAAACACTCTGGTCCTAGATAATTCAAGACATCCCAGTTTAAAATAAAATCAAAAGCAATATAAAGGGAAAATTAGGCCAGGCCGGCCTGCTGAAACAGGAATGTTTTGAGGGCACGGCGGAAAGTGCGCAGATCCGGAATCTTCTGTATCTCTGGGGGGAGCTCGTTTGTTGGTACAGCAGCCAGTGTGTCAGTGCCCACTGGCTATCATGGCTGCTTTGTGCCATCTTTCAGTGTTCATTTCAGATCTTGATACTTCTGTGATCTTCTCCATTTCTTTGTCTTCTGTTCTGCCATATATCTGGGTGTGGCCACATCAAATATTCACACTTTCTTCTAATTATTAAGGCTTATCACATACTGTTTCAACTCCGATCCTCAAAATGACGCTATAGAGCACTGCACACCAGAAGAACTAGACACAAGAACAGTTTTTCCCTGAATGCCATCACTTTGCTAAACAAATAATTCCCTCAACACAGTCAAACTATTCACTAAGTCTGCATTATTATTAATCTTCTCATCGTTCCTGTCACCCATCTCCTCCCACTAATGACTGTAACCTCGTTGCTGGTATCCTTACGATTTTTATTGATATTGTGTCCTGATTGCTTATTTGTACCCTATGACTATCATTAAGTGTTGTACCTTATGATTCTTGATGAACGTATGTTTTCTTTTATGTACACTGAGAGCGTATGCACCAAGACAAATTCCTTGTGTGTCCAATCACACTTGTCCAATAAAAAATTCCATTCCATTCTATAATCAGTCAGATATTTAGTCTGGATTTGACATTTTGTCCATCTATCAAGTCCTTCTCAAGGACCTGGAATAGCCAAATGTTTTTGTCTTTCTAGATGTTGTTAGCCTATACTTCCAACATTCCTCACCATTGTAGTAAAATATTAGTCAGTGCACATGGTTCCTTCTCTTCTTTCCTTTACAACAGCCCTGCAAAGTAATTGAACTGATTGGTCTTATTTTGTAGCTAAGGGGAGACTCGTATCTGTTTTTCCCAAATCTAATTGGAAAATCTATTACTAATTACATTTGCTACACTATTAGTGCCACTTCTATGGCCATGCTACAGAAGACCTGCTCTGGCCCTTGTAACACGTTGCTCTGGGTATAGTCTGCTGCCATATTGTACAGCATCGCAGACACAACATATATGGAAGCACGCACTTAGGGAGTTGTGCAATTGTAAGTATTATGTCTGAACTCACCTGAGTTCAGCCATAGTGAACACCAAACTTGGATCTTGTAAATCCAGCATGTTTTGCTGTCTACAAAAGACCCACTTTGGTATAGAAGGATGAACTTTTGTCATATCTTAAACGTTTGTGTGTGTGTGTGTGTGTGTGTGCATAATTCTGTTTCTTCAGAGAGACTGAGGAATAAAAGAGAAGGTAATTCTCAAAAGTGGTTTCATCTCTCTCCTCCTGTTTTCGGTGCTTTCCAGGGTGATGCAGGAAATCCAGGTGATCCGGGCATACCTGGTGAAGCAGGTTTACATGGCCTTTCTGGTGAGCCTGGCATCAGAGGACCAGCAGGGGTGAAAGGTGAAAAGGTGAGAGTCTGCTTTTTTGAAATACTCGTAAGAAAAATATGGAACTGCATCTACATGGAGGGAAGTATGCAGTGGAGTACCCCAGGAATATTGCATTCAGTTTTGGTCACCATGATGTAAAAAAGATGTGGAGACTCTAGAAAGAGTGCAGAGAAGAGCAACAAAGATGATGAGGGGACTGGAGGCTAAAACATATGAAGAACGGTTGCAGGAATTGGGCCTGGCTAGTTTTATGAAAAGAAGGACTAGGGGAGACATGATAGCAGTCTTCCAATATCTCAGGGGTTACCACAGAGAAGAAGGAGTCAAGTTATTCTCCAAAGCACCTGAAGGTAGAACAAGAAGCAATGGGTGGAAACTAATCAAGGAGAGAAGCAATTTAGAACTAAGGAGAAATTTCCTGACAGTTAGAACAATTAATAAGTGGAACAACTTGCCTCCAGAAGTTGTCAATGCTCCAACACTGGAAGTTTTTAAGAAGATGTTGGATAACCATTTGTCTGAAGTGGTGTAGCATTTCCTGCCTGGGCAGGGGGTTGGACTAGAAGACCTCCAAGGTCCCTTCCAACTCTGTTAATTCTATCCTATTCTAAATAGCTTGAACACATACCAATACTCCATACCAACAATTAAGCTCAGCCCAACTAAGCTGTTTCTCATCCACCAAACATGCAGCTTTCTGCAAGTAGAAGGGGTAATTTTAACCTATTTGTAAATCTCTAGGAACACGAACAAGAATAGAGTTGGCAGGGGTGTCCATAGTTATGATCAAGAGTCTCACATCTTCCTGTAGCTTTCTGTCCCCAATAGCTGTGTGACGTGTTGCATGGAGAAATAACATAATACTTGTATCAAAGTTGTAACTGATCTATCACTGTGTGTTGTTTCTCACCTGCCTTCTCTCATCCTACAGGGAGCTGCTTGTGAGTCATGTCCCATGATCAACCCAGAATATGGAGCAATTGGTATCCCAGGCACACCTGGTCAAAAAGGGGATCCTGGTCTCCCAGGTGTGGGTCAGCCAGGCAAACCCGTAAGTAGCTTTCTAACCAATCCAACCAGTGATCAGTTTTGAGTTTATTTTCTTATTATTCATGTTTATCCTGCCTTTGTTATTGTTTATAAATAACTCAAGGTGACAAATACACCCAATACTCTTTCCTCCTCCTCCTATTTTCCCCATAACAGGTACATTGATTTTCATGCCTAAGGCAGGACTAGAACTCCCTGTCTCCTGGTTCCTAGCCTGGTGTCTTCGACACCAAACCAAATCAGGGCAAATTTTTAAATTGAGAACTTGGTCTGATATAGCCAAGACTCATTCCTGTTCCTTCCAGTTATTTGTATATAAAAAAAAAACATTTCAGCCTGCATCTTTAGCAACCCATGCCACTCTGTATTTCTGGGACTGAACTTGTTAGCTAGTCTATTTATTTGTTTGTTTGTTTGTTTGTTTTTCATTCATTCATTTTATCAAGCAAATATAAGATAACAGGTAAAAGTATAAACATAATTTGAATACATGAAAAGAGTAAGAGTAAAAAGGAATATTAGGACAGGGACGGAAGGCATGCTGGTGCACTTATGCCTGCCCCTTACAGACCCTATTCTTAGGAATGGGGTGAGGTCAACAGTAGACAGTCTAAGGTTAAACTTTTGGGGGTTTGGGAAAGAAACCACAGAGTCAGGTAGTGCATTCCAGGCATTGACCACTCTGTTACTGAAGTCATATTTTCTGCAATCGAGTTTGGAACAGTTTACCTTGAGTTTGTATCTATTATGTGCTCGTGTATTGTTGTGGTTGAAGCTGAAGTAGTCATTGACAGGTAGGACATTGTGGCAGATAATTTTATGTACTATGCTTAGGTCAGACTGAAGTCGGTGTAGTTCTAAGTTAATGGATTTTTAGAAATGCCTTGATGCTTTAGAATAACTTGCCAATTCATCCAGGGCTGGGCTCAGTTTTCCAGTAATTGAATTTCCTTCGGTGTCAGATTGCAGAGTCCCATGGTTCTCACTCCATGTGGCCTTGAGTAGGTTGTCTAGGGATTATGGGCTTTGTAATCAGGAAGGCATCAAATTGGGGAAGAGTAGCCTACCGCTCTCATGGATAATAGCTGTTGGCAGAATTCTTTTTCCCTGAATCTTTCTAATCCCTTAAAACAAGAGCCATCGCCAGAGCGTGCAGAAATGACTTTCATCAGTTAATTACGTATTGCATGAAGATACATTTCCTCTCATCTGCTGGTTCTAATCAAGTTTATTTGAAGGCACCGTGTTAACTGCTGGTTTTTATTCCTTTAATTAACTGATTTGATTTACATATCAGAACACCTCCGTCAAGCAGCTTGTTTGAATAAAAGGTGACCATTGCGGAAAACAAATGTCAAATCATTAATGTTCCCAGACTTTGATTAACAAAAGAGAATCTATCTGCGTGAGATTTTTTTTTTTATTAAGGCTACAAAATAAACCAAGCTGTAATCTTATTAAGTTGAGAATATATCTGATGGTTTGAAGGATAACTTAGAGTAATAGCACTTTAGTTATATTCTCACAAATGTTGCTCTTTAACCTTAATTTGAGAGAGATGCCCTTGCTCATGCTGGCAAAGTTGACCCCGTCTAATTTTCTGTGTGTTTTGTAATTTCACTCATGCACAGAAGCAGCCTAGAATTTCCCACTGGGATTCAGATTTCGGCTTGCTCAAAATCTCCCTGTTGATTTTGCTTTAAAAGACGAAACCTATTCTTACCCTTCAGATTGTGAAGTGAAGCTTAAAAGGGTGAAGAGAAATGAAAGTATTTGGGTCTATTTTAGCCTTGAGAAGATTGAAGATTATATTAGAGCAGTTTAAATACCTGAGGATATCGTACAAAGGAAGCTAAGACCATTCTTTCTCATCCCAGAGTGCAAGGCAAAGAATAATGGGTTTAAGTTGGGGAAAGGCAGGTAGTGAAATGTGGTGAAAAGTGGAACCAATTACTAAATGAGGTGAATTTCTCTGCACTAGATATGCTCATGCAGAGACTGAGGAGCCATCTGCTGATAATGCTTTAATTTGGCTTCTTACTTGAGGTGTAAGATTCATCTTGATTACCTGAATAACCCCTTCCGAAATTTAGAGGTTTAAAAGCTTAAGGCTTTATATAGCTATTCAGTGTAGTTCATCCTTTCCAGTGTAAATACATTTTTTTTTCCAGTTTTGCCAAATCAATCAATTTTCTCCCTCAGAATTATCTATCAACTGGATTCTAGTCAAGCAGGGATGGGGAACTTGCAACTACAGCTACAACTCCTGACAACCCTCATTATTAGCTAGGAATATGGGGATGTTGCAATCCAACATCTGGAGGGCTTCAGCTTTCCATCCCTTTGATAAAGCAATCTTGTCAGGCATCCAGATGTGTGGCGTCCTCTGCACTCTCTGAGCTTAGTTGCTTTTTTGTAGACATTTCATTACCAAACATTACCATTCCCAGAAGGAAGAAATATCCTTCTGGGTTCAGCTCCAAGTGGGGAAAAAGACACTGGAAACATGGAGACTGCTTGGAAAGATGGTTTAATGGTGGACAGGATTACATGGCTTGAGTTCCTGAACAGAAAAAGGGCCGAGACGCAGTGAGTTCCCGGGTTTTATGCCCTCTCTGGCTTTGAACTTCCTGGGGCCCAAAAAGAGTATCCTGATTGATTGTCAGACTCTCAGGGGATGGGGGTCTTAGCCAGCCTTGCTGGCTGATGTAATCTTCCCAGGTGCCATGTGGTGAGTTTCTGTTGCTAGATGGGTTCTATTGTGTTGCAGATGATGGTCCAGTGACAAAGATTGAATTTCTACCTCTGGCCCATTGACAAAAGGGGGGGGGGGTTAGAAGGTTAGGGTTAGTCTTTAAAACATGCTTCTCCATTTCTCATCCAGGGAAACATAATATTCTGCCTTTTTAATATTTCCTAAAATATTTCATTCTTCTAGGAAAGGGGTGGGTGCTAACTTCCTACACTAGGTAACTTCATCATCACCATGGATGGACTTGCTTAGTTTGCTAATAAAATGGAAAACCACCCAACTTGAAGAACATCAAGGACCCCACAGTTCAACCCTGAAATACAAATCTTCTGTTCTATCAATACATACAGAAGTAATTGGCCATACAGGCTGGGGAATTATAGGAAGTGGTCCAGTACAGCTGGAATAGGCTGTTCTCAAAGATGGAAGACATTTCTCTTGTGTTTTGTCCACAATGTCATTGAACTAGATACCTTCAGAGGGGAAGAGTTGAAAAGTTCTAAATGTGTTGGGTTCATTCTTCATTCTTTGCTCCTCCTCCAATTTTCAGGGGAAACCAGGACTTCCAGGTATCCAGGGGCCTCCTGGCCTGAAGGGGTTGCAGGTGAGTATCAATTAGGGTTGTATTCATTCAAAGACCCTTTCTCAGGCATCCATTTTTAGCTTTCTTGGGGTGGTAGAAGAGACTCACAGAAAAATGAGTGGCTATCGTTAAGTAGCTACCATAAACTCCAGACCAATTTTAGGGAAAATAAATAAAGCTTATGGAGCAGGATGGAGGTAAGGGGTGATCAGATGTCCTCCATAGGATGGGTTAAGACACTGATTCGGGTTCCTTGGAGGAGGGAAGAGGAGGAGAAACATTAAGCTAATTCTTCTCAGGAGTTGTGGACTGAATGTTTTTCACTAAGAGTCGTGCTTCCACTGACATAACTTTTGCAACTTTTTAGGGGGAACCAGGTACCTCTGGCATAGGAATCCAAGGGCCAGAAGTGAGTAACTTCCTTTTTGATATGTGGTACAAGTTACTTCAGCCATGCATTTCCATTAGCATCAACCCCAAATGTTTATCTGCTTTTTGCAGGGAGAACCTGGGCAGAAAGGTTTACCAGGAAATCCAGTAAGTATTAACCCACTGGGCACTTTGCTACCCTGTTTGACCACACAGGGGTCACTTCAGTGGTGAAATCCAATTTTTTTTATTACCAGTTCTGTGGGTATGGCTTAGTGGGCATGGCCTGGCTTGGTGGGCGTAGCTTGGTGGGCATGGCAGGGGAAGGTTACTGCAAAATCCCCATTTCCTCCCGATCAGCTGGGACTTTGTAGGCCGAGAATATATGGGGCGGGGCCAATCAGAATTTTTACTACTGATTCTCCGAACTACTCAAAATTTCTGCTACCGGTTCTCCAGAACTGGTCAGAACCTGCTGAAACCCACCTCTGCTTGGTGGGCGTGGTGTGGCTTGGTGGGCATGGCAGGGGAAAGATACTGCAAAATCTCCATTCGCACCCCACTCCAGGGGAAGGATTCTGCAAAATCCCCATTCCCTCCCCACTCCAGGGGAAGGATTCTGCAAAATCCCCATTCCCTCCCCACTCCAGGGGAAGGATACTGCAAAATCCCCATTCCCTCCCCACTCCAGGGCCAGACAGAGGTAGTATTTGCCGGTTCTCTGAACTGCTGAAAATTTCCGCTACCAGTTCTCCAGAACTTGTCAGAACCTGCTGGATTTCACCTATGGATCACATTTTTCCAAAAGTCTCAACCCATCCAACCAGATCTAGCAGAATGGGCATGCTGCAGATCTCATCTGCTAAAGATTGTCGGCTGGCAGGGACTAGAATAGAATAGAAGCTTTTCCTGGAGTGGCCCCTGTTCTATAGGACAATCTCTCTTCAGAGATTAGAATGGCCCCGACCCTGTTAGCCTTTCTTCATAAGACCCTAAAAACATGCCCATGCTCCCCAAACCAGGATCCTGAATACGTTAAGGCCCCCCTCTTTCCTGGCTATATTGCTAACTGGTCAAGTATCTCAGTTGTTGTGTATATTTATTCTGGATGTGTCTATTATTTTGGATGTGTCTATTTTTATTCTTTTAAAATATTTTTAATATTTTGATTGTTATACATTTTTTAAAATTGTGAGCCACCTGGAGTCATTGACTGAGATGGGCAGGTGTAGAAATCGGAGGAAGGGAAGGGAAGGGAAGGGAAGGGAAGGGAAGGAAGGAAGGAAGGAAGGAAGGAAGGAAGGAAGGAAAAGGAAGGAAGGAAGGAAGGAAGGAAGGAAGGAAGGAAGGAAGGAAGGAAGGAAGGAAGGAAGGAAGGAAGGAAGGAAATCCCTCACTGCATACCAGACATAGGATAACTGATCCGAAACATTTGGACAATTTTAGGGCAAAAAAAATAAAGCTCATGGAATAGGTTGGGGGAAGGGTGGTGATCAGAGGGTCTCCATAGGATAGTTTAATCCAGGTGTTCATGGTTTTATTGCATGCTGGTTTTGCAGACTCTTGCGAATCCATATGGAGTTGGAGGCATGCAAATAATAAAATAAAATCTGGCACTAGCCTGGAAATTGCAGCACCTTTGCTTTTGCTATATAGTAATTGTTTCCCCCGCTTTTTTTCCTGATCTTCAGGGGCCTCCAGGACCTCGTGGTCCAGTAGGAAATGCTGGAATAAAAGGTGCAAAGGTGAGCATCTGCATGTGAAAAGGTGTCGTTTCCTATGGTTGGAGAAATAGTTGGAAAGAGTCGTGGTGGCGCAGTGGTTAGAATGCACTATTGCAGGCTAACTCTGCCAACTGCCAGCAGTTTGATTCTCATCAGCTCAAGGTTGACTCAGTCTTCCATCCTTCTGAGGTGGGTAAAATGAGGACCCAGATTGTTGGGGGCAAGAGGCTGACTCTGTAAAGCGCTTAGAGAGGGCCGTAAAGCACTGTGAAGCGGTATATAACTCTAAGTGCTATTGCTATCTAGGAACTTCCGTGGGAGTGCTTAATCCATCTTTATGTTCTCATTCCTTTCTATATATCCTTGTGAAATGTATCTGACAAGCAGCTAGTGTCAGGCGCAAGGAATCAGAATAACACCAGGAGCTGATAGAAAAGTTTCCACCACACCATCTTTCCTTTAGCTCTCAGAGCAGAGAGAGAGAAACGTTATATTCTGGCATGCTCCCATATATGAGGTTTAACACAACTCCCATCTACTCTCTATGGGGGAGGGAGATTTTATCCAGCATATTTTCTTTTTTCTTTTTTTTTTTTTATTGAAAAAGTTTTCAAATACAAATTTTTCCCCCACATTTTTCTCCCCCCCTCCTCCCATCCCCCCCATGACTTCCTCCAACAAGAACCTAATTTATAACAGATTATATAATATTTTACTATCCCCTTACTACCTCCTCTAAATACTGACCCTTATTTACTAATAATATTAATAATATTATTACTTCCCCTTTTACCATACATTTCAAAATATCATTTTACTATAACATTACATAATAACTTCTAACATAATAATATTATTATAACTCCCAATTTGACAGTAATCTGCCCTATTTCTCCTCCCTATGCTTATATCTGTATATCTGTATATTAATACAACATTTCATAACAACCTTCCCCTTTGTAGAACTATGTAATAAATCCTACTTTAACATTTAATCTTTTATATATATTAATATAACATTTCAAAGCAGCCTTCCCCATAAATCTTAATTTAGCATTTATTCAGCTCCATCCATTTACTCCACTCCCATAGATATATCACTTAAGCATCCCTTTTCTTAAACTAAACAATCAGTAAACTAACCTATCTCCACCCACTTTCCTACTAAATTACCATACACAACAATTCTTAATATCTTTAATCTACTACCCACCCTACTACAAAAAAAAAATATTCCATTATATAAAATAAATCAATAACTTTAAATTTATAATCGATATAATATCTTCTTTAGTATCTATCCACTGGATTGTTGAATACATCATCCATATTAGGGTAACATAGCATCCTAGTTGCAACAGATTGTTCCAAATCCTCAGTTGTCTTCTGCCCCCATCAGTAATAATTCTCCTCCTATATATATAAAAAAGAAAACAACCACCCGAGTGACATTATGATTATATTCCATACAATATCTGTAGTTGTGGTTTTCTTCAAGATTATTAATTCCCATCGTGGTAATGGGTAACAACCAGATCTTCTGCATGCCCCAGCGTGATTCTCTTGCCTTATAGCTCGACATAAATATAATACATTTATCAATAAAGAGAACTCCAAAATAGATAATTCCAATCCAACCAGTTTAAGGCTCTTTTCACATCCCAGGATTACAGCATTGCAGAGATCTGTCACTCTCCTCAGGATATTGTTAACCAATACTTCGCCTCAACTGTCTTTTCATATATTCGTTCATTTAAAAAAAAAAAAAAAACTGGCGTCGCTGTTGCTTAGTTTAGAAGTTTTTATATTTGTGAGACCTATTTCTTTTTTTCTTTTCCTTTTGTGGGTTTGTTCTCCATCCTAATTTCCTTTCTGCAGGTTGTATATCGGCTGAGCAATTTTCATTCTGCTTTATAACTTGATCTTGTTGGTTTTGCTTTAACTCATATTTCTTTTCTGACAATTGTATATCAGCTAAATGATTATGCTTGTCTGTGACTTGATGAGTCATAATCACATTAGAATCCGATACCACTTCTCTTTTATTTATGAATAATCCAGCTGAGATATCTGAAAAATCCAAAGGTAATTTGTCTACAAAAACCTCTATAATTCGATGTTTTCCCTTTATTTCCAATTCCTTCTGCTTATCCTGTATTGTGCCTAAAGATGTTGAATTCATTTTCAAAATTTTTTGATAAAATTCTTCCGCTTTTTCAACAGTATTTAATTGATATCTTTCTCCTTGATATCTCAATATAATACCAACTGGGGCATCCCACCTGAATAGGATATTTCTCTTTTTAAGTTCAGTCACCAGAAAACCAAATTTCTTTCTTTCCAATAACATCTTGGGCGGGAGCTCTTTATATATCCAAATCTTTCTTCCAAACCATTGCAAAGTAGAATTGTAAGAATTTTGCACAATATTATTTCTTATCTCCTTGTCTATAAAGTAAATCACCACATCTCTAGGCAGTTGCCTTTGCTTTGCAGTCCAGGAATTTATTCTATAAACTCTGTCAATCCTACAAAATACTTCCTCAGGTTGAACCTTTAAAATCCCAGCCAGAATTTCAGAAGATATTTTCCTTAAATCATCTCTGTTGTTTTCCTGCAGCCCTCTCAGTCTAATCGCATATTCAGTGAAATTATATTGCGTCATTAAAACTTCTCTTTCAATCCTCTGTTGCAAATTTTCTACATTACAAGTCTTTTGATCAGCCTCCATTTTAGGTTTTTCTTCTGAGCTATTATCTTGAGTATTTGTCAAATCATTTTCAATTTTTTGTATTCTATTGTCCAAATTATCCTCAGTTTCTTCCATTTTAGACTCTAATAACTTAGTATTTGCATCCAACTGGATCATAAATTCTGAAAAACCATCAGCCATTTTTATAATCTTTCGTTCCAAAAAGTCAAACTTTGATTTCACCAATTCTTTAATTTCCTGCTTAAATTTTTCAAAATGCTGATTCACAATCTCATCCCTTCTTACAATCTCCTCTAAGAGAAATTCTATTACGTTAAAATCAGGTTTCTGATATTGGAGACTTAGAACTTGTTCTTGTAATTTGTTAATGGGGGAATCCCCCCCCCGCTGCTTGTTTGTCTGACTTTATAAGTCTCAATGCCATGTTTCTGCCCAGACAAACTTTATTAAAAAAGAGAAGAAAACTTCTTTCCGACCAAGATCAATATCAGATCTCCAGGAGAAAAAAAACACAAAAGTGAAGTTTTGTCTTCAATTGTAGCCAAAAGTATCTATTCCGCTACTTTGTAATAATAGAAAACGGAAGGACTTTCCCTTTCAGCCTCTCCTCAAGCCGCGGCAGTCGCCATTTTAAAAAATCTTTTTTTCCTTTTTTTTTCTTTCTTAAATAACTTTTGTAAAATAAGTAAAATACTTGCGATTCAGGATCACAGGTCCAGCTCACGTCTTCTTTAATTAATCTGTTAAATATGCAGGCTTGCTCTTGTCGCCTAGCTCTGCATTAAGCAGAGATCTCCCAAAGCCCGGAGCGGCGGCTAGGGATATGGGGAGTCTCATCCACTCCGTCCCAAAAGTAAAAGAAAAACTTTTGGGACTATGCAGAGAGCTCTACCCACCCCAGCCGGCTCTATCTCCATTTCCTCATGGAAACGGAGTTTTTTCGAGCCGCCATTCCGTTATGAAGGCGGCTCTTACAGGCAGTGGGGCTGACGATCCTGAAAGAACGTCTGGCGGCGACAAGCAGCAAACCGGAAGCCCATATCCAGCATATTTTCTTCATGGTATTTTTAATGATATGGACCACATGTGCAATGGCATTACTGGCTTCATCCTTGTTGGCAATCATCGGGCGTGTGCAATCAGATGTTATTTTACAGGATTCAAACCAGCGGTGAAATCCACTTACCTTCACTACCGCTTCGGGAATGGGAGCGTGCGTGTGCCTCTTCTGCGTATGCACAGAGCCTTCTGCGCATAAGCAGAGGGTCAAAAAGCGGGTGGGCGGAGCCTCCCGCCGCCGGCGCTACCGATTCGCCCAAGCCGGATAGATCCGGCTGGTCAAACCCTCTTCTGGGCATTGAACTATCATGCACCATCGAACTTTAGATTAGTATAATAAAACACACTAGCTTTAGGAGTGACACAGGTCCTGACCCTCAGTGATGTTGCAGGAACAAAGGTATAGTATATGTCAGAATGAGATGAATCTGCTGTGGTCCGCCAGCAGCCGGCGGCCTGTGGTCAGACAGTGAGGAGGCTGGGGAGGACAATGGGCCAGTCCTGGAGTCTGGGGAAGGCCCGGACAAGGGCTCTGCATCAGAGGCAGAGATGGGGCCAGAGCCATCTGGGAGTGATGCGCAGACTGCGGAACCTCCAGAGTCGGATATCAGAGAGGCAGAGGAACAGGAGGAGCCTGTTCCTAGTGCACGTATGAGAAGAGCTGCCAGAAGGCAAGAGCAGCTAAAGCAAAAAGGACGACTCAGGAGTAAGGCCAGAAGATGATTGGCCCCTCCCAGAAGGCTTAAAAGAGCAGCAATAAACCATTGCGTTCTTTGTAGAAAAGCAACATTTTTTTTTTATTGCAAAAGTTTTACAATTACATTTTCACCCCTTTTTTCACCCCCCCCACCTCCCTCCCCAAACTTCCCATCCTCCCTAACCCTCCCTAACCCTCCCCCCCAGACTTCCCTATTATGTACTCATAACTAATAATACTGATATATATACCTGAACCCATCCCTCCCCCTATATTATCTTCCCTCTTTATCTCTTTACATTAAGATATTTCTAATACATTATTTTCAAATAAAAGCTATTTGGTACTTTCTAGTTTGGTATTTGTTCTGAACATATTCTATCCACCTTTTCCATTCCCATTCATAAGTCTCTTGTGAACAATCTTTTAAATATGCTGAAATCTTCGCCATCTCTGCAAAACTGGCCATCTTCAAAGTCCATTCCTCGATAGTAGGCAAAGCTTCATTCTTCCAATATTTACCTATCAACAATCTTGCTGCTGTTATCATATACAATATTAATTTTATTTCACCCCGTGTAAAACCCTTAACTATACCCAATAAAAACAATTGTGGAGAAAATTGAATTTTTTTCTTCAAAACATTCTGCATGACCCACCATATTTTTATCCAAAAAGCCTTAACTTTCCTACAGGTCCACCAAACATGATAATACGTAGCATCCAAACATTCGCATCTCCAACATTTTGGCTGAACATTAGGGTACATACATGACAGCTTTTTAGGATCTAAATGCCATCTATAAAACATTTTATAAAAATTTTCCCTCAGATTCTGCGATTGTGTAAATTTAACATTCTGAACCCAAATTTTTTCCCATGTTTCCAACATCACTGGTTCTTCAAAATTTTGTGCCCACTTAATCATACAATCTTTAACTAATTCCGTTTCTGAATCCCTTTCTAGCAAAACATTATAAAGCCTTTTAATATGCATTAGACCTTTCTCTCTTATATGTCTAACCAATTCTTCCTCATGCAACATAATACCAGTTTTTTGGTCCTCTTTCCATCTCAATTGTAATTGATTATATTGTAACCAAGTTAAATTAATCCCTTCGTCCAACAGTGTCTGCAAGGTCTTCAGCTGCCATCTACCCGCATCTGTAAAAAGAACCTCTTTGTATAAAAACCCCCCGAGTGACATTATATTTGTATTCCACAAGGTATGACCAAGATCCAGCCATAGCGGTATTTTATAATCCCATTTGAGTCGGTGCTTCTTCCAAACTCTCATCAAAGAGTCTCTAAGTATATGACTTTTAAATACTTTATCAACTTTGTCATCATAAAATAGGTAAGCATGCCATCCAAATTCAAGATCAAAACTTTCTGCATTCAATATTCCAGCCTTTTTACTTCCAAACCAATCACTTGTTAAAGTTAAAGCTGCTGCATCATAATATAACTGTAGGTTTGGAAGTTTAAGGCCTCCTCTTTCTGGAACATCTTGCATAATTTTCAATTTCACTCTCGGCTTTTTGTCGTTCCAGACAAACTTATTAAGTCCAGTTTGCCAAACTTTCAGTTGTTTATCACTTTTAAGCACCGGAATCATTTGAAACAAAAACAGAAATCTTGGCAAAATATTCATCTTAACTGCTGCTATTCTTCCAAGTAGAGACAGCTGCAGTTTTTTCCAAGTCTCCATGTCTTTCTGAACCTCTCGCCACAACACCTCATAGTTATTTTGAAACAATTTCATGTTTGATTCTGCAACCTGAACTCCAAGATATTTTACCTTAGGTACAATTTCAAAACCTGCCCTCCTTTCAAGCTCATGTTTACGATCTTGTGTCATATTTTTGACTATCATTTTAGTCTTTTTTGAATTCAGTCTAAAACCTGAAACTCTACCATAGTCTTGTATAATGTCGTTCATCAGGATTGTTGATTCCATTGGTTGTGATAGGGTAACCACCAGATCATCTGCAAATGCCTTTATTCTATAATCCTCTTGCCTTATCATTATGCCTTTCAAAATTTTTGAGTCCCGTATTGTATTTAGCAAGACTTCCAATGTTAAAATAAATAAAAGTGGGGACAACGGACATCCCTGTCTTGTTCCTTTTTCAATTTTAAACTCTGTCGTCAAACTTCCATTAATAATAATCTGTGCTTTTTGCTCTTGATAAATTGCTGAGATCGCCTGTATAAATTGGTCCCCAAAGCCCATCTTTTTTAAAGTCTTTAGTAGAAAATTCCAATCCACTCTATCAAAGGCCTTCTCCGCATCCAAAAAAACCAGCACTGCAGAAATCTGTTTATTCTTGTCAAGATATTCCAATAAGTCTATTACTTGCCTTACATTGTCCTTCATATATCTGCCCTCAATAAATCCCGCTTGGTCCGCATGAATCACCTTTTGGATTACTGGCATCAACCTGTTGGCTAATACCTTCGCATAAATTTTATAGTCTGTGTTCAAAAGAGATATTGGTCTATAGTTCTCTGGTTTTTTAGGACCAACTTGTTCTTTTGGTATCAAAGATATATAAGCAGTTGTCCAAGATGGGGGTATTTTGCCCCCTTGTTGAATATTGCAAAATAAATCTCTAAGTTGTCCCACCATTTCAGCTTGTAAAGTTTTGTAATACACTGCGGTCAAACCATCCGTGCCAGGAGCTTTGGCTGTTTTTAGCTGTTTAATTGCTGCTGTTATCTCCTCCTCTGTTATAGGATAATTCATTCTTTCCTTTTGTTGATCAGTAATTTTTGTAACTCTCTTATCCTTTAAATATTTTTCTATAAGTCCATTCTGCACCTCTTCTTTGGCATATAGTTTAGTATAATAATCCACAAAAGCTTCTTTAATTAGTTTTTGTTGAAAGATTTCTTTCCCTCCAATATCAATACTATCAATAGTCCGTATACTTTGTTTTTTCCTCAATGTGTAAGCCAACCATCTGCCCGGTTTGTTAGCGTTGCAAAATGTATTATGCTTCGCGTATTGTAAACTTGTTGCAACTTGTTCCGCCATAAGCATTTGAAATTGGTCTTTCAAAAGTTTTATAGCACTTCGTATTCTTTCATCTGTTGGGTTTTTAATAGAAAAGCAACATTGATTCCCATGCTTCTTGTCAGCATCTCTTGAACTTTGTGGGGGATTTTTTCCCAAGAAAAGCCTTTGGCAGATTGCCAAAGACATCAAAGGTTGGTGATAAGGCCATAGGACTGGTTACGAAGAATTTGTTTTGGACTAAGCTGAGAATGAATTAATTCTCAGCTATTTTAATAAAATAAGTTTGTTCAGGACTGAATTGTGTTTGGTAATCAGTACGTGGGCCTCGGTCACAACAGAATCGTCACTTCAGCTCTCGGAGAGAGAAACCCTTGTTATGTTGGTGTTGAATCTGGCACTGAATGCAGGAGGGAGGGGCTGATTCCCAGGGAGCTAAAAGACAAATCAGCCTTGAGTGCTCGGTTTGCAGACAGAGGCCGAGAAAGGACCCTCTCTATAACCTGCACACGATTGACAGTTATGCAGAGTGTGCTTCAGTCTGGCAAGATTCTGTCTATGGGCAAACAGCAATAAAGAAGCTACTCTGGGCAATTAATTGTGTAGTTTTTTTTGTCCCATGCACCTGACAGTCAAGCCCCCACATACATAGTTCTGGCTACCCATGCCTGATGATATCCAAAGAGGATAATATCAGTAGCATGGTGCTTGCTGATGATCGGCATAACCATGCAATTGAAAGTTTGCCATTCAGGTGTTGTTGGAGCCCACTGTGTGGCCAGTGGCCAGCTCTGGCCTAATACGAGTTGTAATCCAGCTCCAACAGATGCCTACAGTTTGTCCTTGCTTCTTTCACCGAGATGTGTGACAATTAGCTTGGTATCATTTCAGTGCAAAACTCTTTTTTTTTTCCCCCTTGCTTTTTCATGCCTGTGGTATTTTTTATCTCCGATGACAGAATGTAATAATACTGCAGTACATGATTACATCTTTTGTTTTCTGGTCACTGAATTTAAAATTGTTTTGCTTCATGTTGAGATCCCTTCTGAGAGATTGGCTGCCATGCTGCTAATAAAATCTAAATAAGAATCAATATGGAAGCTATGAGCTTCCCTGATTAATTATTTCTTCTCCATTCCCCATATTTGTTACCATAAATAAGTGTCTCAAATCAGCTGCAGGTTTGTGAGTATTCTGGGATACTTTGGGTAGAAAAGAGAGCCCTAATTGCCCAGAATACCGCTATCAACTACAATTAAGGATGCATGCTGATTCAAATTGCATTATTTTATTTTTATTTTTATTTTTAAATTAGGGGGGGGAACATTGCATCAGTTCAGATGATACCAGAGATGCCCCAGTTTTGGCAGCAGAGATAAATAATTGTGAAAGAAAGAAAATGAGTGTCATATGAACCGATATATTTTTAGCAGGAAATTAATTACAAAGCCAAGTTGGAGGCTTTAGTGTTTGGACTGGATTGAGCATGTCTGGAATCTGTGCACAATACAGGTAGACTTTGATTTACCACCACAATTGGGACCAGAATTTCTGTTGGTAAGCAAGGCAGCTGTTAAATGAATCACCAATTTTACAGATTTTTGCCACAGTTGTTAAGCGAATCACTGCAGTTGTTAAATGAGTCCTACTGTCATTAAGTGATTAGGGCTTCCCCCATTTTCACAAACTCTCTGGGAAGATCCCATAGAGAGATCACATGACTGCAGGGTACTGTGCCCATAATAAATACATACCAAATTTGCCAAACTCCCCAAATTTTGATGACTTGAATATTGGGGATGAGGCAACAGCTGTACGTGTGAATTGGAGGGAATGTAGGGGGTGAGGCAACAGCTGTATGTGTGAGGACTGGTTATAAGTCACTTCTTTCAGTGCCATTATAAATTCAAATTGTTGCTAAACAAATGATTGTAAGTCAAAGAGGACCTGTATTTTTTTTTTCAATATAGGGCTCATCAGGTGTTAAAGGTGCCATTGGTTCTCCTGGGCTTCCAGGTCCATCCATTCCAGGCCCACAGGTAAGTATCAAGAATCTTTCCCTCTCCCTCATTTTCATCTTAGACCCTGGAAATTTTAAACTGGCTACTGTCCAGTCTTGTCCACTTCCTCTAGTTGTAGTAACTCCTTTTGGAATCTTCCAGTTCTTTTCCTGGGCTCTGTATCAGTGGTGAAATTCAAAAAAAATTCCTACTGGTTCTGTGGGCATGGCTTGGTGGGCGTGGCTTGGTGGTCATGTGACTGGGTGGGTGTGGCACACTTGACACAAAGTGTGTAAAGTGTACACAAAGTGTGTACACAAAGTGTGTAAAGTGTACACACTTTACACGAAAATAACACAAAAGCTACACAACTGACTCACGCACAATGCAAAAGCAGCTAGACTTCACACAAAATGGCCCCTGCAACAAGCAGGAACCTCACAGTGTCACAGAGTTCAAAAACAAACTATCACACTTTACACAAAAATACCGGTCCAGGCAATAGGTAGTAAAAAAAATGCTTTAAGAAATAAATAAAAAGTTTAGAGGATCTCGCTGCACAGATGATTGTCACAGCTGATTGTCAGAAACTTTTTTTTTACTTTTTAAAGCATTTTTTTACTACCTATTGCCCGAACTGGTAGTAAAATACTAAAAAAAAAAAAGTTTTAAAAAAGTTCTGAGGATCAGCTGAACTTTTTTTTTTTAGTTTTTAAAGCATTTTTTTACTACCGGTACGGGCGAACCACCCTGAACCGGTAGCATTTCACCCCTGCCCTGTATTTCTCAGAGCCTAAGCATGTAAGTAGGAACAAGCTAGCAAGCATATGATGAGTATTTAAAGAGCAGTGATGAGGTCCAATAAGACCACCAAGGTTTCATGCTAGTAATTGGCATCTGCGAGCAGAGGAGGAGGGAAGAAAGGGCTGTCTTTCCATTAGAAGCTCGATGAATGGTATGTGAGAATGGCCCTGGCATAAAAATGGAAGAGATGCTGCCTAGGTAATGATCAGACAAGAGAGGAGACCACATTCACTCAATGGTCAAGGAAAGAAATTTAGGAAGGTACCACCCTCATAGATAGACCAGTTCAAAGTGATGGCAGGAGAAATGTACTTTCAAACTTGCACGATTCTGTTAATGCATCTTTATAATAAAGTAAAATTAATTTAACTGGTTGTGTTTTCTGTAATCAGGAGGGCCGATTATGGTACAGTTTAAAAGGATCAGTTTTCCAAGCAGGGGAGGCAAATGAAAAAACAAATCAGGAGTCTTGGACTCTTGGCTCCCTATCTTCCTAGTATCCCATAATTGGCTGAGAGTGGCCAAAATGATGCTTTTGGAGCTGCCTCTCCAACAGCATCTTATCCCCTTATTATATTTCTTTGCAGGGTCCAGAAGGCCAACGGGGCCTCCCCGGAGTTCCTGGTTCCAATGGTTTAATGGTAGGTAAGCTGCAACTTGAGTTCCTTTGAGGGAACATTTGTACAAAACTTCCAAGATCTCTTCCAGTCATCTTCCTGCCCACCCTTTTGAATGACCTACAAACATCTCAAATCTCAAAGGACTAGCAAGAGATAATCCTTCTCCAAAACCCTGTTGGATTTCAGAATGGTGTCAGAAAACACTTTGGAAGAGGTTGGCCTCCTTGGAAAGCTTATAACTACTGAGGCACCATCTCTCTATCCCTTGCCAAACTCTGTGGCTCTTTGGAGCAAGCTCTGAAACAGAAGTACAGTATTTCTTGAAAAACAAAGAAAGAATCAGTTTCCTGGAATGTCACCAAATTCAGCCTTGACACAATCCAGGTGTGAACATTGGTGCAAACCACAGTGAACCGTTTTTTCCAGGCCATGAGGCACATGAACAGTGAGCCCAGGACTACACTTCCAAAATTAGTAAGGTCAAAGAGAGAGAGGAGCCAAACGGGTTTAATTTTACATGAATGCAAATCAGATCCTGTTGGATTAATTTAGTATAGCTTTTCTCTATTTATAGAATGGAATGGAATGGAATGGAATAGAATAGAATAGAATAGAATAGAATAGAATAGAATAGAATAGAATTGAATAGAATTGAATTGAATTGAATTGAATTGAATTGAATTGAATTGAATTGAATTGAATTGAATTTTTTTATGGGCCAAGTGTGATTGGACACAAGGAATTTGTCTTGGTGCACACGCTCTCAGTGTACATAAAAGAAAAGATACATTTGTCAACAATCATAAGGTACAACACTTAATGATAGTCATAGGGTACAAATAAGCAATCAGGAAACAATATCAATATAAATCGTAAGGATGCAAGCAACAAAGTTACAGCCATACAGTCATAAGTGGAAGGAGATGGGTGGTGGGAACGATGAGAAAATTAATAGTAGTGCAGACTTAGTAAATAGTTTGACAGTGTTGAGGGAATTATTTGTTTAGGAGAGTGATGGTGTTTGGGAAAAAAACTGTCCTTGTGTCTAGTTGTTCTGGTGTGCAGTGTCCTATAGCGTCGTTTTGAGGGTAGGAGTTGAAACAGTTGATGTCCAGGATGTGAGGGGTCTGTAAATATTTTCCCAGCCCTCTTTTTGACTCGTGCAGTATACAGGTCCTCCATGGAAGGCAGGTTCGTAGCCATTGTTTTTTCTGCAGTTCTAATGATCCTCTGAAGATTGTGTCTGTCTCGTTGGGTTGCAGAACCAAACCAGACAGTTATAGAGGTGCAGATGACAGACTCAGTAATTCCTCTGTAGAATTATTGAATACTTTTCTCCTTCTGCCTCAGAAGCATCCCAAAGATGCTTTTTCCAACTCTCAAGAAAGTCTAGTTGCCTTTTGAAAAAGCACCGTTAGATCAACCATGACCTGGATGACTGAGAATCTTCCTAGACATTCTTCTGCCCCATACAAGAATTTCTGCTTTCTAGCAATCTTTGGAGGGGCGGTAGAGACCCCACCCCAAGCTTTGGGGATCTGGACAGAGGGCACTTGGATTGCACATCCCTGGTGAAAACCTTGGATTTTCACTGCAAAATAAAGCTGACGTAACCATGGTTAGACTAGCCGGGTGTCAGAGAAAAAAATCAAGTGGAACGCAACATGCCTCCTCATTTGCAAAGCATAGGCAATTGTTCGTGGTTATTGGAAAAGTGCAGCTCAAATGTTCGCCGCTGTTCTAATAGCAAGCTGTGTTTCAAAGGCCAGCATACAACATTGAAAAACAAATTGGATTTGGGCCTTTTTTTATTATTATTATTTAATAACTTCAGAATGTGATCAGCCACTGAGATAAAGAGTTATTAATTATACATTCTCTCTCACAAGGGGAGACTTTTGACTCTTCCAATCCAAAAACCATTATGTGGAGCCTTCAGAGACCTGTTCTTTGGTTATTAAGTAATTCCAATTGATTTTTGCATGTATCTCGCCTGTTTTTTTAATGCAGCGATGCTGTTCAGGGACTGGGTGGAATGTGGATCCGGAGGCACGTCTCTGCTGAAGCCAAGCTGGAGATGAGATTTTCTTTGCTTCTGTGAACTGCAAATGAAAATTGCAACCTGGGAAGGGTGTCTGCATGGTGCATCACACTTTTTCTTTTTAAGGCAGAATGGAATTGTAGTGTCATGACTTGCCATCCTAATTTTTTGGCCACACCTCCAGATGCCCTTGTAACCCCATGAGATGGTGATAATCCAGCCCAAGATGGGTTATGCAACAGCCCACCAGCATGATCTCGTCTGTGGATAGATAAAGAGAAGGAAAAAGGACAGGGGAAAGATAAATACATTAAACCAGTGGTGAAATCTATTTTTTTTTACTACCGGTTCTGTGGGCATGGCTTTTTGGGTGTGGCATGGCTTGGTGGGCGTGGCTTGGTGGCAGGGAAAGGATACTGCAAAATCTCCATTCCCACCCCACTTCAGGTGAAGGATACTGCAAAATCCCCATTCCCTCCCCACTCCTGGGGGAAGGATAGTGCAAAATCTCCATTCCCACCCCACTCCTGGGGGAAGGATAGTGCAAAATCCTCATTCCCTCCCCACTCTGGGGCCAGCCAGAGGTGGTATTTGACGGTTCTCTGAACTACTCAAAATTTCTGCTACCGGTTCTCCAGAACCTGTCAGAACCTGCTGAATTTCACCCCTGCATTAAACTGTGTAAACATTATATCTCTAGACCAGTGTTTTTCAACTTTGGCAACTGTAAGATATGTGTCCCAAAGGTGCTTTTTCGACAGACAACTGGACTTTCTGGTTTTTTTCCTTCGAAGATGTTTCACTTCTTATCCAAGAAGCTTCTTCAGCTCTTGGATGAGAAGCGAAACGCCTTCAAAGGAAAAAACTAGAAAGTCCAGTGGTCTCTTGAAAAAGCACCTTCTGATGGATTTGTTAGCTCCTTGATTTTACCCAGGAACCAAATCCACGTTTAGATTTGGGAATAAAAATAAGGAAATCAACTAATCCATATGATGGGTGAAGCAAAAAATTTTTAGACAATGAGGTAGGCTTGGAACTGGATATAGGAACTTGACTTATGACTAGTCAGTTATAAGTCATGACAGTTATGACAGACCCCAAAATAGGTTCAAAATTCTGATGACTGTCTTTTCAGTCACATGATCACATTTTGGTATTTGACAACCAGACTACATTTGAGGCCATTTGTAGCATCCCATAATCATGTGACCAAAATTTACTTGTAGTAATCAGTGTTTACTTGCAGGTCCTCAATGGAAGGCAGGTTGGTAGCCATTCTTTTTTCTGCAGTTCTAATGATCCTCTGAAGTCTGTGTCTGTCTTGTTGGGTAGCAGAACCAAACCAGACAGTTATGGAGGTGCAGATGACAGACTCAATCATTCCTCTGTAGAACTGAATCAACAGCTCCTTGGGCAGTTTGAACAGCTAATCTAGATGTTCTTTAAAAAAAATTAGCACTACTGCTACTTGGTATTGTTATTAAAACGGCTTCTTTGAAATGGATGGCAAGATAAATTTGATTAATAAATACATAACAAATTAAAAAACTGCCTTCTGTGCAGAATCCCAGGGGACATTCAAGAAACACTGACTTTTCTGAGGAAATCAAGCCAACCAAATTTCATAGGCATCGATTCAAAAAAGAAAAGTGTGAAAACAGCTTTTTGGTTTAAAGCATTTTTTACAAAAAATGGTGTGTTCGCAACGATTGGATCTAAAGTTTTAAAAGCCTGAAAATTTTGTGAAGGATGCATGATGCAGTCAACTTATTTTTAAAAGGAAAGAGATCTGCTATACTAGCAGATATTGTTAGGTTGTGAGGGTTGGGGAGTGTAATATTTTGTATGAAAGTAACAAATAACACAGATGTTTATCCTTGCAAAAATCCTTTTGAGACTGTACTGTATAGGAACTAAGCTGAATGAAAAACAGAATAAGATTTTTCTGGCTTTTGCTCAGAACCTCTTTCCCCCCCCCACCCCAAAAAAGGACACCTATTAAAAATGTTTAGAGTGGGACAGACATTTGCTCCAAAAATGACACCTCAATATACCTCTTCTTCTTCCCCTCTAAGGAGTTTTGTTTTGGTGAACAAATTGGGAAGGAATGCATTAAAGTTTGCAAAGCCATTGACTCTCTTTCTGAGTCCATCTGAATCAGATTTGGATTTGGTGTCCTTTTCTTGGCTTGGCTTGAAACACCTGAATAAAAGAGCCGCGGTGGCACAGTGGTTAGAATGCAGTACTTGCAGACTACTTCTGCTGACTGCCGGCTGCTTGCAATTTGGCAGTTCGAATCTCACCAGGCTCAAGGTTGACTCAGCCTTCCATCCTTCCAAGGTCAGTAAAATGAGGGCCCAGATTGTTGGGGGCAAAAGGCTGTCTCTGTAAACCGTTTAGAGGGGGCTGTAAAACATTGTGAAGCAGTGTAGAAGTCTAAGTGCCCTCCCTCCCAGTGGTTAGAATGCAGTATTGTAGGCTAACTCTGCTCACTGCCAGGAGTTCGATCCTCACCGACTGGCTCAAGGTTGACTCAGCCTTCCATCCTTCCGAAGTGGGTAAAATGAGGAGCCAGATTGTTGGGGGCAATAGGCTGACTCTGTAAACCGCTTAGAGAGGGCTGTAAAAAGCACTGTGAAGTGGTATATAAATCTGAGTACTATTGCTATTTAAGAAAATATTTTTCAACCTCAGCAACTTTAAGACATGTAAACTTCAACTCCCAAAATTCCCTGGTCAGCATAGCTGGCTGGGAAATTCTGGGAGTTGAAGTCCACACATTTTAAAGTTTCCAAGAGACAAGGATTTAAGGTATGGTAAAATTGGGAGGGATACGAAAATTGTTACCAAAACAGATTTCATAGTAGTCCCAAAGGTGCTTTGTTTTTCCTTGAAGGTGTTTCACTTCTCATCCAAGAACTGAAGAAGCTTCTTGGATGGGAAACAAAACGTCTTCAAGGAAAAACAAAATCCAACTGCCTTTCGAAAAAGCACCTTTGGGAAAACCATGACCTGGATGGCTGACAATCTCCACAGAGATTTCATAGTAGAATTATGATCTGGGATATATTTATGGTTGGTTCGTTGTTCATTGTAATTGTGGCATGATTTGGAGCAAAAGCTCTTGGGGTGGACAAGGCTGAAGTTGAGTCAGAACTAAAATGGTTTGAAGATAATCTCTCAGTCTTTCTGCCATCTTCCTTTCTTTTCCCTCTTTCCCTTTCCTTCAATCCCCTAAAACAGATGTCTGAAAGAGAGGCATCGTCTTGTCAGAAACTTGTAGTCACATACTTGCAGAGACATTTTCAAGTGAGGCACAGGGCAGGGAGTCTTCTAGGGCCCCCATTTCCCTATTCCTGATGCAGAGGTTCTTCAGCCTAATTCCTAGTAACTCCAAAGAGTTTGAAAATCAAACTCTTGAATTGGACCTGGCTGGACTTGAAATCTGTCCCAGTGAATGGTAAACTAGTACATTTTTGGCAGAACTGAGAATGTACCTTAAAAAGGGACTAGACAGGGGTCTTAGTAAGGATATGTCTGAGATGTGCTAGACCGAGTCAAGGGAACTTTGCAAGATTGCAGGCTTGGTTCCAAGTCTTATCTGATAATGATCTAAGTGAGCCTCTTAATACTACAATCCACTCATGTTTGATTTGGATTTCTTTCCTTTTCCATTTTTGTCTAGGGTGAAAAAGGTGCCAAAGGCGAGAAGGTAGGTTAGTCTTCTCATCCTGCTACATTCCCATTTGGGAACATTTGCTTATTTTTAACCTCAATTTTGAGGGTCTTCAATGCCATCAATGTTTTATACAAACCCCTCACTTTGGTTTATGTATCAAGCCAAACCTTCAGCAGCAAAGGATGCCCTGTTCCCCACTCCTGTACCCACTAGGTACTTGAAGCCTGCATACCTGTTTTTTATCTTCCCAGGGAGATTCTGGTGAATGCACCTGCCAGCCTGGCCCTCGGATGGACACAAACCATGGACTTCCGGTAAGCGTCGCCCCACACTCCTGCTTCCCCACAGCCCTGGGGATTTGCTGCCAGGCTGGATGAGAGTTCAAGCCACCCGTACCCCATTCTTCGCTCAACTGCTCAACGCCTTTGTTGCTCCGGAAGCTGGAACCCATGTCCTGCTTGGCCTTTGCTAAATGCTCTCCCCTTTTGGACCCACAGGGCGCTCCGGGACTGTGGATCGGGAACCCCTGGCAGCCTCAGCCGGGCCCTCAGGTGTGTGTGTGGGTGTATGTGCATGCTTGCTCCTCTGTGCGTAGCAACTTTGGCTCCTCAATCCTGGGGAGAGTTCCATGTTCTCTGAAGAGCCTTTTCTATCACATTTTCTTTTAATTTGTGGCTTACAGGGACCTCCAGGTGCTCCAGGACCTCCAGGCCCACCGGGAGCCCCTGGAATTCAGGTAAGTGATCGGAGGGCCAGCTTTATTTTCTGACAAACAGGAACAAGGGTACAAATTATCATTATTATCACCTATGGAACTGAGGAGGCCTTGTGAATATAGCATCACTACAGAGATCCTCCTTAAAGTGGTACACTCAGAAATCCCTCCCTGATGTTCTTGGCTGCACAAAATCCCAATCAGTAGCATTTTGAGCAGTAGTAGCTAAGTTCTAGCCCTCCAGATGTTCTTGGTCCACAACTTTCTTTATTCCTGGCCGTCAGCCATTTTAACTGCAACCGATGGGAGCTAGAGCACAACCACATCTGATGGACAATCATTTTCACCCAGTAGTGCTTTGAAGAGGTAGTTGACATAGGAGATTTCTCATCAAGCCCCCAGCAGCAAGGTTCTCAGGATCAACTTTAACCAGATTGAAAAGAAAAGGGAATTGGTTTCAGAAATGTTAGCGGTTGGATACATTTACTTTTTAACATCCAATTTCCTTTGCTAAATGTCCATTGACATAATGAGGAGGCTACCTGTTTTGCAGATAAAAGAAGATTGTGCAGGCATCTGTGCTAATAATATTTTGCAAATGGCCAACCTATTTCCCAGGCTCTGAAAAACCCATTACAGTTCTGCTGCCGTGATTTTTTTTTTCCCTACAGGACACCCTTTCAGTTGAATGATTCATAACGGACAAGTGATGCTTTCCAGCAATCCCTTTAGTGGGACAGTATCACTGAGAGTGCTGTTCCTTTCTATTTTGCCTGTTCAGTTCAGGAATACTGATCTGAAGATAACTGGAGAGACCAGCACTTGTTTTCACCAAGAAACAGCAGAACGATTGACTAATGGTGTGGGAGGAAAGCAATAAGTGAACAAACAACAGATATGTGTTCATTTATAGTCCTTTGGGGTTCTCCTCATCTGCATGATAGCTACAAATCAAAACTTTAGAGGGATAGTCTCAAGATCACGTGAAGTGTTAGTACCTGCCTTGGTAAGACCACACTTGGAATACTGCATCCAATTCTGGTCACCACAATACAAAAAAGATGTTGAGACTCTAGAAAGAGTGCAGAGAAGGGCAACAAAGATGATTGTCCCAAAGGTGCATTTCGAGAGGCAACTGGATTTTCTGGTTTTTCTTTGAATGTTCTTGACTGTGACTTTTCTTTTCCAAAGAAAAACCAGAAAGTCCAGTTGCCTCTTGAAAAAGCACCTTTGGGACAACTATGACCTGGATGACTGAGAATTCTCCATAGACATTAAACAAAGTTGATTAGGGGTCTGGTGGAGAAAGCATATGATGAACGATTGGGGGAATTGGGTCTGACTAGTCTAACAAAGAGATGACTGAGATGATATGATAGCAGTCTTCTGATATTTGAAGGGTTGTCACAGAAGAGGGGGTTGACCTATTCTCCAAAGCACCTGAGGACAGGACAATAGATGAAAGCTTATCAAAGAGACATCCAGCCTAGAATTAAGGAGAAATTTCCTGACAGTGAGAATAATTAATCAGTGGAATTATTTGCCTCCAGAAGTTATGGAGTTTTTAAAAAGAGATTAGAAGAGTTTTTAAGAAGAGATTAGACAGCCATGTTTTCTGGACTGGTATATGGTCTCCAGCTCAAGGAGGAGGTTAGATTAGAAGACCTCCAAAGTCCATTCCAACTCTGTTATTCTGTGTTCTCCCTCCCACTGTCCTTCCAGTACTCTGTTGCTGCTGTTTACTTCAAAGACAAGAACAACAATTTGTTTGTTCTTTCAGCCACAGTGAACAAAGCCAAGGTGCAACACAGACAGAGTTGAGGAAAATCCCACCCCAAAAAAGAGAAATCCAGAAAGTAGCTTTTTGGCTCTCAAATAATGGTTTGTGTAGACCACACTAATTTTCCATGCAAAGTCAGGCTGACAGATGTTTCCAGCCAGGCTGGAAAATGCAAAATGGGAAGCTGAGGGTTGGCCAAATACAAAGAGGCAAAGGACAGAAACATTTCCCTCCTCTTGTGTAACCCTGTGCAGCATCATGTTAAATGTCAGTCACTCTTTGGAAACATAGTGAAATGTAATACACCTTGGGAATATTATGTTCCCCTGGGAAATCACATGTTGGCTTTATTGGACTTGGGACAGGAAATCAGGAGAGGGTCTCCTTCTCCTTGGTGCAGGGGAGAAATGCTACCGGTTCGGAAGACTTGATGTTGCCTTCTACAAAACTCTAGACAACCACTAGAGGAAGGCTAAGAAATAAGGCAAATGCCACCCTTTGCTGCCACCTTGTGGTCTTCTAAAATTTTGCAGACCAGCTATGAGACCCCGTTCTTCCTTCTAAATGCACATTGGCTCAAGATATGAGAAAGTTTCCAAGATATAAGAAAGTTATGTCAATGTCTATCTAGATCCGTACCAGTCGGGCTTCAGGCCAGGGTACAGCACGGAAACTGCATTGGTCGTATTGGTTGATGATTTCTGGAGGCTCGGGACAGGGGTTGTTCCTCTGTCCTGGTCCTATTAGACCTCTCAGCGGCTTTTTATACCATTGACCATGGTATCATGCTGCACCGGTTGGAGGGGTTAGGAATGGGGGCACCGTGTTGCGGTGGTTCTCCTCCTTCCTCTCTGACCGCACGCAGTCTATGTTGGCAGGGGGACAGAGGTCGACCTTGAGGAGCCTTGTTTGTGGGGTGCTGCAAGGGTCGGTCCTCTCGCCCCTCCTGTTCAACATTTATGTGAAGCCGCTGGGTGAGATCATTCGTGGTTTGGGGGTGAAGTTCCATCAATACGCTGATGATACTCAGCTGTACATCTCCACCCCGGACCATCCCAATAATGCCCTTGATGTGATGTCCCCATGCCTGGAGGCTGTGCAGATCTGGATGGGGAGAAACGGGCTCAGACTCAACCCCTCCAAGACCGAGTGGCTGTGGTTTCCGGCGTCCCGGTATAGCCAGCTGGTTCCATTGCTGACTATTGGGGGTAAGATCTTGGCCCCATCAGAGAGGGCTCGCAACTTGGGTGTCCTCCTGGATGCATGGCTGTCTTTAGAAGATCATGTGATGGCTGTGGCCAGGGGGGCTTTTTATCAGGTTCGCCTGATTCACCAGTTGCGTCCCTTTCTGGACCGGGACGCCTTGCACACGGTCACTCATGCCCTTGTCACTTCCCGTCTGGACTACTGTAATGCTCTCTACATGGGGCTCCCCTTGAAGAGCACTCAGAGGCTCCAACTGGTCCAGAATGCAGCCATGCGGGTGATTATGGGAGCGACTCGGTGCACCCATGTAACACCTCTCCTGTGCGAGCTGCACTGGCTCCTGGTGGTCTTCTGGGTGCGATTCAAGGTGCTGGTTACCATCTTTAAAGCGCTCCATGGCTTAGGACCTGGGTACTTACGAGATCGCCTTCTGCCACCGATAGTCTCCCACCGGCCAATACGCTCCCACAGAGAGGTACTCCTCAGGGTGCCGTCGGTCAAACAATGTCAACTGGCGACCCCCAGGGGGAGAGCCTTCTCTGTGGGGGCACCTGCCCTCTGGAATGAATTGCCCCCGGAGATACGTATGATCCTTGACCTATGTACCTTTTGCCATGCCCTTAAGACTTTACTGTTTCAACAGGCTGGGCTGGCTTAAATAATGAATTTTAATGGGTGTTTTAGTTTTTTAAATATAAAGGCCAAATTATTTAATATGTTTTAAACTGTTTTTAAATTTTATGGATATATGTGTTTTATTGTGGCTGTGCACCGTCCTAAGTCCCTCGGGAGAAGGGTGGTATAAAAATTTAAATAATAAATAAATAAAATGAATAAATTCATTTTCCAATACGGATTATGATTTTCCCTTATGAATGCTTCCCAATTCCTATCCAGGGCTAAAAGCGATCAAAACACCTTTTGCTTTAAGATGGTTCAGGGAATTCTAAACAAACATATTTAGAGATGATGTATTAAAAGGGGAAATAATATCTTTTCTGGATCTTATTTATTTATTTATTTATTTATTTATTTATTTATTTATTTATTTATTTATTTGTCATATTTCTATGCTGCCCACTCTCCGAGGACTCTGGGAGGCTTACACCAAAGACAGTATACTAAATAGCATATTGCCCCCAACAATCTGGGTCCTCATTTTACCCACCTCGGAAGGATGGAAGGCTGAGTCATCCTTGAGCCGGTGAGATTTGATCAGCTGATCTGCTGAACTAGCAGTCAGCTGAAGTAGCTGCAGTACTGCACTCTAACCACTGCGCCACCTCGGCTCGTGGCCAAGCCTTATTATAAGCTGGACAAGAAAGTCAGTGTAAGAAAGAGGAGCAGACAGTCAAAACTTAAAATAGTCTTTGCCATTTGGCACAACCGAATCATGGATGCACTTTTAAACCTGATGGATGGTGTCAGTAGACATTGATCAGACTCCCAACTCAATTAAAACAGTTCCTAAAGCTGATTAATAGAGTGTAATGAATAATATGTCTTTCCCTTTTTAAATGTCTCCCTGTTTCCCCTCCAAAGAGAAGGCCCTGTCAAAGCCTAAAATAGATTCTTTATTTGAACAGGCAGATTTGATTTCAGTTTTAAGGCCAAGACATTTTTCATACATATTCCAAATATTTATTCTGTATCTGAGAAAACTGGGCGTCATAAATCATGAGGGATAATACAAGGAAAAGAAGAGAGGGGAGTGGAAAAAAGAGATAAAGAGAATCAGATTCCCTAGGATTTGACAAGAGTGAAGGGAGAAATTTCAGAATTGGCTGAAGGGGGACTTTTGCCTGTCCAGTTTGGGTTCTCATCAGTGGTGGGTTGCTCCCGGTTCGGGTGAGCCAGTAGTGGTGATGATGTGACTCAGCAAACCGGTTCTCTATGACTGTGAGCTGGGCCCTTCTGCCCGCCCCTGCCTTTATTTGTCATTTTTTAGCCCAGCTGATAGGCACGGCAGAGTGGATTGCTGCGCCTCAGCTGGGCAGAAATCTAATGCGCTTGCGCTGTGATCGCGCGCAAAGCGTGCGCGCAAAGAGAATCGGTGGTAACACCGGTTGGAACCCCACCACTGGTTCTCATCCAGAGGTAGAAGTTACAGAGACATGGGAGTTCACAACTACTCTCCAAAGGTCCCTCTTCATCTACACCACCAGAGCGCTGTCTTTTCAGGAAAATGGCCGGGAAAATAGGTGAAGGATCTGGAAAAGCATGGAGGAGAATGTTTGGTGTTAGGTGTTAGGTGAAGGGAGCACAGCACCTCGAAGCCCCATTGGGTGGCAACAGGATTCCTTTGGAAGACAGGAGTCAAGGGAAGACTCACATATTCAAAGTTTCTCCTTGCCTTTAGGGCATCCCAGGAATTAATGGCTCGCCGGGACTACTTGGGCCATCAAAGGAAACGGTAGGTACAGGACTGCAGCGTCCGCTATTCCCTGCGCTTGCTCAGGCCTGTGCTCACTGCTGTCCACTTTGTGCAGCTGCTGCCATCTTCCAAGTGTAGAAGAGCATCCAAAGCAAAGCAAAGGGGGGAAAAAAAAAGCAGAGCAACATCAATGAAGAAGTGGTTAGGAACTCACACTGCTTATGGCAAGCAACCCTAGAAGCTCATAACTCCGTTGTGCTTTTCTTTCCCTATAAAAGAAAACAAAACTAGAACTACTTTTCTTTTCCATGCACCCTTTATTTCTCTTGCTTCGTCTCTCCATTGCAGGATCCACAATCAGCAGAGGCCCCTCGTATACAACAGGTAGGACAATCATCACCATCATCATAATGCTTCTTTTATGTAGTACAGGGGGTCCTTGACCTACAGTTGTTAGTCACTGAGCTCATTCAGTGGGTCACCATGTGATGAGACCCAATTGTATGAGTTTTTCTATCATGGTCATGAAATGAACACTGTGGTTGTTAAGCGAATCCATTATACTCAATCGGCGTATTTTGCTGGAAACTAGAAGTAAAGATCAGCAAGAAGTGCCAAAAATCTTGGTCATGTCGCCATGGGACATTGCAAATGGCCATAAAGATGAGCCAGTTCCCAGGCACCCAAAAATGTGATTGTGTGACCATGGAGAGGTGGGGGAGGCCATCGTAACTTCAAAATCAGGTCATAAATACCGTAACTCTTGGGGCCTGCATCATAACTTTGAAAGATTGCTAGGCAATTGGTCATAAATCAAGCACAATTTAATACAATACAATACTGCAATGCAATACAAAATATAAATCCTGAATTTGTTCATTTGGAAATAGTTATTCTGCAAAGAAAACATTGGATTTTCTGAGAAGGTTCGGGATACCGATCATTAAATCTATATTACATTTTCCAACTATTCTAAACACTGACCCAGGTAACTAGGAGCAGAGAAGAAAATGGGAAATTGTTGATTTATCAAGGGTTCAGAGAAAATGGAATAGCATAGATGATAAACAGAGGACTGGAAACTAGATCTAACAGAGATATTGGGAGTTTTATTTGAGAAAAAAATGAATAAGCAGGAGAAATGATAATGCTCTGGGTTTCTTAATGTTGGCAACTTTAAAACAAGTGAACTTCAATTCCCAGAATTCCCCAGTCAACATGGCTGGCTGGGGAATTCTGGGAGTTGAAGTCCATATATGTTAAAGTTGCTAAGGCAGCACTCTTGCTCTGAAGCAGGGGTGGGTCCTACTTACCTTTACTACCGGTTTGCAATGGGGCTGCTCGTGCGTGCATGCCCTCTTCTGTGCATGCGCAGAAGCGTTCTGATGACATCGGGGTCGGTGGGCGGAGCCCACCTCCAGTTTTACTACTAGTTACTACAGTTCTATAGAACTGATCCGAATCGGGGGCAACCCACCACTGTTCTGAAGCAAATCATAGGGAATTTTCACCAAAACTGTAAAGCTTCATCCAAGTATCATAGAGTATTATAGATTACTATAAAGAGTATTATAAAGCTGATTTACATTAGAGAGATCTGGACGGCTGAATGGTAGAAATTGATCGTGTGAAGGTGTGACCCATTCTCTATGATTTCAGAAGATTCATGGATTTTTAGACTGATGCTAAGATAAGTGTTGCCTTATCGGGGAGATGGGCACTATATAAATTAAATAAATAATCAAGCAAAATTCAGGTTTATGTGAAGAAATATTTCTAGGCACAAGAGCAGTTCAGTAGTAGAGTCAATTATCAAAGGAAGTTGTATGACTGTCCTTCATTCAGCAGGTTCAAGCAGAGGTTGGATGGACTTCCTTCAGGGATACTTTAATTTAGATTTCTCCATGAAGCAGAAGATTGGACTCAGTGGTCCTTCCAGAATTAGACTGTGCCTGATCGGGTTTATATCTTTAGTTGAGAAATATTCATATTGCAAGTGGTAAACCTTATCAGACTTATGTTTTTTCTCTTCTGTTATAGGAACATATATGTGGAGACTGCAGCTCCCAAAGCTCTAATGGGATAAAAGGAGAAAAGGGAGATCAGGGACAACCTGGAGCTCCAGGAATAGATAATTGTGCACAGGTGAGTTACCTGTGAGTCTCTTCAGCCACAAAGCAGAATGGGAGATCAGTAGGGTTGCAGCAGTAACGCCCACACTTTCAATCACTGCGTATGTGTGATGGAATCTCCAGCTAGACTCGAGGGAGGCGTTAAGAGGAGGCCAAGCTTAGAATCCTTGCATTGCAGAAAGTGACACAGGCCTGACCTTCCCCAAAATCCCTGAAGTCCAGGACTACCTGTAATGAATTTTCTTTATTTCTGGGATCCTAATACAAGTAGTCCATGATTGACCTCAAGGTTTGGTTTGGTTAATATTTGACTTGGAGGGATGATGAAATTCTACACTGAATGATAGATTGTGAATTTTTAAAAAATCCAGTAAAAGAGGAATAAAACACTTCTCTTATCATTGCCAAAAAAGCTATTAGATATATCCGGTAGTCATGAGAAGTTGAGTTCCATTTAAGGATGACTTGACTTGACTTAAGATGAGATTTCCAAACTAATTGAGGCATATTGGGGACATTGCATCTCCATCAGCTTCGCTGACTTGAACAATTCCTTTGTGTGATTCCATAAATACATTCAGGTCTTATGTGCTGCCATATATCACAATGGGGAACAAGTCTAAGTGCAATGCCTGGCCCACAATTTATACCTTACCATGATCACAAGGGGTCCTGGAGCATGCTCATCAGTTGCCAATTGCTTTATTGGCATCCTGGAAAATATATCCGCTCAAAAGAAAACTTGAGTGGATTCTTCAATTGAACTAGCCGTGCATTGATCAAGCAAATTTAGTATCTGCAGAACTTTAGTGTGCCGTAAATTCTGGACCAGGAATTAAACTCATGATGCATCTCTTCTACTTTCAGTGCCACCCACCTGATTTCCCTGCAGAACAGCCCCAGGTGAGTAAATCTCTAGGCCAGATATTTATCCAGAAGGCAGCAAAGGAAAGAGAAAGACATAACAAATTAGTATCACTTCCTTTCTACCAAATAATATTAAAAAAACAAAAGCATACCTCTTTCTTTGGCAAATTGACTCAGAGCTGCTGTATTTGACCCAACTGGCACCAGCTGGAAACTCCTTAAATTAAAATAGCTTCATTACAACTGAGAGCGTCTGTACTCAGGAATCAATTCTCACCAAAATTATACCTGGAATTTGATCTTTCTAAAAACAAGCTTTTTGTATGGGCCTTTGCGAAGCTGGTTTAAGTATTAGTTCTTCCGGAAAAACTGGACTGCTGTTTAAATAAACATTCAATGATATATTTTTTTAAGGATATTGGCTATTCACATTTCTGAAGCTCTGTATTTTAGTTGTGACCTTAAACTGGATAGTAGTGGGCTTGTAAGGATTGCCTCTTCCTCTAACTTAAGAAAGTGAAGACTTTTGAAACGGAATATTTCAAAAGGAACCTTTTATTAAGCAGAAGTGACAGCAATGGATTCAAAGCAACGTCTGAATACCCTTAGGCAAGACAAGTAGGATTAAAGCAGTAGAGACCCTCCCTTTAGCCAGAATGCAGATTTTAGCCAATACACAAGTGTGAAGATGTTTTCTTTACCAGCTGCCCTGAGAACCCGGATAAGTATGTATTCACATTGTTTCTCCTTTCTTCTTTAAAGAGAAACAGCCCACATGGCTATCATAAACATTCCTCCACGTTAAGGGGATCTCAGGGCTCTTTGGCGCCAGGATATAGGTTGTAAAATATCCGTTGACACAGGCAATGCTAATGAATCGAATCCAGGGTCCCTCCTTCTCCCAACTGAATGGCAGTATCACTTTTAGGAATCTGACAGAGATATTGTATTAATTCTTGATTCTGTTGATAAATTATTATTATTTACTTTCTCTAGCTATCAGTATATAAACACTACAACAACTATTACTTACTGGTAACACATAAAATAGTAGATATTGTAAGTTGCCAATCTTTTGGAATGAATGCCCAAAATAAATTTAATTACCACCATCATCATGAATTAAGGGTCAGTAGATGGTTGGTTCACTGAAAGTGGTCTTCCCAACAGTACAGTTGTGCTTAACACCAAACACAGCCTTAATATTCTTCACCCAAGCCATTTCACTCTTTCTCTAAATTTACTCAGTGGCTATGTCCATTCATAGTCGGATTCCAAAAGATCTCCTGTTTTATTTATTTATTTATTTATTAATCAAATTTCTATACTGCCCTACTCCCGGAGGACTCAGGGCGGTGAACAGCCAAGATAAAATACAGATAATACAAATATTAAAAGTCCCTTAAAATTATTAAATATTTTGGCCGAAACACAGATTAAAACACCCAATTTATAAAATCAAACGAATTAAAAAATTTAAAAGAGGAGAGTTAGGCCAGGCCAGCCTGCTGAAATAAAAAAGTTTTGAGAGCACGACGAAACGTGCGCAGGTCCGGGATCCTCCGTATCTCCGGGGGGAGCTCGTTCCAGATGGTAGGTGCCTCCACAGAGAAGGCTCTCCCCCTGGGGGCTGCCAGTCGACACTGTATGGAGAACTAGTGCAGGGAAAATGCCTTAAAGGGAGACCACAGCTGCGACATAAGGATATCTGCAAGAAGGATCTAAAGGCCTTGGGAATGGACATTAATGACTGGGAAACCTTGACCTTTGATCATTCAGCTTGGAGGCTAAAGACGCAGCCTGGCCTTTTCCAATTCGAAGAGACACTCATTCGACAGGCAGAGGCAAAGAGGCAGTCCCGGAACCAGCGAAATCTGGGGGCTGGGCAGGGGACGGAATATATCTGTGTGGAAAGGATTGCCACTCTTGAATTGGCCTCTTTAGTCACACCAGATGCTGTTTTAGGACCTCTTTCCAGAGCACGATACCATAGTCTTTTGAGACTGAAGGTTGCCAATGAATGATGTTCATTCAGCCCTCTTAACCACACCATTTCCAAACTTGGTTAACATGCTAAATTGGGTTGAATGAACACACATCATTTGAGTAATTTAAGGTTCAATAGCTTCTGTAAAACTTGGGTTAATCTAACAGAGAACATTGTGTGCAGGCAGCCATTGTTGGAGCACTGAAGCTAGGTGACAAGAACTAGGTTTGCTAGAAATGAGAGAAAATAGCTAGATAATGACTAAATCCAGAAAATATTTTCTGATGCCAGCTGCACCACGGAAAATGGGAAAAAGAAGGTTCACCCAACAGCCATAAAGATCCAAAATGGTGCTATTGTACCTGTGTTGCACAAGGATGGTGCAAATAATTGAGTGCAACAAAAGTAATGAATGCACTGTAAATAAGCACCAAACCATGCCATCTAAGTATACTTAAAATCATATGAAAAGTCACAGTTTTTCTATAAAAGAATTAAAAAGATAAAACAGCTGTTCAAAAGGCTGATTTGTTTTGTTTAGTCTCAGTACTCAGGAACATTTGTGGACCAGGTGTCATTCTCAAGATTTAATCTTAAATAATATTTAAGTTTGGCCTTTTGGAAAGCTTTAGAATGAGCAGAAGCCCAGGAGGAGGGAGAAATCTGTCAGAAAATGGTGTCCGCTAGAATTATTATGGCAAAAAAAGAAGCTTCCATCCAGCAGAGTTCATCTTGGGTTTAGAAGCTCTTGGAGATCCTTAACCACTTGAGACATCTTGTCTTCTCTTCCAGCCTGATAACAATGATCCCAATTGTGCTGGAGGACATCCTGGAAGTCCTGGCTATCCTGGACAGAGGGGTGAGCAGGTAAAGCCACCTGGAGATATCAAGCAGCCAGGGTGCTATTGCTGATCCTTGAATTCAGAAATGAATTTTGTCTTGGCTTCTCCTTAGGGTCCACCAGGCTCACGAGGTTCTCCAGGCCCTCCTGGACCAACTGTGAGTATATCCTTTGAGCCAATTGCTGCTTAGATCTTCTCCCTTAAGCCTTTACCCACTGCAGCATCATGTATTAGCATAATCTGATGCCTGTCTAAGAAACATGGAATATAAAGCCACTTAAGGCCAGCCTTCCTCTCAGTGGATGGTTCTACAACTGGACAGTGTTGGGTGGCTGACATCTTGCTCTTCACCAAGAGCCCAGCTAATTCTGGTCCCACAAATGCCCTGTTTACTCACCCACACCCACACCTACACCCACACCCAGAAAGGGAGGGGTGGGCCAATGTTTGTTCTCTTGGCAGCTATTTGGAGCAGTAGAACTTGGAAGTTTACTCTTGAATTAAGAAGAAATGCATAATATGTTGCGAAGGATTGGCCTTGTCTTCAACCAAAGCTCCCTTGATTGCCTGCTTTCCCTAGTCCAGCCAATGTGATGACTGAGTGATGACCTCCCTGTTTCTTCCTGTAGGGCCCCCCAGGTTTTCCGGGAATGACTGGCCCACCTGGATTACCTGTAAGAACCGATAAAGCACGCGCTCTGTGCAGTCCTTTGTTGCTACTGTTTGTTTGGCTTCTTATCCTACTTCCTCCCTTCTTCTCCAGGTTCTGGGTCCAATGTATCAGCCAGCCTATTCTCCCATGTGCTGCCACCTGGTCTGTAGCTCTTCCTCAGCCCTCCTCCTGGCTCAGGGATGCTATCTAGAACTTTTCCTTCAATTAGAACTTTCCCTTCCAATATTACCTGAGATCAGTTGCGATAGAAAGCTGTCTAGTTCCCACAGGCACTTGATCTAGAGAATTCCCATTTAAGGGCAACTCTCAGTCAGGATCCTTCTTCCGCCTTCCCTCAGAAAAGTACACTAGAAGATTGCACAATCCCAACTTGTGGTGGGATATTCTGGGTTTGGGATTATTTATCAGGCAGTGAGAAGACTGATTACTTCTAGACAGCTGATATTTTTCCTCCAGAGATATTTCACGTAAAGTAGATTCCGACACACATTTTTTCCCTCAGGGCTTAGTTTATCAATCAAACCCTGGTCATGAATATTTACTGAGCTGAATCCCTTCAGAGGAAGCAGTTGGACCCAGGTTCAAATACATACCTGAGAAAGAATCTGTGGACTTGAGAGGAAGCTGTCACTTTTCCTAAACTAAAGAGCCTCCCTTGTCATGTCTGTGAGTTGTGCTTCCAGCTCTTGAAGCATCATTGTACCCTCACCTGACCATCACCATCATTCATTAATTCTTTATTCTCATCTCACTAATGACACTGTAACTCCCAGTCTGTGTGATTAATCGCTCCGTGATGTGGCCCTGTCACTGTCTGGTGTCAAGAGTACGTCCAATAAAAGCCATCACCATGTAACCTCAACTAACTCCACCCTGCAATGGTTCATGAAAGCCTCCCACATTTGTGGGTGGTGTAATTAATGGAGATTCACTCTTGTATTATAGGTTGTGTAGGTCTTTCTCCACTTAGCAAGAAATTACAGTTGAGAGATGCTTGTGATGTGGGACTTCTGGATACGAAAGAGTCTCTGGATGAATGCACAAACTGGGTCCTACAAGCAACCAATGTCAACTGGAAGCATTGTTTTCTCTCCCAGTCACCAGAATTTCTTAGGGGAGATGGCAAATTGGACTAGTATTTGCATTTAGTAGGAAAATTCAGAATCTCTTTGGGTCTATAGATGAGGAAGTAGAACTGAAGCCTCTCCTGGCTAGATTTATTCAGAGCGCAAAAGGAAATGAATAAAATGTTGGCCAAAATTCTTCCCTTGCCAATAGTTTAGCACGAAAAGTATAAGTCATTTTTTTTTCTCACTTGGCCCTGCAGGTAGAAAGACTTATTTTTCCTAATTTGACTATCTGCAAGTAAGAAAAAACAGTCTCAGCCTTTGTAATTGGCACATCAGAATAGGAAAATAGAAAAGACATTTGTAAGCAGCCTTTGTAAAAACAGTATTTCATAATTGGGGTGCAGAAAAAAGCCCACCTTAAGTTAGTAAAAAAGTGGTTGCCTCCTCCCCTTCAACTGCATTCTTCTGTTACACAATGAAAAACCATATTCTAGAAGCATTTTAGGAATATATTATTTGATGCCCTGATAAAACAAAAAACCCCATTCCTCCCAAATACAACCATTTTATCCTACAATGAACTTATGGCATGAATTACTTGCTGAATCTACTAATGGATCCAGTCCCAGGGCTTTGGACCAAAATGAACGGTATCCAGGATGATGAATCAATGTAAGAAAAAGGAGGGGAGAATTATCAAAATATAATTCTCTTCCAGATATGTCAATGGGGTCAAAAAAAAAAAGAAAAGAAAAGAAACTTCAGACCATACTTATGCAATCAAAGGTACATATATATTTTTTTACCTATGTTGCATAGTTGTGTCTTTTTGATCCATCCTGCTTCAGCGTTCTGCTCAAGAACATCTTGCATCATTTTTTGATGTTTTATTTTTTCTCGTAGATCAGTCTATTTTTCGAATAGACTGATCTATGTAATGTAGGATCAATCGAAACTTGATCCTACATTACAGTCTGTTTTATAGTTCTGTCCTCCTGGTGGAGCTTCATGTATAGTCCTCATGGTCCTGACATGATCACAGAGGAAGGAGCTGGCTGAAGGACAGGGCCTCGGAATGACAGATTTTATCCAGCATAAGAGGAAAAATTATTATATAGTGGAAGGACCAGATGGAAGTTAGTGAAGAAAATTAGTGATTGGGCACTTACAATGTTAGAATGACAGAAAGAAAAAGAAAGAAAGAAAAGAAAGAAAGAAAGAAAAAGAAAGAAAGAAAGAAAGAAAGAAAGAAAGAAAGAAAGAAAGAAAGAAAGAAAGAGATGATAGGTAGATAGATCATCTATCTAAATCAAAGACCAGCAAAATCTGTCTATCTTTGATGAGGGGGGGAGGGGAAGAGACAGAGAGAGAGAGAGAGAGATTGATTGATTGATTGATCTCTCTAACAGGATTGCAATCTAAGATGGAATCCATTATTTTCTGTGGGAACTAGTCACCAGTTCCCACTGAATTATGAATTATGGCTGAATTCTGACTTTAATTTGAAATTGTTGGCCAGAATCAGTAATGGAGGCTGAAGTGGAATCTAATCAGATTCAATGGTTCTTGTGTAAGTAATAAAGAGAAGAAAACAGTGAATTAATTTGATAATGATTTCATCTTCTCTAGAGCTTCCAAGATGCCAATGAAGGAAACATGACAGCCAGATAATACCACTCACTTTGCCTCGGAATTTAGATGTATATACTAAAAATTTGCTGATTTTTTTTCTGCACCACATGCTGCCTTGAATATTCAGAGAAAGCTTTTCCTAGATCATAGAAAGAAATCCAAATAGAGTTAGTTCTTTTCATCTAGCAATGTTTCCAAAAGTGCTTTGTGGGGATTGGGATATGTCTCCATGGGACAATTAAGACCTTATACAGGTGGTCCTCGCTTACCGACTGTAATGCCCATTCAATATTACAGTGCTGTAAGAAATAGCTTTATGGCCAATCCTCACATTAATGACCATTGCAGCATCCTGCACTGACGGGATTGCCATTCGGAGGCTTCACAACCAGCTTGCGGTTAGCAGAGCGAATAGAGATGGTGAAAATAAAATTGTAAATACAATCATGTGATGTTTTGCTTAGCGACTGCAGCGCTTAGGAATGGAGTCTCAATTTTGGTCACTAACCGAGGGCTACCTGTATTTGGAACAAAATATAAGTGTGTATATGTGTGTGTGTGTGAGAGAGAGAGAGAGAACATTTGTGAATATTCTTTCCTCTACATATTTCCCAGATCATGATCCAAATCCATTTTGATTGTGCCTTGTCTCAATTAGCAATGTCATGTGTGTGCCCAGAACTGCTGCTGCAAACACTGCCCTTCTAAAACCTGGCTAATCGGATGTCTAACCCATCAAATCTGTGTGAATTCTATTGATCTGTAAGCCTAGAAAAAGCTATGGAAAACTGTGTTCCAGATGCTGATGGTAGCTTTCCAGGCACCAGTGGTTAATTAAGGAAGTGGTGACTACCTCAAGACTACTCGATACTTATGCTGTATTCCTATTTCTATAACTTATTCTCCATCTGTTCCCAGCCTGTTCCCAGGTACATAGCTAGAGAGGCCACCCTCGCAACTGTGGTTCAGTTAAATGGGGGAGGGCAGAAAACATGATCTTGTATCTTTTTCTTTCCGAAGGGACTCCAGGGTGAACGTGGGACAGCTGGATTCCCTGGATCCAAGGGAGAACCAGTGAGTGTTGGATCCAAACTGATAATTTCAGAGAAGCCTTGAGCTATGCATGGAGCTTGTTGATGGAGACCAGTTTTCTCCAGCGTGGCTCTCTAAAGATTGGTTGAGACTGCAACTTGTCTGCAAGGTGCTAGGTTGGAAAAAACAGGTCTGAACACGCTTCAATGGCATGGCTTAGAAGACGGATGACAAGCCTCATGGATGGGTGCAGTTGAGATTGATTGAGAACATTTTGGTGTGATCATGAGTCCGAATGCCTCAAATAACAAGTTACAGATGATTTGAGGCAGGAGATGGAATGCCCCATCTTTTTTAAAAAAAAACGGGTGATGGAAAATCTGAAAAGTGTTTCGCTTGTAATCAACCACAAACAAATGATATCAGTTCTGGAAAATCTATAATTAGAAGTTGTGTCCACAAGCATCCAGCTGTTGTTGGGCCTCTTCTATCTCTGATTTAAGTGCATCCAATAGATTCTTCTAATTAGCAGTACCAAGTTAATGGAGAACTCTAGAAGCATTTATTTCCTCTGAAGATGCCCCGTGGAAGTGACAATATGCCGTTGGGTTCTTCAAAAGAGTCCCTGTCTGCCTACAGGGGGAAAAAGATCAAACAAGGATGCTAATGAATGGTGAAAGGGAGGACATTTAAATGGGTTGGTGAAGAACATCTCCTCGTCTTCTGAGCAGTGAGGGCATTGTAATTGGCCACATTCAAAATAGGAGTTATTTTGTAAAAACACTTGGTGCGTGCTATCAAAATGCCTACTTGTCCACTAAAAGTTAATAGTCCCAATTAAAAGTGTTGGTTTTAGCCTGCTTAACAATAGGAAGGCAAGACCAGGTAAGCCAGGAAAGGTCTAGAGAATGTCTTAGCATGCTTAAGCTTATTACCGAATTAATCTGTTTAGAGTTTGCAGAGTAGGAACTATGAGCTGCGTGAAACCACCAACTGCCCCCAACTCCCCTGAAGTAAAAGCTTAATGTATTGCATCAAAATAGCCAGCAACTTTGTGACTGATTTAGTTCAGCCTGTCATCTGAACATACTGTAGTAGCTACACAGTGAACAGGTCTAGAGAGGTTTCATGCATTCAAGGATCCCCTTTCCATTCTAATCTCTTTCTCTCCCCTCCCACCCACCCTCTCCCTTCCTCCCTCCCTCCCTCTCTCTCTCCCTCTCCCTCTCTCCTCACACCCTCCCTCTCCTTCTTTCTCTCTCTCTCTCCCCACTCTCTCTCTCCTCCCACCCTCCCTCTCCCTCTCCCTCCTTCCCTCTCTCCCTCTCTCTCTCCCTCTCCCTCTCTATCTCTCTCCCTCTCTCTCTCCCTCTCCCTCTCTCTCTTTCTCTCCCTCTTTCTCTCTCTCCCTCTCCCTCCCCTTAGTTTGGTGTTTCTCAATCTTGGCCATTAACTGTGGCCACTAGTTTCTCTTCCAGGCTGGGGAATTCTGGGAGTTGAAGTCCATACATCTTAAAGTGGCCAAGGTTGAAAAACAATGCCTTAGTTCCATGATTGCAATTTTAATCTAAGACATTCTAGATTTAATCTGATCTAGATCTAAGAAATTCTAATCTAGTTGGAATCCTCACTTGACCTACAAGGTGGCAGTAAAAGAGAATGGCTGTCCCTTTATTATTCTGACTGAGGACTTGACAAGATGACCAAGAAGGGCCACACTCCGTGTTCAAGGAACTTAAGCACAAGGACATGGATTCTGCTGCATATTGCAGAAGGGGTTAAATGAGTAAAGGAAGACTTGCCTGCCATGTTCTAGGATCTACCTGAACATCAAAATCGAGCTGTGCAGATGCCATAGAGAGCTGGTTCTGTCTGGTTAACTTGAAGCCTCAATCCTAGCCTGCATTGAGATGTTTTCAATGTTCTTCTCTTCAGGGTCCTCCAGGTCAGCCTGGATATCCTGGATCAGTAGGACCCCCTGGACTCCCTGTGAGTATGACCTATCTTTGTATCCTTTCTTTCTCCTGAATCTCAAGGGGTGGGGGTGCCTTGTACTCCCTCTTCTAATTTCTGCCCACTGCCACAATCCTGTGATGACAGTTCAGCTAAACCGTAATGACCCTTTTGGCCCTCAGAAGGGTTTCAAAATCTGGTTCTGCTGGTTGGCTTAGGTGTTGATGGGAGCACTCCATGTTGAAGGTGGCTGGTGGACTGAAGAGGCCACCACCGAACAGATCTTGCCTTGTGTTTCTCATCTTTGTATCTAGTGTTTTAAATATTTTTATATTTATGGTTTTAATTGTAATCCGCCCAGAGTCATTTTGCAGAGTGAGATGGGCAGCATATAAATTAGATAGATGGATAGATGGATAGATGGATGGATGGATGGATGGATAGATAGATAGACAGACAGACAGACAGACAGACAGACAGACAGACAGACAGACAAGAGTTCATCCTGGGAGTTCCATGGCTGCCGATGGGCCTGGACCTGGGTTTCCTAGCTCATGCCAAAGAGATGGGCTGAGTGGCTACAATAATGCCTTGGCTTTTGGACGTAAGAAGGAACCCATTGCCACCTAAAAACCATTTTCTGAATCCCAAGAAAGACGTTGGGTGGTCATTAGTTACCCACAGTGGAGCAGAATTGCCTTGTAGAAGAAACAAATTCAAACCCAAAGTTTGCTCACATTTCTCTTCTTCTCATATGATTCTCTTTAGAATACAGTATATCCTCTTAAGGCCCTATTGGATTTTCACTGCATGTTTGGGAAAGTGTGAAATGTTCCAATTTTATCATATATGTTAATTTTTTAAATTAACATTTAATTTAAATGTTTATTTAAATTAACATTTCAACATTTGGAAATCTAAAATGTTGGTTTCAAAAGCCGAGTTTCTCAAACATTGTTTGACCTTTTATACGAAAAAAATATTTGCAGAACTTTTATTATTTTATTAGAAGAATGGAAGAAAGAGGGAATTTTTGTGTTTCTTGACAAGCTTTGGCTGTTATTAATTGTTAGTTTAGTGTAGTGGTAAAAGCACCAGGTTAGAAATCAAGAGACTGTGAGTTCTAGTCCCACCTTGGGCACAAAGCCAACTGGGTGACCTTGGGCCAATCATTTCCTCTTACTGGGGTGAAATGCTCCCGGATCGGACTGGATCGCCCAATCCGGCAGCAATTTTTCCCTGTGGTTTGGCAATTCGGTAGCGATCATCGCCTGGGTATCATTACTTCCTGGTTTTAACCAGGAAGTAATGTTTTTTTTACCTTCTGCACATGCACAGAAGGTTTTGCACATGCGCAGGTGTGCACACGCATGTGACATGCACACACCTGCACTTTCGAACCAGTAAAGAAGGTAACTAGATTTCACCCCTGCTTTTTACCCCTAGGAAACAGAGAATAGCAAACCAAATGGCAAATTACTTCTGAAAAACTTAAATCAAGGAAACTGCAGGGACATGTCCAGGGAGATTCTGAGAATTAGAAATGATTGAATGGAAGGTGGGGAAATTGCTCTTATAGTACTGCTGACAATATTCCTTTTTCATGTTTATGTATTTGCTTGCCATTAGGGTGCCAAAGGGGAACGAGGCTATGTTGGACCCTCAGGCGAGAAAGGAGAATCGGTAAGTATCTGGAAGAGGGTTTAATCTTAAATGTCCTTTCCTGTAATTTTTTCAGAGCTCATCCTCAGAAATTGGGACGTTTGTGGCTAGGGAAAAAGATCCTTCCCCACCCCCCTTATAACCCTCCTCCCATTTTTGCAAAGCTCTCTCCTATCTTTACAGCTGCAAGTTTTATCCTCAAAGGCCTTTTAAAATATCATTGGTATACATTTCATTCTGTAGTAGCTATATCTGCATTTTTAAAAAGTGTTTTAATTTATTGCTTTAACTGTTTAGCATTGCTGTAAATCAGCCTGAAAGTAGGAATACGAAAGGGCAAGAAATGCATTAAGATTCATATGAAGTTAGGTAAATCTAAAATACCTTGGTGAGGTAGGCTGCCGTACTTTAAGGGCATTGCTAAACAAAGGGGTAGCCCTGGTTTTAGTGGCACATTTCTCAACAATGACACCTTGAAGATGTGTGGATTTCAACTGGCTGGGGAATTCTGGGAGTTGAAGTCCACGTATCTTCAGGCCGCCAAGATTGAGAAACACCATTTTAGCTGAAGCAGATTTCCTAGTTATCCCAGAATATCATCGGGCTCCAGCTACCAGCCCTGGACGACATCTTCAAATCTCACTGTTTGAGGAAGTTGCATAATATTCCCAGAGATTCTTCCCATCCTGCTTACAATCTTTTTGGACTGTTGCCTTCTGGCAGAAGATACAGAACAATTAAAACTCGGCCCACACGTTTTCCGCATAGTTTTTATCCCAGAGCTATAATTGCACTCAACAATGAAATAAAGGGCCACCATCAGTGAGCTGTTGGACAGCATTACTTGGTCTATTGTGTGGATGTTTGGGTGGTTTAGGGGTAGGGAATTGTGGTGGGTGGGAGTGTGTTTGGGGATTGTTATGTGTGTTGGACCTGGTCTTTAGGTGTTAAGGTGAATTTTGTTGTATGGGTATACTCTGTATACACGTACAATGACAATAAAGTTATTATCATTATTATCAAACAACATTCTGACCAAAAGCCTGCAATTCCATAAATTCTTGATGTATTCTCCTTTATCATTTCTGTGGATAAGGAATTTCATGACATGATAGCTGAATTCCAGTACTTGAAGGACTGTCACAGAGAAGAAGGAATTGACTTATTCTCCAAAGCAGGGGTCTCCAACCTTGGCAACTTTAAGACTTGTGGACTTCAAGTCCCAGAGTTCCTCAACCAGCAAAGCTGGCTGAAGAACTCTGGAAGTTGAAGTCCACAAGTCTTAAAGTTGCCAGGGTTGGAGACCTCTGCTTCAAGCACCTGGAGGCAGGACAAAGAAGCAATGGGTGGAAGATCATTAAAGAGAGATCCAGTCTAGAACTACGGAGAAATTTTCTGACAGTGAGAACAATTAATCAGTGGAATAGCTTGCCTCCTAAAATTGTGGGTGCTCCATTGCTGAAAGTTTTCAAAGATAGACTGGACAACCATCTGTCTGGAGCAGTATAAGATCTCCTGCCATGAGCAGGGTGTCGGACTAGAAGACCTCCAATGTCCCTTCCAGCCCTATGATTCTATGGTAGTCACTCTCTCTGAATCTAACAAACCAGGAAAGTTAACCTCAAATTCAATCCAAAATAAGTTATGGAGAAGAACAAAGTTCACAGGCTGGCACCTTGCATGCCCATGTGTCCGCTTCCCAAAGAAAAGGAGAATAGTTCCTTCCAATTTACCCAGGAAAAGAAAAACAGATACATAAAGGAGCTAATTAACAGCATTTGCCATCCAGTCATTTCATCTGGACCACAATATGTGTGGGAAGAACTGAAAAGAAGGGAAGGTAGGGATTAGGTAGATCACCAAGAATCAAAAGAGCTGAGATCCACCACGGGCTCATTCTCTACTGAAATAGACTGATGGGTTGAGAGACCCAAGGGCTAGTTGTCTGAAAGTATTCTAGTTCCAAAGACCATCTTACTCAAATTGCTGTAGATTAACCTTTCCAAGCCTGACCCTTTTTAGGAGTATTTCCCACCACATCCACCATCTCCTGCCAGCATGTAAGTCAGAGAAAAACAGACCTACAACAACTGACTATGGTTCTTCGGGTTTTTGTTTTTTTTTAAAGAACTTTCGAGGCTCCCCTGGCAGATTTTACAGATCAGTTTTGGAGCCTCTTGCATGTAAACAATTTTACGAGTATCTCAGTAAGGCATAACTATCTGTGGAATGTTCATTAATGATGACCCATAAATCCTATACCTACTCTCACGAATGATGTCAAGGCTCTCGTAATTTTTATTTATATATTAGATTAGATTTATTAAGTCTGCAATTTAGTAAATAAAAAAATAATAAACAGGTTTATGGAATTGTGTACTTGTTCTTTTTAAAACGGTCTTACTCTCTGAAGTCATTACTGTTAGATCAATGATTGCCAACTCAAGAGCATATCTCCTCCATTCCACCCTCCACTATGAGCATTCTCAATTTCTAGGAATGGCTACTGATGAAATGTCTCCTTTTGCTCTCCAGGGACCCCCTGGCATAGATGGACCTATAGGACCCATAGGACCCTCGGTAAGCTTACCAACTCACTTAATGTATGGCATGAAATGACTAATCAAATAGAGTAGAGTAGAGTAGAGTAGAGTAGAGTAGAGTAGAGTAGAGTAGAGTAGAATAGAATAGAATAGAATAGAATAGAATAGAATAGAATAGAATAGAATAGAATAGAATAGAATAGAATAGAATAGAATAGAATAGAATTTTTTATTGGCCAAGTGTGATTGGACACACAAGGAATTTGTCTTGGTGCATATGCTCTCAGAGTACATAAAAGAAAAGATAGGTTCATCAAGAATCATAAGGTACAACACTTAATGAAAGTCATACTCAATCAAATCATATTACGAAATAGTCAATATAAATCGTAAGGATACAAGCAACAAAGTTACAGTCATAGAGTCAGAAGTGGAAGGAGATGGGTGATAGGAATGATGAGAAGATTAATAGTAGTGCAGACTTAGTAAATAGTTTGACAGTGTTGAGGGAATTATTTGTTTGCTAATAATTGATGGAATCTTTGGTTGCAACCAAGGCATCCGGTTGGTAGAAATTCTGGGTGTTGCAGTGCAGGAGATCTTGAGGCCTGAGCTGCAGCAAGCCTTGCCTTTGGTAGCAAATGGTTTGATGGGAAGTTATTTATGTTTTGCAAACAACAGGTTTGATAGGTCTTGCCTTGAGAGGTTTCCAATCTAAAAACAGGCAGCAGTCAGAAAGGAAGGGACGGTATCAAAGGTTGGGTATCAGAGGTTGAGTAAACAGGGTAAGCTTTTGTGATCTCCTTAGATATATATATGCTTGTTAGCATGTTTGAGAATGCAGGAAGGGAATATATTTTGTGTACTTTGTATGTGATCTGGGTCATAGTTCTCACTAAGGAAGTGACCCTGACTCTGGAGTTCATCACACCACGATGGTGGCGAGGGCTCTGATTATTTGAACAGTTCTCTGGATTCAAAACTGCTCTACAAATGGAGAAGGAGCATGTCAGGGACAAAGGTTCCAGCTTTCATTCATTCATCATCTAAGCCTGCCAGACACTGTCTAACCAGCCCAGGGAGAACTTCAAGTCTGCAGTGCAACAACTCCAGGCAGAAAACACCAATGTTATTCTTTCATTGCATCAGGGTCCCAGAGGGGAACGGGGATTGCCAGGCAACTCAGGAGAAAAAGGAGACCAGGTAAGATATTCTGTGTTCTACTCTGGAAAAGTTTTTCAGTTTTATTTCTTATACACATAATAGAAAATGTACATTTTCTTATACATAATTAATCCTACATATACATGTTTTCCTTAAAGAAAGCATCACAGTAAGGCATTTTAATTACATTTGGAGTTGATCTTCTACCCTTTCTTCCATCATTTAGCCACAAATCTTCTTCTTCTCCTTTCTTTCCCTTCCCTCCCTCCTCTCCTCTCCTACTTTCTCTTCCCTCCTCTCCTACCTCATCCTACTTCCCCTTCCTTTTCCCCACTCCTCTCTTCTTTTCCCCCTACTCACCTTCTCTCCTACTCCTGTCCCCTACCCTTCCTTCCTCTCCTTTTCCCTTTCTTCCATTCCTCTCCCTCCCTCTCCTCTTCCTACCCTCTCCTCCTCTCTCCTTTCTATCTTCTTTGCTGTGGAATATTCTCCTTGTTTTGGTATCCGAGCTACTCCTGTATTCTAATAGTATATACTTTCTTTCAATTTCTTTTCAGATTTATTCTGTCAGTATTATCATCATAATCGTGCACTCATTCTTATGATCTTCTTTCTTTTCCCCCCTCCCATCCCCTTTTTTCATTTACTCTGGTGTCATCTGGGTTTCTATTTCTTTTTTATGCTCTCCCTCGTTTAGGAGTGTTCCACTCTGGAAGTGGCCACCACATGGAGCAATGTGCCCACAGGCTACCCCAGGAGAGAGGGAGGGTGCGCCTGTGCCTCGCTGCCTTGAGTGTTGTTTCCTCTAGCCCAGTGATGGTTAACCTTTTTGGTGCCGAGTGCCCAAATCGCGTGCAGGCATGTGTGAATGCACGCACCTGTGCCCAAAACCCCTAAATGCAATGTGAGCGGCCCCCCACGCATGCACCCTACCCCATGCATGCGCCCCACTCCCATGCATATGCGTGTGTCCCCCATACACATGTGCCCCAGCCCCCACCCCACCCCGTTTTGGCTTCCAGGTTGGTGCAAGAGGCTTGCGCCTAGAAAGCCTCCTGCACCAACCTGGAAGCCAAAATGGGGCTTCGGGGCACTGCGTGAGGTCGCCCCTTGCCCTATTTTGGGCCTGGAAAGTCTCCTGCACCAACCTGCACCCCCCCCCCGCATGCGTGACAGAGACCGAAAGACCAGCTGGTCGGCGGGAGGCGCACACGCATGCATGTTGGAGCTGGGCTGGGGCAACAGCTGGTGTGCCCTCAGAGAGGGTTCTGCATGCCACCTGTGGCACACGTGCCACAAGTTTGCCATCACAGCTCTAGCCTCTGCTAGAGGCTTGATCTGGAGTGCTAGCAGGACAGAGATGGGTTTCAGCAGGTTCTGACCAATTCTGGAGAACCGGTAGCAGAAATTTTGAGTAGTTCGGAGAACCAGTAAATGCCACCTCTGACTGGCCCCACTCCCATCTATTCTCTGCCTCCCAAGTCCCAGCTGATTGGGAGGAAATGGGGATTTTGCAGTAACCTTCCCCTGGAGTGGGGAGGAAATGGGGATTTTGCAGTAACCTTCCCCTGCCACACCCACCAAGCCACGCCCACAGAACCAGTAGTAACAAATTTTACATTTCATCACTGACTCAGGGACACTGTCATAAATATGAGTCAGGCATCTGAGGTATGATCACGTGACTTTGGGGATGCTGCAATGCTTCTAAGGTGTGAAAAATGGTCATCAGCCCACTTTTTTCAGTGCCGTTGTAACTTGGAACAGTCACTCAAAGAATCATTGCAAGTCAAGGACTACCTGCACTTGTGGACACCTCTGAGTCTTAGTTTGCCTCATCTTCTTGCAAAAAAGCAACGATTCTGGGTAACTAATGTAGAAGATAAAACCAAAAATATGTCTTTTTAAAAAAAAAAATTATTTCTTATACAAATAATGTAAACGTACATTCTGTTATACGTAATTAATCATACCTATACATATTTTCTTAAAGAGAACATACAAATAAGACATTTTTATTGCATTCGGGGTTGCTCTTCTTTTCCCTCATTTCACAACAAACCTTCTCCTTCTTTTCCCTTCCCTCCCTCCTCTCCTACTTTCTTCCTCCTCCTCTCCTTCCTCTTTCCTACTTCCCCTTCCTTTCCCCGACTCCTCCCCTCTTTTCTCCCCTTCTCTCCTTCTCTTTTACTTCTCTCCCCTGTCCTTTCTTTCCCTCCTTTCCCCTTTCTTCCCTTCCTCTCACTCAAGAAATATGTCTTGTGGTTCCCCTTGTGACATTCTCACAAAACCTCCTGGCAAAACTCACCACTCTAATGAGCTCCGTTGGCTGTTGATCTCTTGTACTACTTTGGATTGGGTACCATTTCTGTCTCAACCTTCCCCATCAAGCTTAGGGTCCTGACCCCCAAAACCTCCTGGGGCAGCATCCATCAACTGATCAACTAAGCCACAGTAGTAAGGATTGGAATCTATGCTCGGTCATTCCTGGTCCTTTCAGGGACCTCTCCTTTCGACCAGCATGGCTCTTATTTTTCATCAAAAGATGGGAAAACCTGATTTTTAAAAAGTGCCGATGGGGCACAGGAGATCCTCTTTCCGTCATGTGCATCTTTCCAGCTTGGCAGCTTAGATGCTTAAACCCATCCATCCAAGAACTGACCAGGCTCAAAAACTCCATAGAAGGTTTTTGTAACTTCAAATTCCTTGTCCTAAGCGCAGTGGTGAAATCCATTTTTTTTTTACTACTGGTTCTGTGGGCGTGGCTTGGGAGGCATGGTGTGGCTTGGTGGGCGGTGGCAGGGGAAGGATACTGTAAAATCTCCTTTCCCACCCCACTCTGGGGCCAGCCATAGGTGGTATTTGCCAGTTCTCTGAACTATTCAAAATTTCTGCTACCGATTCTCCGAACTGCTCAAAATTTCTGCTACCAGTTCTCCAGAACCCGTCAGAACCTGTTGGATTTCACCACTGCCTAAGCATCACTGAGCAACATCCAAAAGTTTTCCTTGGTAACGGAGAGAGGAGGGGAGGGGAGGGGAGGAAGGGAAGGGAAGGGGGAAGTAAGGAAGTCCTTTAAGAGTTTGATGCCACCTGAGTAAATAACACAGAAATACAGTAGTTATTTGTCCTTGCCTCCTTCTGAGAGCTTTTTTCCTCTTCCCAGTTTCCTCTTCCCATCTGCCCTGAGATTTCTCTGTGGTCTCCCATCCAAAATGCCAATCTGGTTTTACTCGCCTTAGCTTTTCCAGATCAGCACAGCTTGCATCAGGAGGGCTATTTGGCCTATTTATCTTGAGCATTGCTGGATATTAATCTACATTTATTTTATTCACAGGGTTTTCAAGGCCAGCCCGGTTTTCCAGGGGCACCGGTAAGTTTGGTACATCCCAAAATATTTTGTCCTGGAGTGTCGGGTCTCCTTAGACAATCACACTTATAAAATGTCGGTGAGTTGAAACAGTGCATGGCCATAAGTAAAGAGTTACAGAGCCTCTTCCAATAGATCCCAATGACATTATTTAAGATTCTCTCTTTTTAAAAAAAAAAAAATTATTGATTAAAAATATACAAACAAACATAAATACATTAAAACAACATACAAAACAAACAAACAACGATTCAGTCTTACGACTGACTCTTAAAGCTATCACATCGGTGGGTTATTTTTCTCATCTTTCTCTATGCATATCTATATTTACATATTTACATATTTATATATAAAACATTATAGTCCGCTCTTTGTTTAGTTCTTTACATTTCCTATTTAGGTATTCAAAGTTTTTTTTTTTATTAAAAAGTTTTTTAAAAATTTACAAATGCTTTCCCATCCCACCTCCCCCTTCCCTCCCCAACCCTCCCCCCCTGACTTCCCAGAGCAAAATAAAGGGTATAGCATTTAACAATCATATACTAACATATGCTAACTATCTATAGACTCGTATCTCCCTCTTGTACTTTTAACTCCCCTTTTACATGACTAAATTTAAATATTTTCTAAAATCTCTTTATTATCAAAGTTATTTTTATGTTGTTCTCTTTTCCTCCAGCCAGCTATACCATCTTTGCCACACTAAATAGTAATCAGTATCATCTTTCTCTTGTAGTTCCTTTGTAAGCCTATCCATTTCTGAGCATTCTGTAATTTTTGCGATTATTTTGTTTTCTGTCGGTAATTGCTCAGATTTCCAATTTTGGGCAAAGACTCCCCCCAAAAGAAATCTGTTTAAGAAGAAAAGCAATACTAATGTGAGAAAAAGAAATGTACTAATAGAAGAGAATATCTATAACACAGAGTTGAACTTTGAACTCCTTGGTGCTCTCTGGGCTTGGCTGTTTTCTTTCATGATCCAACTAGGTAACATCATCAGAGCACTGACAATTTTTTAAAATCATTTGTCTGAAATGGGTTTAGAGTTTTCTGCTCAAGCAGAGGGTTGGACTAGAAGACCTCAAAGGTCTTTTCCAACTCTGTTATTTTGTTATTCTGTGGGTAATGAAGCATCTTCAAGAAAACAACTAAGCTCAAAAAACAAATGTCCCATCCTTTCTCTGGCAGTACAGAAATGGAAAAGATAGACTAAAAAAAAAACTAACTTTCCACAAGCTTCCAATCACCTTTCTCCAATCTGATGCCATCCAGATATGGTTTGGACCAGACGGGATGGAAATTGGTAATCCAGCATAGCTGGAGGACATCAGCATGAGAAATTCTGCTTAAAGCGAACTAACTTCATCAGATCTTCACAGAACCACACAACTTTCTGCCCATGTTTTTTTTTTAATTTGATTTATATGCCGCCCTTCTCCGGAGATTCAGGGCGGCTTACAATGCGTTAAGCAATAGCCTTCATACTTTTGTACATTTTTACAAAGTCAGCTTATTGCCCCCACAAACTGGGTCCTCAATTTACCTACCTTAGAAAGGATGGAAGGCTCTGGAAGGAATGTTCTGACCAAGGCTTCCTTATCCCCCTTGGAACGCTGCCAGAGAACTAATTGCCAAATGCAGGGCAAGGCCAAACTTGGCACAGAGTCAAACAGAACTTTTCAAAGCTTGAAACAACTAAATGAACTAATTGCTTCCTACAAAAGCTCACGTCCCGTTTGCTCCTCTTTTATGTCTTATGGGAGGGGCCAATCATCTCCAAGCCTTACTCCCAAGTCGACCCTGTTTTCTTAATTGTTCTTGTCTTCTGGCAGCTCTGCGCATGCACATACTGGGAACAGGCTCCCGCTGTTCTTCTGCCTCACTGATGTCAGACTCTGGAGGCTCCGGAGACTCCGGAGGCAGCACATAACTATCAGATGGCCTTGGCCCCCTGTCTGCCTCCGATGCAGAGCCCTCGTCCAAGCTTTCCCCAGACCCCAGGACTGGCCCAAGTTCCTCCCCAACCTCCTCACTGTCTGACTCTGCTGCCAGCTCTGCTGGCCACAACAGCTCAGTTTTCTCACTTCCTGACTGCTACTTGGGGTGGAAAATCTCAGTTGAGGCCTCCCCTTGGCCCAGTAGGACAAACTATTGACTCATCTTCCATTCAGAGATCAGCATGGGCATCCTTTTCACAACAGTGCATAGCCTCACATCAAAATCTCATTACACCATGAAGCACCTGAACCGACTGAAATCTCAGAAGCTCCAAAGTCAGATAATGAGTAAAATTAGTGGGGAGTTTTGGTTTTTGCAGAGCTTCTGTCCCTTCTCTATGATAGGCTATAGTAATGTATAATAGCCTAATTCAGGTAATTTAGACTTATTGCAGAATTGCTGCTTTGTCCTACTACAAGATTCCACATTAGACTGAATAGATTTTTTCTCACTAATGTAGCATATTTAGTGTTCTGAAGTCATTGCTGGTGTCATTTTTAGGGTCCTCCAGGTTTTCCAGGAAAAGCAGGACCTCCTGGACCTCAAGGACCCCCAGCTGAAAAGGTGAGTGACCAAAGTCAAATCTTGAGGGGAGGGAAGATAAACGAAGGAAGGACCCATTTTGCAAGAAGCAGGAAGGATGTAAACATTCCTGCCCACCCAATTTCAATGGGAGCAAAATTGCACCAGCCAATGAAACACCCTTTTTCTTGGCATTCTACTTCACACAAAGAAGCTGTTTGAGAAAGATGCATCAGGAAGATTACATATATTAAGGGATAGTGGAGCTGAAATGATACGGTAGTACTTCTGTATAAAAGCATGGCTGCAGTATGTTTCTAAAAATATATTAGGGAAAGTCTCATACAAAACCATACACATAAGGTACAAGCAATTCTCTTACAATTCTCTTACAATTGATTTTCTTGGAGTTTGTTTGTTTTTTTCAGCTGTAAAAATATTGACAGAGGGAAAGAATGCATGGAAATCCGTGTGGTTAACCCAGGAGTCTGCAACCTTAAATACTCAAAGAGCCATTTGGACCCGTTTCCCACAGAAAACACCGGGAGCCACAACACCCTTCCCGGGCCTGACTATTTCTTGAGCGGCCACAAAACTAGCCTATGTAGTTGAATTAAACATTCTGTTTTCTTCTGAAACTTTTCTTTTCTTGGATTTATCCATGATTGGCCTACCGGGAGTTGAAAAGCTGAATAAATTGCGTGCTCATGGGGTCACACTTTGGCGGTTGTGACGCATATTTTGAATGACAGGGAGCCGTAGCAGAGGGGTGAAAGAGCCACATGCAGCTCCAGAGCCACAGGTTGCTGACTCCTGGGTTAACCCAACTGTAGACTTTGTGCTGTTATAAACTGTTGGGGAAAAGGAATTCTCCTGGCTCCCGGGCTTGGAGAAGTGGGGTGGGTCATGGCTTCCAATCTGGAAGGACAACCCCAACAGAAACAAAACATGAAGGTCAATTTCTCTGCTGGCTTTGAAATTTTATACCAATAGCCGAACTGTTATGAAAGCAGCTACAGAAGCAGCATGGCTTCCTCCTTCCTCCTTCATCCCTTCCTTCCTTCTTGTGCACTTATCTGAAGGCAAAATTGGGATAATGACAGCATTGGCTCTGTGTTTCCCTTCCCCTTCCTCTGTCTCTGCAAGAGCAGCACTCCAGATGAAGGTCCATGTGGGAAACCCTCTTTTGTTCATGAGATTCTCCTGGAGCTTATATATATTATATATTACATGTGCAGCAGCAGCTAAAAAAGCCAACACAATCCTAAATTGCATTAACAGAGGAATACAATCAAGGTCAAGTGAGGTACTAATATCACTCTATAAAGCCTTAGTAAGACCACACCTAGAATACTGCATCCAGTTTTGGTCACCACACTATAAAAAAGATGTTGAGACTCTAGAAAAAGTGCAGAGGAGAGCAACCAGGAGGATTAGGGGACTGGAGACTAAAACATACGAAGAACGGTTACAGGAACTGGGCACGGCTAGTCTAATGAAGAGAAGGACCAGGGGAGACATGATAGCTGTCTTTCAATACTTGAGGGGCTGCCACAGAGAGGAGGGGGTCAAGCTATTTTCCAAAGCACCTGAAGTCCAGACAAGGAATAATGGATGGAAACTGACTAAGGAGAGATTCAACCTAGAAATGAGGAGGAACTTTCTGACAGTGAGAACAATCAACCCATGGAACAGAAGTTGCCTTCGGAAGTTGTGGGAGCTTCACCACTTGAGACTTTCAAGAAAAGATTGGACTGCCATTTGTCAGAAATGATGTAGGATCTCCTGTTTGAGCAGGGGGTTGGGCTAGATGACCTATAATGTCCCTTCCAACTCTGTTAATCTGTTAACTTCCCAAACTCTGCATCTAAAATGCTGCTCTTGCAGTCCTTTAATATTACCTAGAGCTGAACAGAAGAAGCAATGAAGTGATTTTGCCTCCACTAGTTCAGGTAATCCTCAACATGCAACCATTCAAAGTTTCAGTGGCACTGACTGAAAACAAGTGACTTATGACCAGTTCTCATACTTACAACCATCACAGCATCCCCACGGACATTTGATTAAAATTCAGGTGCTTGGCCACTGATATGTATCTTATGAAGGTTGTAGTGTCCCAGGATTGTTTGATTTCCCCATTTGTGACCTTCCCATCTGGCGAAGTCAATGGGGAAAACCAGATTCCCTTAATGACTGGTTGATTCAGTTAGCTGCAGTGATTCTCTTAACAACCATGGCAAAAAAAAAAGGGTGTGATTTGCTTAATAACCACTTTGCTTAGGAGTGGAAATTCTGGTCCCAATTCTGGTCATAAGTCGAGGACTGCCTGTGCTGCCTTCCCATTAGGTACAGGAACCAAGAGACACAGCTGTGAGAGCAGTGGTGAAATCCAAATTTCTTTACTACCGGTTATGTGGGCGTGATGTGGCTTGGTGGGCATGGCAGGGGACAGATACTGCAAAATCCCCATTCCCACCCCACTCCTGAGGGAAGGATATTGCAAAATCCCCATTCCCACCCCATTCTGGGGCCAGCCAGAGGTGGTATTTGCCGGTTCTCCCAACTACTCAAAATTTCCGCTACCGGTTCTCCAGAACCTATCAGAACCTGCTGGATTTCACCCCTGCATGAGAGATTTAAGGGCAGAAGAGTAAAAAGGCATGGATTGTCTCATCCACTCACATTCTCTATCTTTTATGCAAGCAGTTTGAGGGAAATGAAGGCTCTTTTCCCCCCAAAGCTACAAATTCACATATTACTACTTCAGCTTGCTGGCTCTCTGTCCAAGAAGACCATGGATGAAGGGGGAAGCAACCTCCAGAAGAGCAAGGAGGGGGGAGAACTGGGGTCTTTTGCTCCAAGGAGGAGGTTCCACAGGGATTCATAGTAGTAGACACATACTATTAAAGGCAGAGAGTTTTATCTTTTCATTACGGGTCATGGGAACTCTTTCTGCAGATAAAAGGCTGGATGGAGAAGGCATTGGCAGCATGGATCTGAAAAGAATCCTTTGAGGATGCCAAGGGAAAAATAGCTGCTGGGTTGATTAGGAGAAGTGATGGGGGGGGTGGGGGGGAGTGTCTGCCAATTGCTGGCTTTTACTGACATCTGCTGCTTTTTCTCAGGACTGCAGCCTGGAGATTTTGCTTGGCTCTTGGGAAATAGGAAGAGGTATTTTGAAGGGATGCGGTGGCTCAGTGGCTAAGACGCTGAACTTGTCAATCGAAAGATTGGCAGTTCAGTGGTTCGAATCCCTAGTGTCGCGTAGCGGGGTGAGCTCCCGTTACTTGTCCCAGCTTCTGCCAACGTAGCAGTTCGAAAACACGTAAAAAATGCAAGTAGAAAAATAGGGACCACCTTTGATGGGAAGGTAACAGCGTTCCGTCCGCCTTTGGCGTTGAGTCATGCCGGCCACATGACCACGGAGACATCTTCAGACAGTGCTGGCTCCTTGGCTTTGAAACGGAGTTGAGCACCGCCCCCTAGAGTCGGGAACGACTAGCACAGATGTGCAAGGGGAACCTTTACCTTTTAAACCTGGAGCCTAATTTAAGAAGGATTGTCTATGGAGATTTTCAATCATTCAGCTCATAGTTGTCCTCGAGGTGCTTTTTTTTTTTTCCAGAAGGCAGCTGGATTTTCTTTGGGTTTTTTTCCCTTTGAAAACGTTCCCGATTCTCATCCAAGAAACTTCTTCTTGGATGAGAATCCAAGAAGTTCTGTTAGAACTGAAAAGGCTTCTTGAATGAGAAGTGAAATGTTTTCAAGGGGGAAAAAAAACATAAGGAAGTCCAGCTGTCTTTTGAAAAAAGCCCCTTTGGGACTTTTTTGGATTGTACATTGTGGGGTTCAAATGGGACCCCTCACTCTGGAGGACTAGCAAAACATAATTTTAACTTCTCCCCGAAGCAGAACAACTTTCTGTCACGCAGGGAGTGGGACATTTTCCAGTAAAGGAAGCCAACTTGTAAGCTGCCTAGAGGAGATGGGCAGCATAAAATTTTAATACAGGTAGTCCTCGACTTATGACCACAATTGAGCCCAACGTTTCTGTTGTTAAGTGAGACATTTGTTAAGTGAGTTTTGCCCCCATTTTACGACCTTTCTTGCCACAGCTGTTAAGTGAATCACTGAAGTTGTTAAGGTAGTAACCCGGCTGTTAAGTGAATCTGGCTTCCTCACTGACTTTACTTGTCAGAAGGTCGTAAAAGGAGATCCCATGACCTTGGGAGACTGCCACAGTCATAAGTATGAACCAGTGGCCGAGCATCTGAATTTTGATCATGTGATCATGGGGATGCTACAAAGGTTGTAAGTATGAATAACGGTCACCAGTCACTTTTTTCAGTGCTGTTGTAAGTTTGAGTGGTCACTGTTGTAAGTCGAGGACTGCCTGTAAATATAATGGAAAGGAAGATGCATGGGAATCTAATCGCATTTCTCCCCAGCCCAGTCTCTGTCCCCTCCTTGGCTTCTCCTCCTTTGCTCTTCTTCCCCATGGCAACCAACAGCAGCTGAATCATTGAAAGGGGTTTTTTCTTCTCTACTTTCTGCAGGGCAGTGAAGGGATGCGTGGGGCTCCTGGCATGGCTGGTTCCCCCGGACCTCCAGGACAACCTGGACTACAAGTAAGTAGGCTGGAAACACGATGGTCTAAATCAGAGTTTCTCCACCTTTCCAGCTTTGCAGACTCGCGGGGGGTGGAGAGTGTTGTGATCTAGGCTCACTTAGTCATTACAAGACACAATTAGTCCCAAACAAAACTATTTTATTATAACAGCTGAGAATTACTTCATTCCCAGCTTAGTCCAAATTAATTCCAAAACAAAGTCCTTCAGAAAAAGTCCTTCGGGCTTATCACAAACCTTTATCTTCTTTGGCACCCTGCCAAAAGCCTTTCTTGGCAAAGCCCCACGAAGTTCAAAAACAAGAGACGCCGACTGGAAACAGATTTAGCAACGTTGCTTTCCTGCAAAGGGCCCGCATGCCTTTGCTCCTCTTTTAAGCCTTATGGGAGGGGCCAATCATCTCCTGGCCTTACTCCTGAGTCGTCCCTTTTCCTTTAGCTGCTCTTGCCTTTTGGCAACTCTGTGCATGCATGCACTAGGAACAGGCTCCTCCTGTTCCTCTGCCTCTCTGATGTCTGACTCTGGAGGCTCCGGAGTCCACGCATAATTCCCAGATGGCCCTGGCCCCATCTCTGCCTCCGACTCAGAGCCCTCGTCCGGGCCTTCCCCAGACTCCAGGATGGCCCATGGTCTTCCCCAGCCTCCTTACTGTCCGACTACGCTGCCAGCTCTGCAAGCTGCTGGTGGACCACAACAGAGGGGAAGGGGAAAGGAGATGGTTCCATGTAAACAGCTGGTAATCGTGCACACGCACTGGTCCATTTGTGTGAGCGGCATGCATGCGTGACCTCCACTCGTGCTAGTGGAGCACGTATGCACGCGCTCCCCCACTGCATGCAAGTGGGGATGCGTGTGCGCTCACCTGCCATTTCCACAGCCCGGTTGCAAAGAGCTGACGGCCCATTAGTGGGCTGTGGCCCAGAGGTTGGGAACCCCTGGTCTAAATCACCCTATAATGAAGGTGAGAAGACAGCTGGTTTCAGCATGGTGTGAAAACATGGTGTGTTTTCCTGTTTCCTTCCCTAAGAAGTCCCTTTCATAAGCTGAAACCAGCTCAGCCCATCCTGCTCTTACACTACCAAATTTAACTCAAATTTTCTGTATCTCCTCATCGCCCATCCTAAAACAAGGAAACTGTTTTAGTTGGAATTTAAAAGATTTAAACGTTCCATCCAGTGGTGAAATGTAAAATTTGTTACTACCGGTTCTGTAGGCGTGGCTTGGGGTAGGGGGGTAATGTGACGGGGGGGCATGGCCAACTTTTTTTTTTTTACTTTTAAAAGCACTTTTAAAAGCATTTTTTCTACAACCTCGAAGGTTGCAGAAAAAATGTTTTTAAAAGGCTCTGACAATCCCAGCTGAGCCGCGCGATTATCAGAGGCTTGATTTTGTTTCTTTTAAAAGCATTTTTTCTTCAGCTTAAAAAAAAATGCTTTTAAATTTTTTTTAAAAAAGCCTCTGATGATCGCATGGCTCAGCTGGGCATGGGGGGCAGGCAGGGATTTTTGCTACCGGTTCTCCGAACCACCCGCCGTCATCGCTACCGGATCAGGCAATCTGGTCCAAACTGGGAGCATTTCACCCCTGCTTCCATCCCCTTGGGCACCTGGTGTGGGCAAAGACTGGGAAATAAGGAGTAAGAAGAAGATGCTTTATTATTTTTATAACAGAAATTATGGTTGCTATCCTTCTGTAAAATATTTATTATGTGCGCCGTGTATTCAAGAAGTCCTGCTTCCTAAGTGGCTCAGTGGCTAAGACGTTGAGCTTGTCGATCAGAAACGTCGAGGGTTCGAATCCCTCCTATAGGTCTTCTGCGTGAGCAAGGGGTTGGACTAGATGACCTCTAACATCCCTTCGAACTCTGTTACTGTTACTTCCCCAGATGTACTTGTGTACCAAGAGCACGAGAGTCATAGAGGGATAATGGGACCTAAATGTCGGGAAGTTCTTGTTTCAAGATATCAATCCCCTTGCAAGATTGCCATAGATAAAGATTAGAAAGGAGTCTGTTAACCCCTTTTTTTTTTCAAATGAACCAATTTTATGAGAAGGCTTAGAAAAGGGCACTTGTTTAAATTAGATCTCACTAAAAGCCATGGCTTACACAGCCATCCATTAGGTCCTTTAGCCGCGATCTGCACAAGCAGCAAATGACAGCGTAACAAACAGAACATTACGTAGATTTGCTTGACAATATTCACTTTCCATTTAGCTTCAGAGGCAGCAATTTTCAGATGTGGGTTTCCACTTCTAACTGTAGTGCGCTACTTCCCCCATTACGCAGCCTCCAATTTAGCATCAAGGATATTTTGCAAGTCTACATCCAAGCCTAATTTCTGATTCTGTAGGGCCATCAATTACAAACTATGCTTGATCATCATTCCAGATCATTACAGTGAGCCATCATCGTGTGGCTCATTTATTTTCATCTTAACAACTATGGTTAAAATGTTCTGGCTTAAAGAGATCCATCCATAAACCAAACTTCAGCACATTAAGCTCTCTTAATACGTACAGTGCATTAAATAAACATAAAGCATTGACCGATGCACTTGGATTTTTTTTTCTTTCTCTAGGCAGTTCAAAGAAAGAATGCCCATGTAATCTATGTTTATTTTTAGGGTCCACCTGGCCTGGAGGGACAAGATGGAAAAGATGGAAAACCAGGGTCCCGGGTAAGAATGTGTGTCCCAGTAGCAGAGAGAGAGATACGGGAGGGGGGGAGGGGAGATACAAAACGGAAAGAAGACCACCCAGAAACATTGTTTAAAAAAGAGGATATATTTATATGTTGTATGTTATGTGTTTGTCATATTGTGTTATAATAAAATATTTAAAAAAAAATTAAAAAAACAAATGTGGCAAGGAAAGTCGTAAAACAGGGCAAAACTCACTTAACAAATTTCTCACTTAGCAACATAAATTTTGGTCTCGATTGTGGTCGTTAATCCAGGATTATCTGTAATAGCAAGGTGGTGGTTATATGCAGTGGTGGGATTCAAATAATTTAACAGCCAGTTCTCTACCCTAATGACCAGCTGGATAGGCGTGGCTCGGTGGTCATGTGACTGTGTGGGTGTGGCCAACTCAACGTCACTCACGTCGATGGGCGCTTCACCTTAGCTGTTACAATGTAATAAGGGTTAACCTGAGAGGCAGTTTCTTTAAGCAGAGCAATAAAGATTAGGCTAGAAACAACACCAGAATGTTTCCTTCCTGTCTTCCTTACAGGAGTAGCCCTGTAAAGTGGGAAAAAACAAAATAAGATTTCTTCCAACAACCAGTTCTCCGAACTGCTTAGAAAGTTAACAACTGGTTCTACCAAATAGGTGCGAATTGGCTGAATCCCACCACTGGTTATATGCCTCCTAGGAAAAGAGAGTGGACCATTTATATCTGGATGGGAAGTGGGGGCAGAAGACAGATTTAGTATGCTGAAGATTTGGCATGTTGCAGTTCTCTTTCTTTAAGTAGCATTAACTCTTGGCTTCTTCTAGGGTGACTCAGGACCTCCAGGACCTCCAGGAATGATGGGACCACCAGTAAGTTGTTGGCTATCCAAGATTCTACTAGTCATCTACTAGTCATTGGGAAAGAGGGAAAGAAAGATTTCTTTCTTCCATTGATCACTTAGTTTCTCAGGAGATCTGATGGTGCCAATTTTTCATCAGCTAAATCAGGGGTGTCAAACTCGCCAGCCGCAGGCCAGATGCATCACACACTGGCCACCCCCACCTCCATGGGTGAAAAGGCAAAAGAGGGGGGGAGTTGCAAAGTAGTCCAGAAGCTAAAGACTATTGGATTAAAATTAAGACTTGGTTGGAGGAAATGATACATCAACGTATCGAATTTAAACCAGAGCTGTTCCTATTGGGTATCCTACCTGAAAAAATTAGCAAGGAAAATGTTTATTTGATAATACATGTAATAACAGCTGCAAGGATTGTCTATGCACAAAATTGGAAAGCGGAGAAAATATCTTTGGAAGAAGAAGTAATTAAAAAAATGTTAGATTGTGCAGAAATGAATAGATTAACTTTGATGATTAAAGATAGAGAAGACTCAAAATATTTTAAAATATGGAATGATTTTTTTATTATTGGTTGGAGAAGAGATATAAATGATTAATTATATAAATATGTATCAATATGTGATGAGTAGAAATTAGTGATGAATTGATATTATGGACTGGATAAGGATCAAGATAGAAGAAATGACAACTATACAGAAGAAGAAAGAACTTTGGAAGATAACACCGAGATGTCACAGGGAGGAGAAAACTGATGTATTAAATGTTTGTTTGTTTAAAAAAAAAATTAAAAAAAAGAAAAGAAAGAAAAGTTGCAATACGTCACATGACAACAACATGACACCGTGAGTTTGACACCCCTGAGCTAGATGATGCCCTTTTAGCATCGTCTTGACATGCAGATGTTTACCAACTGTTACCAACTGTAATGATTGTTGCCAGGTACTAAATCAAGCCAGGTTCTTTTGTGGGGAAGTAGATTTCTGGTCGGTTGGCAGCCCTGAAGCTTCAGTGCTCAGGGCCTGCTGATTTTGATCTAGTAGCCAAGTTTATAGCCTCTCCATTATTGTTGTCTTTTTTCTTCTCTCTAGGGATTCAAAGGGAAAACGGGTCATCCTGGCCTGCCAGGACAGAAGGTTAGCCCTGCCATTGATTGCAAGATCAAAATGTGATACATGTTCCTTCTCATTTATTCAACCTCATGTCAAATTGGTCAAATATATTGTCTAGGGGATGGATGGTTTTTCCTTGCCTGCAAATTGGAAAGGCCAAAGTAGAGTGAGTCTGAATGCTGAAAACTGCAATTCTCACTGATATAGACCACTGGTTGTTAATGAGCTCCTTAGGAACAAATATGCATTTGTTTGGTTAACTGTATTATAACCTAACACGACTCTTCACAGTTTATGATAAACAACAATCAAGTTAACTAGAAATGTTAAAAAAACAATGCTCGCCGTTAAACTCAACAACTTTTTTTTTTAAGTACTTGGTCTTAAAAGCTTTTAAATAAGACTTGCCATAATTTTATTTTATTTATTGATTTGATTTGAATTTTATACCGCCCTTCTCCAGCAGGACTCAGGGCGGTGAACAGCCAAGGTAAAAACATAGCATACAAAATTTAAAACAATTTAAAAAGATATTAAATAATTTCGGCCCACAATTTAAAAACACCCCAATAAAATCAATTACGAATTAAAACCGAAAGATGGGATCAAGCCAGCCCGGCTAGATGAAATAAGTGAGTTTTAAGGGCCCGACGAAAAGTCCGGAGATCTGGGATCGTACGTATCTCTGGGGGTAGGTCGTTCCAAAGGGCGAGTGCCGCGACAGAGAAGGCTCTCCCCCTGGGGGTCGCCAGCCGACATTGTCTGGCCGACGACACCCTGAGGAGGCCCTCTCTGTGCGAGCATACTGCCCGGTGGGAGGCTATTGGCAGCAGAAGGCAGTCTCGTAGATACTCAGGCCCTAAGCCATGGAGTGAATGCAACAGAAAATACATCCCCCAAAACTGGGTGACCACAAAGAAAAGTCTAGTAGACCCTGAATCATAGAGCAAGAGGAACTTTCTCAAGAAGCCTTGATACAAACCACAGACATCTAAGAATAGAATGGAATGGAATGTGGCAGCCCTGAAGATCCAAAGAAAAAGATGGCTTCCAGGGCTGACACCCTCTCTGTCAGAATCCCTGTCTTTTATGGTTGCATTACTATATATATTCTATACGCAACCCATTATCTATGGAAGAGAAAATATTAGTGCATACATTTGGCTGCTCCTGAAGGTGAGAATCTAAGCTGAGCAATGCAGCCGTTTTAATAATTACAACAGAAAGGAGATTTATTTCAGGAAGAACATGATAGGGGTAGGCAAAGCCTAGTACCTAGCTAACTGCATCTTACCAGAAAGAGAATGAGAGAATGTGCATTCTTTAGGTGCTTATCTGGAAGAGAAGGAAGAGACAGAGATTTGAGATTAGCTGTCTCAGAGATCAAGAGCAGCAGAGTATTAGACAATACATTATTAACTTTCTCTCTTTGCCCAACTGGCCTTTGTCCTTGTGGTCAGTTAGGTGACAAAGTGCTAAAGAGTCTGTACCACTGAAGTCACAGGTCCAACATTATTAACTGCAGACTGGTGTTCATGACCACTGTTATGCCAAGTGTCAGGGCAGTGCCCAGGTTGGTTCTTTTGCATTCAGAGATGAACAAACCAGTAAATAAAGGGATTTTAATAGAATAGAATAGAATAGAATTTTTTATTGGCCAAATGTGATTGGACACACAAGGAATTTGCCTTGGTGCACACGCTCTCAGTGTACATAAAAGAAAAGATACATTCATCAAAAATCATAAGGTACAATACTTAATGATAGTCATAGGGTACAAGTAAGCAATCAAATCTATAAAGGCCCCTGTTTTGAGAAGCAATTCTTCCTAAGAGCAAAACGAACTTCAGTAAAAAGATCTTAAGTAGACTCTAGAGAGCCGCTGTCAATTAGGGCAGACTCATCTCTCCCAAACTTATCCCTCCAGCAACCCCCTGAATTCCCACTGAGAATGGCCTTTGAGAATTCTTGGGATCGAAACCCAAGATTGGAAACTTGAAGAATAGCGAAGGAGTTTCCCTTGGGTTGTGTGGACTGTTGATTTGATCTGGCTCTAGGCAGCTTCACGCATCCCTTCAATCCCAAAGGTGTGATTGGCTGTGACAAAGTATGCAGAGATTTGGACCCATTGGGACAGTGAGGAGGACAGGCTGATCCTCTTGATTGTCTATCACTAAAGCTGGTTGAACAAGACGACCAGGGAGTTTACTGGAAGAAGATAGGCTTCGGTTGCTTTATATCTTCCATAATATAAGCATTCTATTTTAATCCATGTCTCCTTGATTTTTTAGGGTGATTGTGGGAAACCAGGACCTCCTGGAAATTCGGGCCGGACTGGAGCTGAGGTGAGTTATCAACATCCAGCCAAAAGTGAATTGCAATGTGAGGGATATACTCTTGAATTAATTCTGCACCTGCCTTTGCCTGGATGCAGCAGTGTATGTGGGGATGTCTATGAATCTATGGAAGTCACTATAGAAGAGTCTTCGTTCATTGGCATAATATATCACAACTGACTAATGAAACTCAAGTTGAGAATGCAGAGTAGATGAAGGAGGGAGATATACAAAATTCTATGGATGGCTCAATTCATAATACTTTTGTCCCATGGAACAAAGAAAGTGAGATGTTGGGAGGGGAGCAAAATTAACTCACAAGATTAATTCCTCTACTAGTAATTTACCTTAGTTCACTTCAGTGATGGGATTCAAAAAAATTTACTACAAGTTCTGTGGCCGTGGCTTGGTGGGCATGGCATGGCATGGCTTGGTGGGTATGGCTTGGTGGGCGTGGCAGGGGAAGGATACTGTAAAATCTCCATTTCCTCCCCACTCCAGACGAAGGTTAGTACAAAATCCCCATTTCCTCCCGATCAGCTGGGACTCAGAAGGCAGAGAATAGATGGGGTCAGGGCCAGTCAGAGGTGGTATTTACCAGTTCTCCAAACTACTCAAAATTTCTGTTACTGGTTCTCCAAAACTGGTCAGAACCTGCTGAATACAACCTCTTGTTCTCTTGCACTTGTTAAGTGCAGGTGTGTATTTATGGAGTGAAAGAGAGGGAGGGAGGGAGGGAGAGAGAGAGAGAGAGAGAGAAAGGAAAGAAAGAAAGAAAGAAAGAAAGAAAGAAAGAAAGAAAGAAAGAAAGAAAGAAAGAAAGATGAGGGACTCTCATTCAACAGCAATCTTCACTACCAAACTTTCCTCCCAAACAACTTTGTGCCTTATAGATTATTATATTATGTTAGGTAGAGAATAATTGCTGTGCCAAGGGGAGAGAGCTTGCCGTGCAAACATATCCTTCATGGAAGTACAGGTAGTCCACAACTTATGACTATAATTGAACCCAGAATTATGGCCATAAGTCATTGCGATTGTTAAGCAGCTCACCATGTTACAAGACACAATTTTATGACTTTTTTGTAGTAGTTGTTAAGTGAGCCCAGCAGTTATTAAGCATATTCGTTTTATCCAATGGGCATGTTTTGCTGGAAACTGGAAATGAACACCAGCAATGGGCAAAAAAAAAATGTCAAAAATTGTCATGGGAACCATAGGATACTGTAAACAAAGGTGAGCTGGTTGCCAAGTGTGACCCATGGGGATGCTGCTGTCATGGATACATTCACCACCTTGAGTTATTTGCAAAAATAATAAAGGCAGGATACAAATAAATAACTTCCATTCCCTTCCAACTGTGTTATCCTATCCTGGTCATAAGTAGCTTTGGGGGAGTCCACTATATTATCTAAGCAACTAGTCGTAAGTTGAGGACTGACTACCTGTATATGCAACCAGAGAACAGTAGACAAGGCATAGTCCTGTGTATACTGTACATCCCAAGACATACAGTTTTTGATGCTACAGCATTGATTATCTTAGTCATAACTTGCCCAGAAGTCTCTGGCAATGCATTTATATAATTTGCTCCATGGATAGCCTAACACAGATGAGTATTTGCTCTAACGTTCTTTTCCTTTTCCAGGGAGAGCCAGGTCCCGTGGGACCTCAAGGTAGACCAGGCCCTCCTGGACATGTCGTAAGTCAAAATACTCTTTCCTGAATTTTGTCTGAGCAGATTTATAGCTACATTGCAAAAATGTCTATAAAGCTACCAAGTCAGGCTTCTGACCCACTGCTGAAAGCAGATACCACTTGGCATGAAAGCCAAAGTATAAATGCCAACTGTTACATTCTCCATTTGTATCATTTTGTTCTTTTCTAAATTCCCCCTTTTTTTAAAAAAAAAAATAGCAAGTCAAAAACAAAAATAAAGCACCATTCACACTTTAGTTTTTATATCAGCTAAGCCAAACCAACGAACAAAAGCAAGTCCACCATACCTATTCCACAGAAATAATAGCGGTTCTGCAGATAGTCAGAATAAACTGTTCCAATGGTCAATCCCTCCTCAATCCAAGGATTAAAGATTGGTCACTCAGAAGCTGTATGGAAACTATTGAACTTCAGTTACTGCAAGGAACCTATAGATTTCAGTGCATTTTATTACTGAAGAGAGTCTAGTAGTTAAGGTACCAGACTAGAAATTAGAAGGCCATGAGTTCTAGTCCTGCTTTAGGCATGAAAGCCAGCTGAGTGATGTTGGGCCAATCACCAGGAAACTCTGTTTTAATCCTGCTTCAGGTATGAAAGCCAACTGGGTAACTTTGGGCTAATTATCCTCTCTCCGTCCAACTCATCTCACAGGGTTGTTGGTGGGGAGGGGGGGAATGAGGATATGAGACATGTTCACTGTCTTGAGTTGTTTATAAAAATAATAAAGCAGGGATATAAATAGATTAAATGCCAAACCTTAATTCTATAATTCCCATCCACCCATAACTAGGCACCAATTGGGGCGAAACATTTTAGAAATCCTTCCTTTTAATAAGGAAGAAAAACCTTAACATTGTGGGATCCTTGGTGCTCTCTTGAGTTTGGTTCAGTGGTGAAATCCAATTTTTTTTACTACCGGTTCTGTGGGCGTGGCTTGGTGGGCGTAGCAGGGGAAGGATACTGCAAAATCTCCATTCCCACCCCACTCCAGGGGAAGAATATTGCAAAATCTCCATTCCCTCCCCACTCCTGGGGCCAGCCAGAGGTGGTATTTGCTGGTTCTCCGAACTACTCAAAATTTCCGCTACCGGCTCTCCAAAACCTGCTGGGTTTCACCCCTGGTTTGGTTGTATTCTTGCAGACGTTTCCTTACCAAACTAGGTAATGTCATCAGTGCTAGATTAGTGCTAACTTAACATTGCACATTACAATTTTAACCAGAGCCAAACTAGATGGCACAGACCGGTGTGTCCGGTTGCTCAGAGCTGCCACATCTGGAAAGTTTGATTCCTACCTATACTGAAAATTTAGCAGGAAACTAGACAGCACCCTGTCGTAATTTCTTATGTCTTCTATGCTTCTCTGCAGCCCAACTCAGGGTGCGTGAAGAATATCTGGGCAGATAAGAACAGAGATTTAAGAGGGCGGGGGAGAAGTACCAGTTTTCCCTTTGCTTGACTAGCCCTTGTGATACCAAGATCAGATGCCTTTTGAGATCCGACTTAACTTACGAACAAGAAACATAACTACTCCAGATTCATCTCCCTTGGTCTCTATTCAGCAAGGCTTCTGACATGAATGAATGAATATTTCTGAGCTTTCTAAAATGCGCCCAAGAGAACTTTGTCAAGATTGCTGTTTTAGATGTCCATGGCTAACTCTCGAGTATGCTTTTCTGCTAATAATTCATTTTGGATTTATTTTTCATACATGAAAGGCAGAGACAGTCTTACTGGGGAAATACTCAGTGGTGATAAGTATATTCCGTGTTTCTAAATTTCGGCAACTTTTAAGAGGTCTGGACTTCAACTCCCAGAATTCTTCATCCAGCATGGGAATTCTGGGAATTGAAGTCCAGACCTCTTAAAGTTACCAAGGTTGAGAAACAATGGGTTTGTCTATGTTCTTACATCCTTCTGCAATTTTTCTCCGTCTCTTCAGGGTCCACCTGGAAGCCCTGGCCAGCCTGGTCCTTCAGGGCTTGCTGGAGTTGTGAGTATCGTCCCTTCCCTTTTGGCATTCTTAGGCTCTGGTCCTCTTGAGTCTGATCCAACATGGATCCTCTTCAGTGGTGAAATCTGAACCAGTTTACTACCAGTTCGCTGGCAGCACATGCACGCTGCATGCCAAGCGCACACAGTACAAGTGCACACTGCACTTGTGCACATGCGCAGTGTGCACCAAATGCGTGCTGCGCATGTGCACAAGTGCAGTACGTGCCAAAAGGTGGCTTGGGAAGGTAAGTAGAACAGCGAGGGGGGGGGAATCAGCTGTGCTGCGCGATTTAGCTTCACTAGAAAGCAGGATTTCCTGCTTTTTTAAACTACCGGTTCAACCCAACTGATAGCTTTTTAAACTACCGGTTCACCTGAACCTGTAGGTTTTTTTTACTACCAGTTTGCCCAAAACTGTACTTTTTATCACTACTGATTCGCCCGAACCGGAGCGAACCGGTAGCATTTCACCCCTGATCCTCTTCACTTCTGAATGAAGCCACAGTATAGGAAGCATTCATTCTTGAAGCTTAGAACTCTCTCTCTCCACTGGAACCCCTTTCCCATTTCTTTGTAAAGTTGGTGAATCCCTACCTCCAAAATCATTTCCAACCAAATCAGGAAAATGTTTCCTGATTGTCTCCAGGAAACATACACTGAATTGTCATTTGTTAAGATGCCATTTTGAAAGGTGACATCTCATAGATTGGTACTAGACTGCAGAGAGTGCAGGTGCTCCCAAGAACCCCCCCCTCCCATCCTTCCCTAGCCAGATGTGTCCAGACATCTTGGTTTGCAGTGCCCATCTTCTTAGCCATCCCAATCCCAGGGGCCAAGGAAGATGCAATCCACTATATCTGCCATGTTGGGGGAAAAAAAAAACCTACCATCTAGCAAAGTAGAAATACTCTCTGCTATTCAGTCAACATTTTTTTAGAACCTGGCTAAATATTTAACCATGATTTTTTTTCTGGATGTAAGGTGGGATTGGCTCCTCAAGACATGCAAAAGATCTTTATCTCTGTCCCCATTATCATTCACCTCTGCTTTCTTTCCAATGAAGAAGCAGATGTGTGGAGAGAAACATGCCAGAAAGTTGCTCAGCACTGACCTATGTATACAAAAATAGCCACAACTACTAGAAAATAGAAATCAAAACAAGAAATAAGAATGTAAATTGAAATTTGATAAATTGGAACTAAGAGTATTAAATACTGGCAAGGATAAAATCTTGACGATGTTAATAAATAGGATGCAAATATATATAACAATTTAGTTTATAAGAACGCTCAACATGGTTATACAAGAATAAGAGAATGATTAGGAAGATTGAATTTAAAAGTAAAGATAATTGTCGATGCAGAAAGTTCTAAAATATTATATAATGTTGTTATTTATGTTTTGTATTTTACCGTTTGGTGTATGTGTATGTTCTCTTCTTTTTTCTTTTTCTTTTTTCATTTTTTGTCTTTTTCTATTATGTTTTTGGTTTTAAAAATGTAAAATATTCATTTAAACTATTTTAAAAAACAAACAAAAATAGCCACAACTGGAAAGGGGACCTTGAGTTCTCCCACCAAAATGAACCTCAGAGCACATGCGTTGGGAAGAACATTGTGTACCTGGTCATTTGGAGGAGTCACCACAAAACTTTGTGTTTCCTTGATTGTCTCCAACAGTTTCTGATGCCGTCTCTCCTTTTCCCAGGGTCAGAAGGGTGAACGGGGATCCACTGGAGAAAGAGGTCTCAGTGGGCTCCCAGGCCAGCCAGGAACACCGGGTCATCCAGGTCCACCGGTAAGTGTCTCTTGATGGAATCCACATGTTTCAGAATCAATCATGAAGAGCTTTGTTGTGATCTGCCAGCAGCCTGCGGAGCTGACAACAGAGTCAGACAGTGAGGAGGCTGGGGAGGAACATGGGCACGGACTCCGGATAACAGAGAGACAGAGGAACAGGAGGAGCCTATTCCTAGTGCACGCATACGCAGAGCTGCCAGAAGGAAAGAACAGTTAAAACTAAAGGGACAATTCGGGAATAAGGCCTGGAGATGATTGGCTCCTCCCATAAGGTTTAAAAGAGGAGCAAAGGCACGTGGGCCCTTTGCAGGAAAGCAACATTGTTAATTCTGTTCCCAGTCGGCATCTCTGTTTGATTCTGGACTCCGTGTGGCTTTGCCAAGTAGGTTCTTTGGCAGCATATCAAGGGAGATAAAGGTTGGTGATTATCCCGAAGGATTTCTCCCAAAGGACTTTTTGCAACTAATTGGGACTCAGCTGCGAATGAACGTAATTCACAACTGTTGCAATTAAAGAGATTTTGGGGACTACTCATAGTTTTAATGACTCAGGAAGCCTAGGTCACAACAAGCTTGTAGGAAAACCCTCTGGTTGAGAATGGATGGACGGGTGCATGGATGGTTTGTAATGCTTCCTAGTCTTAATTCTTTGTTCAATATTAGGCTGAAAGTGGTTCATAACAACATGAGAATTTGACTTTGGACCCATTAGTAGAGAAATGAAACTAAATCCTCTTTTCCCCTTGTTTTCTGTTTGGTTCCTAGGGTGAGCCAGGCTTGGATGGACTGGGAGGCAAAGAGGTATGGTGACTCTTACCTGTTATCACCTTCTTGAACGGAAGAGCCCTTCTTTACCCCCGTTTCAGAACCAAAAATAGGAGTAACCCACTGTAACAATGGAAGGAAGCTACCTACATCACATTTCTTATGCCCAAAACAATGTTCACATTGTTTGTTCACCCACAGGGACGATATGGACCAGGGACAGAAAGAAGAAATGGACTTGATGGGATGATTTGCACTGGGGGGAAAAACTGTAGCTCATTTCCCCCCCTCCCCCCCCCAAATTCCAAAACTCTTTAAGGCCATTTCAGTTAATAATCAGGATCCGGGGGGAAATGCTCCCGGTTCGGAGCAGATCATCCGATCCGGTAGCGATGGTGGCAGGTGGGTCGGAGAACTGGTAGCAAAAATCCCTGTGCTCCCCACTCCCATGCTCAGCTGAGTCGCACGATCATCAGAGACTTTTTTTTTTTACTTTTAAAAGCATTTTTTCTACAACCTCTTCTGACGAAAAAATGCTTTTAAAAGTAAAAAAAAAAAAGGCCTCTGATGATCACACAGCTCAGCTGGGATCATCAGAGGCTTTTCAAAGCATTTTTCTCTGCAACCTCGTGGCCGAAGAGGTGGTAAAAAAAATGCTTTGAAAAGTCTCTGACGATCCCAGCTGAGTTTCCTGATCGCCAGAGAGGCTTTTCAAAGCATTAGAAAAAATGCTTTGAAAAGTTTAAAAAAAAAAAAGTTGGCCACGCCCACCCAGTCACATTACCCACCACCACCACCAAGCCACACCCACAGAACCGGTAGTAACAGATTTTACATTTCACCCCTGATCAGGATGCATCTTGTCGTAGCAACGTTTGTGAAATAAACTGTGTATTCTGCCACAGGCAAGCCGTTTCTTGGAAAGCAGCCCTTGGCCCACCTTGCCTGTTATCTCCAACTATCGCATTCTCACGCTACTTTCTCTGCTTCCTGGAAGCTGACTTCCAAATGCAGGGAGTTCTTAAATTACAACCATAATCAAGCCTGGAATTATGGTTGTAAGGCGTTGTGATTGTAAGTCGAAGCACCCATGCCACCGGAAATATTTTTCTGGCCTTTTTTTTTTTTTGCTGTGGTCATTAAGTAAAAAACATTCATTTGAAAGGGTGTTTTTAGTCAGAAACTGGCAAAAACATCATGAATTACGGTCACATGACTGATCACCACAATAAGATCTAAATCTGACCTATCTAATAGATTAACAGAGTTGGAAGGGACCTTGCAGGTCATCTAGTCCAACCCCCTGCCCAAGCAGGAGAACCTACATCTGCCTCTACCTAGGATTGAACTCACAATGTCCTGATTGTGAGGCAAGAGCTCCACCTCTAGGCCACAGCAGTCACATGGACACAGGGAATGGATGGGCACAACCATTTAGGATGGCCAGGAGTGCTTTAAGAGACTGTAAAGTAGCCATTCCGTGCAGTGGTGGGTTTCAAAAAAATTTACTACCGGTTCTGTGGGTGTGGCTTGGTGGGCGTGGCTCGGTGGGCGTGGCTCGGTGGGCATGGCATGGGAAGGATACTGTAAAATCCACATTCCCTCCCAATCAGATGGGACTCAGGAGGCAGAGAATAGATGGGGGTGGGGCCAGTCAGAATTTTTACTACCGGTTCTCCGAACTACTCAAAATTTCCGCTACCGGTTCTCCCGAACTGGTCAGAACCTGCTGAAACCCACCTCTGGTTCCATGGCCATTGTACTTCAAACAATCATAAAACAGCCACTCTTTAAGTGAGGACTACCTCCATTACACAATAATGGAGACAACTAACCAACAAGGAACACCTCCTGTAGAGGGCAGGTAAACAGCTTCAAGTTAAATGGTAGGACGAGGGCCATTTGATGGGACAAAATAGCCTTAAGCTAATGCTATCTTCCACTCAAATGCATGATGGGTATTTATCACTATGTTGAAGACTTCTTCTTGCTTTTCCACAGGGATCTCCTGGAAAACCAGGTTCTCCTGGTCCTTCTGGACAGAAAGTAAGTAGGATACTATTAGAAGTGAACATCAGCCTCTTCTCCTAGGACAGAGATGGCTAACCTTTTCTGGACCGAGTGCCCAAAGTGTGCACATGTGTGCGAATGTACACGTGAATGCACGTGCGTGCAAGCAAACCTCCAAAATGCAATGTGTGTGTGCCCCCCATATGTGCCCCACCCCGTGCATGTGTGCACACACCCCACATGCACCCCGCCCCACGCAAGCACACGAGACCCCCCACTTGTGTGTGCAGCCCCTCCATTTGCTAGTCCCCGCACCGCACATGTGCGGCAGAGACCTGAAGACCAGCTGGCGGGAGGCACGCGTGCATGTGCAGCAAAGCTGAGCTGGGGCGCAACAGCTCGCATGCCTAGAGAGAGGGCACCGTGTGCCACCTCTGTCACACATGCCATAGGTTCTCCATCACGGTCCTCGGACAACCTTTCATGGAAATTGTCCTTTCTTCTTTCAGGGGGACCATGGCACTCCAGGACAGATGGGTCACCCTGGAGAGAAAGGCAGAGCAGGGATGCCAGGAGGCCCAGGAAAAAGTGGTGAAATGGGCCCCATGGGACCACGTGGGACCCCCGGGGAAAGAGGACATCCTGGCTCACCTGGCCCTGCTGGGAACCCTGGGAACCCAGGATTGCCGGGGACGACGGTAAGAACTGGGGCAAAGACAATGAGAGGCATGCAATGTAATGTATCTCAAGAATGTATCGTAAGTGCTGGATTTCAGCATCAATATGCTGAGAGTGTAAAATAAAAGAAGGGACAAATAGTTTTGGTTTGCTCCAGAATGCAGTTTTTTGGTTCAATAACAATAAGTAAGCTAATAAAGGAAAAGAAATAAGGTTTACTAATGTGATATTGACTTATATATCAAATATTATAGTTTACTGATGTATGAAGAACTTGGGATTTATTGGACATGGGCTATAACTAAAAATTAGTTAACTTTAATGGAAAACTCCACCTGATTTTAATATTTAGATTGACAAATTGTGTTCAGTCTACCACTACATTCTGATCACTACAATACAAAAAAAGATGCTGAAACTATAGAAAGACTGCAGAGAAGAATAACAAAGTGGATAGGCAATCTGGATGCTAAATCATATGATGAACAGTTAAGGGAACTAGGTATGTTTAGTCTAATGAAGAGAAGGACTAGGGATGACATGATAGCAATCTTCGAGTACCGTATTTTTCAGAGTATAAGATGCACCTTAGTTTTTGGGGAGGAAAATAAGAAAAAAGCTGATTGGCAGGTGGATTGGCCTCCAGGAATACCCCCAATCAGCTGTTCCCAGAGGTGAATTTTAGCAACAGGTTCCTTGGTTGTGAAACTTCTGAAACTCTGTTTCAGAAAAAACTTTTTTTCCTGCCTCTGAAAGCCTCCGAAACAGCTTCAGAAAAGAAGCCTCTGAAGCTCTGTTTGGAGACTTTTCTTTTTCTGAAGCTCTGTTTGGGGGCTTCTTTTCTGAAGCTTCGTTTCTGATGCTTTTTTCAGCCTCTGAAACCTCCTTTGAGAAGCTGGGCTGGGCTACATTCAGAGTATAAAACACACCCAGATTTTCACCCTCTTTTTTGGGGAAAAAGGTGCATCTTATACTCCGAAAAATACAGTAGATGCAATTCGAAGGGACATCTGTCTTAGATGGGTTCTAGGATGTGCCACCAGTGGTTGACATTCACTTTCTTTTGAGATTTTTATACAACTTCACTGATGCACAAGGTGCCAAAACTTGCTTGGCTATGCCGTCATGGGCTCAACCTTGCCTCTTGGCTTCTCCTCCAATACAGAACTGCTGGGGAGACCCAGTGCACTTCAGAGCTTCTAAACTGCAAATGCAACCACTCCAAAACACAGAGCTGATGAATCCTTCCTGAAGTTAAGCAGGGGAGGGATTGCTTGTCCAGGATCCATGACTGAGGAGCCCCAGAGGCTCCCACAAAGCATTGCTTCTCAAGGATGGGAGGAAGTTAAAGTAACAGCATGCTGGGAGATTGATTATTATGACCTTCAGCAGCCACTGCTTCAGCTAGGGAAGGAACGAGTGTGGAAGGAAGAAGATGTTGATGGCAGGGCTGGAAGATTTGGTCGTGGGAGATTTTCTGGAGATTGGGGGAATGGCTGCATGTGGGGTAAAGCTGAGCATGTGAAAGCGGTCAAATGGGACAGGTTAACATGCAAGATAAGGCAGAAATTGACTTCTGCTTTTCCCTCTTCCTTGTTTTTCTCACCAGGGAGATGCCATCAGCTATGACCAGATCAGGATGTTCATCAGAGAGGAGTTCCAAAAAATGTTTGATGGTGGGTGATGAGATTGAGGGCAGGGGGAAGCACAGGGTCTCTCTGTGCAGGTTGGAGACCCTAGAAAAGCAAGCAGAATTTGTTAGAGGGTCAGAAAATCAATCAAGTTATGATACCAGATCTGGAAGCTGAGAGTATTTCCTACCCCAAACCCCATCATAGAGAAGGTTGTTTTAATTTTGCTATTCATTCATTCATTCATTCATTCATTCATTCATTCATTCATTCATTCAATTCTACAACTGCCTATCTCAAATCAATGACTCTGGTGGCTTCCAATTCCAACCTATAAAAATTATTAAAACAATAAAAGCATTTTAAAAACAATAAAATATTGAAAATAAATATCTAAAAGGGTTAAATCATGGCAACTGGACCAAATATTTAACCTTTTTAGGTACTTTTGGCCTGGATGATCTTCATTTACATACTCAAAATAAATATATATAGTAGCCAAGATATTGAGTCAGTTATCAATAAAGCCAAATTATGAGGCTCTTAACAAATTCAGCATCCCAGACTAAAGGAACATAATCAGATTTTTAAAGCCTTATGAAAGGCCAATAGGATTGAGGTCTCCAAGGGGAAGATATTCCACAGAGCAGGGACCACTGCAAGAAAAGGCCCATCTTCATTCTTTGGCTGCCAGGATCTGCAGCATGCCCAATCTGCTAGATCCAATTGGACAAGTAGAGACTCTTGGAAAAAGGCGATCCCTCAGGTAACCCAGTCCCAAGACATGTAGGGCTTTAAAGGGGACAACCAGCATCTTGAGTTGCACCGGGACTATGCCAGTAACCAATGCAGTTCGCATAGCGGCAATGTCAGATGTGCCGTATATCCATCACCATTTACTATCCGCACAACCACATTCTCGTCAGTTGAAGCTTCTGAATGCTCTTCAGGGCAGCCTCATGTAGAGCACATTGGAGTAATAATAGAATAGAATAACAGAGTTGGAAGGGACCCTGGAGGTCTTCTAGTCCAACCCCCTGCCCAGGCAGGAAACCCTACGCCACTTCAGACAAATGGTTATCCAACATCTTCTTAAAAACTTCCAGTGTTGGAGCATTCACAACTTCTGGAGGCAAGTTGTTCCACTGATTAATTGTTCTAACTGTCAGGAAATTTCTCTGTAGTTCTAGGTTGCTTCTCTCCTTGATTAGTTTCCACCCATCGCTTCTTGTCCTGCCCTCAGGTGCTCTGGAGAATAGTTTGACTCTCTCTTCTCTGTAGCAGCCCCTGAGATATTGGAAGACTGTTATCATGTCACCCCTAGTCCTTCTTTTCATCAAACTAGACATACCCAATTCCAGCAACCATTCTTTGCATCTTTTAGCCTCCAGTCCCCTCATCATCTTTGTTGCTCTTCTCTGCACTCTTTCTAGAGTCTCAACATCTTTTTATATCATGGCGACCAAAACTGGATGCAATATTCCAAGTGTGGCCTTACCAAGGCATTATAAAGTGGTATTAACACTTCACGTGATCTTGATTCTAACCGTCTGTTGATGCAGCCCAGAACTGTGTTGGCTTTTTTGGCAGCTGCTGCACACGGCTGGCTCATATTTAAATGGTTGTCCATTAGGACTCCAAGATCCCTCTCACAGTTACTACTATTGAGCAAGGTACCACCTATACAGTACCTGTGCGTTTTGTTTTTCTTGCCTAAATATAGAACTTTACTTTTTTCACTGTTGAATTTCATTTTGCTAGATAGTGCCCAATGTTCAAGTCTGTCAAGATCCTTCTGTATTTTGAGCCTATCTTCTGGAGTGTTGGCTATTCCTGCCAGCTGTAATGCAATACATCTTTTCTGCCTTGGACATCCGGAGCAGATTTGGTCTTGCAAGCTTCTTTATCACAGCATCCAAGCAAGGAAAACCCAAGCAATTTGTTTGCATAAGCCCTACAGGGAAATTATGAATTTCCACCTATTTTAGAGCCTTCTTCTGTTCAGAATTCCTGCTACATGGGTCCCCTGAAACGGGTTAAGGTTAGGGTTAGAGTCAAAAGAGTCAAGAAAAAGACCACACCTGTGTAATCAAAACCTTGCTCTGTCTTACATTTTTCCTACCATTAAAAGGAAGTAAAACTTCAATCACATGTCCACAGCTATATCTCGACTTTTCTCATCACCTCCCTGCAGATCCCTCCTTACCACTCTACCTGATACAGTAAATCACTATTTTTTAAAAAAAACCAATAATATTCAATAGCCCATCTTTCTTTGGAGACCCTGAGGATCTATCTTTCTTTCTTTCTTTCTTTCTTTCTTTCTTTCTTTCTTTCTTTCTTTCTTTCTTTTCTTTCTTTCTTTCTTTCTTTCTTTCTTTTTTCTTTCTTTCTTTTTTCTTTTAACTGTTCAAGAGAAGAAACTAAATGAAAGCTAAGAATAGCATGACTAGGGTCAGAAGTCAGACTTATTATTCCTCAAGCTTCTATCTTTTTCATCACTATCCCAAACCCTCTTGAAAATAAAAATAAAGGAAGAGAGAAAATGCTGAGAAAAGCCCAATTCGGCAAGGCTGTTATAGGCTCCCATTCTGGTGTGGAATTGAGAATTTCTCTCCATAAGCCTGTTGTTTGTTATCCTATGACACAACTGCCCAGGAGAATGTATTTTAACTACAAGTGCCCCCAGGCCTGCCGTGAATTAAAATTAACCTCACTCCTGACCTGAGAGGGTAGTGGGTTCCATCATTTCTGCAAAACAGACCAGAAATTGACTAAAAGATGTTCCCAATAAACTCAAACCTTACAAGTTCAGATAATAAGACCAGAGACAATTAATGATAAACACAAGGCAAGATTGCAGAAACAGTCCTAATCAATAGTTTGAATAATTCCTGAAGGAGGTCAGCTATAAAAGTGTAAGTGTGTCCAAGGAAGGTTATGGAACTATTATTATGATTGGCTGCATAGTCAGCCAGACGTTTAGACCATTAAATATATTGTTGCAGGACGTAAGATAATGATGATGATTTTTTTTTTTTAATTTTCTGGAACCAGAAAAATCCAAAAATTGCAATGGTATTTTTTGTTAATAATAATTTGTCTTGAATGTCTCTCAGGAAAAACACCCAGAATTGCTTCTCATACGCAGCATGTAAATTTAAATGAAGTAAAAAAGTAAAGTAAAATAAAATGCCACTTTTAAAATTAACAGAATAGCCAGATCAACTGAAGAGTTTCTCGGGGAAAACACATCTGCTTCCAAAGATTCCTTTAAGGGTTTATCTTCACCCTGTTTCTATTCAACAGCTAACAGAGAAAGTCCTTGTCCCCCCAAAACAGGCTTCCCTATTTCCTCACCTCACCAGTTCCTCTTCAGCAGCAGAGCAAACAATGGCCCCCTTCTCTTTCCTGCAGAACGGATTCAGTACTACGCTTCCCGACTGTCCACGCCACACTTGGAAGTCCTTTCCCAGCCAGGGAGACCAGGATCACCTGGGAAAGATGGAACGCCAGGACGGCCAGGTCCTCCTGGTTCTCCAGGATTGCCTGGACAAATTGGAAGGGAAGGCCGGCAAGGTGTGCCCGGCATGAGAGGTAAGCCTTGTTAACTCCTCCTTCTGATAAGAAGTAGACTTGGAGATGCACATCATAGACCGGCGTTTCTCCACCTTGGTGACTTTAAGATGGGTGGACTTCAACTCCCGGAATCCTTCAACTGGCATTAAAAGTTGTCAAACTTGGAGAATGTGAACCTTGGTTGAGTTTTGGATGGCTCTGCAAATGGTGTAAATTTAGGCAATGGGCAAAATCAGAAACCAGGTTAAGCAGGTGACAACTCAACCAGTAGATTCATGTCATTTAGATGACACGTCAGCAGGAGTCCCCAAATTTGGGGTGTGCCCGGGTTTTATAACTTTGTCCCAGAAGATTCCTGAAATGAGTACTTAATCCTAGTTGGGCAAGAATGTGGTCACAGCTCTAAAGAAGTACAAACAAGACTCTTCACGAGCTGTTTCAGAAGTAGCCTGATGTCATAAATGGACAGAGGCTTCCGGTCAATTCACTTTTGTGTTTTCTCCCTCGATGCAGGTGAGCCGGGAATCAAAGGAGAAAAAGGAGACAAAGGGACTGGAATCATGGGGGAGACTGGAGCACCAGGCCCTCCAGGTAAATTTGGCTTCCCTCTAAGTTAAACCTGCTTGCTTAAGCCTGCTTTCTTTCATCAATCATTTGCTTTTATCCATCACCAAGACCCAGAGTATGCATAGAGTTTTTCTGCAGACCAGTGGTGCCATTCTTGGCCATTCAGAGTCTTACTATATGCATTAAGTTGCATCTTCATACAGAAAGCAGTTTCTTCTCGTTGGTGTTGTTGCTTCCTTTAGCAATTTTAAATCATGGTGGTATAGTTCCTTTCACAGTCACTCAAAAGGATGAGAAAATCCCTTTAGATCTACACAACTAGTGAAATGATGAACTTTGCTCTTACTAGAGATTGGAAAAAGAGGAGAGTCTCATAGCTTACTCCAACTCAATGAACCTAGAGGGTCAAATTTTCTTTCAGAATCATTGAACTGTACTTCGATCAGTTCCATCTTTGTAGAGCAGAATGTGGAAATATTGTTCTGGTTAGCCAAAATAGAGGTTGTTCTTAAGTTTTTCTTGTAAGAACAAACAGCTTGTTCTTAAGTAGTCTGTTCTTTAAATTCTCAAGAGTTGATTTACAGAGCGAGATGGGCAGCGTATAAATTTAATAAATAAATAAATATGGAATGGAATAGGTGATTTCCTTAGTGTTGCTGGTAGGACTACAAATCAAAATGTTCAGATAGTGTTGGACGTGACTGCTGAGGACCGAGGACTTCAACAGCAAGATCAACCTATTTGGCTCAACGTTGAGGTTTCTAATAGGTTAAAACCTACATCCCCAGGAAACTTTCTTCACAAAGTAACGAGACCTTCCCAGCACACCTTTCCCCAACCTGGAGATTTTTCAGGTGTGTGGACTTTACTTCCAGAATCTTTCAGAGTGGAGAATTTTGGGAGTTGAAGTCTGCCGATCTGAAGAGCATCTTCATGGGAAAGTTTTCTCCAACATTTCCTATCATTTCAGGAAAGGAAAAACACACCACATAATGTAGGCATCTCAACAGTACTTGAAACTCACGCTTGTTTCCCTTGTTTCCCTTGTTTTCCTTGTTTTCCTTTCTTCTCTACAGGCATGCAGGGGCCTCCAGGTTATGGGAAAATGGGTCTTCCAGGGCCTATGGGGCAGCAAGGTATTCCAGGCATCCCGGGGCCACCAGGAATCACAGGCCCTCCTGGGAAAGTCGGTCACTGCAATCCTTCAGACTGTTTTGGCATGATGCCCATGGAACAGCCCATGTACCAGCCCAAAAACATGAAGGGGCCTATGGGCTAAAGCATCTTCTCCTTTCCCTCCCCACAAAGGACTCCATTTGGAATAGCCAAAGATCAAGTCTTCCATCATGACTAGCTGTGATGATGCTTTTATTGTTGTTAATATTTTGACTATATTTTTCTCCAGTGGAGTTCAACTTCTTATCATGATGGCATTTTGTTTTTTTTTTTAAAAAGAACTACCAGGATATCTGTGTCTGTCTGTGTGTGAGAGAGAGAGAGAGAGGGAGAAAAGATTTCTGTGTGTGAATGTCTCCATATTCTGACTGATTTTTACCCATGGTCAGCAAAAATGTATTCAAGACAAAACTTCAGTTTTCCTCGGCTGATGAGAAGATCCCGCTCATTAGATGTTATTATTTCCACAATGTAGACAGAATCTGTTGAAAAATTTAAGAAAATATGCAAAGGGGAGATGACAAAAGGGGAATGCTGTGGTTTAATTTCAACTTTGATTGGATTTTCCCTTTTAGCATGAGTTACAATGGATATCTGGAAGGCAAGAGATAAACAATTCTAAAATGCAATTGATAGAACAAAAATTGCCTCCGTATGGAATCACACCAGCACAGTCATCGCAAATCAAGAAGTTGTCACCTATCACATCTAGAAAGCACACTTCGAGAAAGGCTGACCTACCTAGTATTTACACACCTCTTCTTGGAGCAAATTGCACAAATAAATCCAGCAGAATTTACTTCTAGTAGATATACGTGAAACTGTGCAGGGAAAAAGTGTGACTTCATAGCTCAGACATTTCCCCCCTTAATTGAAATGAAAAAGTGGAAACAAAAATTAAAGTATTAAAAGTTCTGTTGTGTCTTTGGAGGGGAGGGAATTGAAAGAACTTCTGAAACTTAAAACAAGTTGTGTGGTATTTAGAATGTATGAATGGGAATATCATCTTACGGTGTAATTACTTTTCCAGATGTCCAACATTCTGTTTTCTTCCTGTTGTACGAAATGTGTGGGACCATGTACCTTCTGGAATTAATTAATTTTTCTTGAATGTTCCTGGTTTTGTTTGTTTTTTTCCCCTTGTTTTTATATCAAATATATTGAGTTTCATCCAAATCAGACCTAAATCTAGTTGCTCATACATCTGGGCATCAGAACTGGGAGATCCTGGAGGATCAGGAAAAGATGAGACTGAGATGGGAGGGGGTCATTGTCTGAGGCTAAGATGTAAATTGGGCAATTGTGGAAGGAATAGCTGTTGTGCCTTGCCTGCTGTCACCTTCACACAAATAATCTGAATTATCTTATTTGCAATGATATAAATTATGTAATTCACACGATTCGCATGATGATCTCATGATCCAAGTGATATTATTGTGGCTTGTAACCAGAGGTAGTATTCAGTTCTGACCAGTTCTGGAGAACTGGTAGTGGAAATTTTGAGTAGTTTGTAGAACTGGTAAATACCACCTCTGACTGGCCCTGTCCCCATCTACCCTGTTTTCCCCAAAATAAGACATCCCCTGATAATAAGCCCAATCGGGCTTTTGAGCGCATGTCAATAAGGCCAAGCGCTTATTTCAGGGTTCAAAAAAATATAAGACAGGGTCATATTTTTGGGGAAACATGATATTCTCTGCCTCCCGAATCCCAGCTGATTGGAAGAAATGGGGATTTTGTAGTAACCTTCCACTGGAGTGGGGTGGGAATGGAGATTTTACAGTATCCTTCCAAGCCACGCCCACCAAGCCATGCTCACCAAGCCATGCCACACACACCAAGCCACACCCACAGAACCAGTAGTGAAAATTTTTGAAACCCACCACTGCTTGTAACAGACACCTGAAACTTTTGTGGGGGGGACCTAATTTCTTTACTTAACCCCCCTCCCCAATCTTCCCCCAACGGATCCAAAAAGTCTTCCTTCAGATTTCAAATCACATCTATTCAGAAACTAGAACCGGCAGCAATATAACCTTTAAACCCCTTTATTAACTCTTTCTAGATCTACCCCACTGCGAACACAGGGATTACATGAATACACTTGTGTGTCTCTTACTTCCTTGACCCAAATGGGTCTCCCCTAGAGGAGAGTCTCTCTCTCTCTCTCTCTCTCTCTCACACACACACACACACACACACACACATCTGTTCTGCCCCAGCTACGGACCCCAAAGAACACAGCACACACAAAGTCTGTACAAAACTTAAATTTACTAAAAGAACTCAGTCTTTTCCAAACAAAGGCTGTTAATAAACTTTCTTAACAGCCTACAAGAAACCAAAGATAAAGTAATCACAATCTTACTAAGGTTGGCAGAAATCCCAGAAGCAATTTGCAGAGAATCCAGACGCGAAGGAGAATGAACTAAAGTTGTTCCCTACAAATTGCTTCAGTCAGCGTTCCTCCTTAAATAGGCTAAGGGAGTGCCAATTAGCCCCAAGCCTTACTCTCGAGGAGACCTCCTCCTGAGGAGCCACTCCTGCCTTTTGGCAGCTCTAAGCGCCGGTGCATCGAGAAGAGGCTCCTCCTCTTCGTCCTCTTCACTTAAAGGAGCTTCTGGAGGTTCTGAAGGCCCTGGTTGAATCCCCACCTCTGGCACCACATCTTCTCCAGCCTCCTCATTGTCCGACTCGAGTGCCAGCTGCATAGGCTGCTGGCGCAGCACCACACCAGCCTCCTCGCTGTCAGAATCAGCTACAATCCACACAGGCCGGTGATGGGCCACAACAACATCTGGGCCATCAATCTCAAGAGTTAATCATCACCACCCTAATTTTAATGTTTAAATAAATGATGCCTTGTTTCCTAATTGGTATTTGGCTCAAGTTAATTTCAAACCATTGATTTACAAGCCATCATTAGGTCATTCTGTGACAAAGCCCATTGAATGGACAGGTACAGCAGAAGCAAGAGAAATGAATTGTAATGTGGAATCCTCAGTGCTCCCTCAGCTTGGTTGTTTTCCTGCAGATGTTTCATTGCCCAAGTAGGTAACATCATCAGTGCACAGTGACTAATTATTGTCGGTGACTATAGTCTTCTACCATGTTTTCCCGAAAATAAGACCCTGTCTTATATTTTTTTGAACCCTGAAATAAGCGCGTGGCCTTATTTTCGAGGAGGTCTTATTTTGGGGCACGTGGAGCAAGATGGGGCTCCTCTTGCCGTCTTACCTGATTACCAGCTTTGTCTCCTTAACCCTAACCAGAGGAAATGGAGGGGACCAGTTACGCATGCATTTAAATATTTTGCTTTTTGCTTTGCTTTTTGCTTTTTAATTTATATATATAATATAATACATTATATTATATTATATTATATTTAATTTATATTATTTTTGGGGAGGTCTTATTTTCAGGGGTGGGGTCTTATTTTAGCACATGCGCTCAAAAGCCTGATTGGGCTTATTATCCAGGGAGGTCTTATTTTCGGGAAAACCAGAGGTGGGTTGCAGCAGGTTCTGACCAGTTCTGGAGAACCGATAGTGGAAATTTTGAATAGTTCAGAGAACCAGTAGTAAAAATTCTGACTGGCCCCGCCCCCATTATTCTCTGCCTCCAAGTCCCAGCTGATTGGGAGGAAATGGGGATTTTCAGTATCCTTCCCCTGCCACACCCACCAAGCCATGCCACACCCATCAAGCCACACCCACAGAACCGGTAGTAAAAAAAATTTGAAACCCACCACTGGGGGAAACAGGATATTAGAAACCTGTATGTAGGCTAGCAACCCATTGGTTCATCATGCAGCGTTGGTCCTTTAGTTAAAAATAATGAATTCTGATCAGAAATAATTGCTGCAACAATAGGATCTTGCCTCAAGGCAAAGTGACTGTTGGTCTCCTTGTCATGCCGTAGACAGTATCTTTGAATGATAAAACCCCAAGCCTGCTAGTCAAACACAGTATGAGTTTCTTCCCCTTAGCTCCACATGGGGTCCATAGCAAGTTCATCCCACACTCCAACAACTACCATGATCCCCTGTGCTGCTAAGTGGTGTCTTTGGCCCTACACAACAACACCAAGATCTCCTCTTTGTGAATGTCCATCTCTCTTCTCTACCTCATCCTGGGAAAGAAGCAAGCTGCTGCTCACCATTTTTCAAGGGCAGAAGATACCGTATTTTTCGGAGTATAAAATGCACCGGATTATAAGATGCACCTACCTTTTTTTGGAAAACAAGAAAAAAAAAAATCTGCCTCTGCCTCCCAGCAATTTTGCCTCGTTGCAGCAAACAGCAAATAGCCTGCTTTACTTTCATTTTTGTTTTCAGCGTAGCTTGATTAGCACAAGAGAAAAAAATCTGCTCCCAACAATTTACCTCCTTGCAGCAAGCAGCAGAGGCCCACGTAAAACAGCTGAGAGCAAAACAGCTGAGAGTCGGGAGGCCAATCCAATCAACTTGTGCTAATTAGGCTGTGCTGAAGCTGAAACAAGCTGTTTCTTCTTGCTGTTTGCTGCAAAGAGGTAACTGCTGGGAGGCAGAGGCCAAAGGGTGGGGGCCAGTGGGTGGATGGGGCTACATTCAGTGTATGAGGAGCACCTAAATTTTCACCCCCCTTTTAGTAGGGGAAAAGGTGCATTTTATACTCTGAAAAATACGGTAACTTCCTGAAGAACACGGTGACAGCTTCTTCTTCCATGACAAGGCTGCTGGCCTTGTCATGGGAGAAGACTAAGTGACTTCTTTCCTATCTCAGGAAAAGAAAGAGCAAGAGTAAGATGATCCTGCTTCTATGTCAGATAAACACCACAGAACAATATCCAGCAGAGATTTTCAAGCATCAGAGAAAATATTTGTAGTTACTCCTTCAAAGGGCTATCAAGAGGCTGATCCATCAAGCCGGAAGTTCTCTTCAAAATGTGGCTTGCTACAAATTGTTCCGAGAAACAAAAACCACACATAAATTCTTGATGGTCATATTTTAATAGTTGTCTCCGGACTGAAAGAAACGTATGATTTGAGAAGAACCAGAGACAGATTTATTTTTTTAAAGTGAATTGGCAATTTTGGGAACAATAATTCCATAGGAGTCACCAGCATTCTTCAGCTGTCTGCTCAGATTTTATGACTTTTTCTCCTATTTTTTTCCTCTTTCTTAATGGGGCATATCCATTTAGGTGGAAAGATCTAGAACAAAACTCCAATCATCCAACGGTGTGGATACTCCACAGCACTTCATGTCCATAAGCCCAGAGGGAGAATGGCTTTAACAGTGACAATGGTGCTAGTTCCTCCACACTCCTTTTTCCACCACCGTCACAGCTTTGCAAAAGTGTATTACCCATATATACTCGAGTATAAGCTGACCCGAATATAAGCCGAGGCATCTAATTTTACCACAAAAAACTGGGAAAACTTATTGTCTTATTGAGTATAAGCCTAGGGTGGGAAATGCAGCAGCTACTGGTAAACTTCAAAAATAAAAATACAGCACACAGCAAAAGAAGCTGGGTTCTTACCCAGTATGGCATGGACAACACAGAGGCTGCCGGCGTGCAGGAGAAAAGAAGAGTGGTGATATTAGTAGTTTTCGGACCACCCAGAGCCTGCAGGTGCCCGCAGATGAGCAGGAGAGACCGGAGAACACCTGCACTGCGCCGGAGAACAGGTAAGTGGGACCTTCATTCGAGTATAAGCCGAAGGGGGCTTTTTCAGCATAAAAAATGTGCTGAAAAACTCGGCTTATACACGGTAACTCACACCAGAAACCTGCTATTTTCCCACTTCACCTTTTGCTATGGGCATCCTCTTTTCCACTGCAAATAAAGAGAGTATTTGTCCACATGTGCGCAGAGGACTATCTGCCTGTATCTGCTCTTAAAACGTTGCTCCTATAGATGTACCGAAGCAGATAACGATGTGAGGAGAGCAACGGGTTACATGAAGCAATTGCCAACCTCTAGCAGATAACATCCAAATTATTATTTTCAGTAATTATTGTTCTGGGACTATTTCCTCACACGTTCCCTTGCCTGAGGTGTATGGCTCCAGTCAAAGATTTTGTTGCAAATTACAGCTTATTTCAACGTTGCAAAACACAAGAACACCAATACTGTGATAGGGCATCTCGGCACAAAATACTTGCTAGTACTTTGGTTTGCATTCAGAT